GGCTGTTGTCCCTGTCTTGCTCCATGGACAGACTCTAGAAGTTGTTTGTCCCACATGCCATATGTCTGTACCATGCATCCCTATAGCTGATGAATTGAGGATGGATTGCTCTGTTGCTATGTTTGTTTCATTGTTTGTACTGCCAAAATTTGAGTTTCCTTCCAGATCAATAAAGTATCTATTGATCTAAAATAAATCATATTGGTTACAAATTCACAAGAATTTCAGGATCATGAACATTACAGAGATACGCATTAGTCAAAATAATATGTAACCGTAAACAGAGCTGTAGCACAACCTAATAAGCTACTCAATCACTATTGATAAAAGAATTTATGCAAGTATTTATAACATCTTAAAATCTCTGTAGGTTATTATTAAAAGGTTAACTGAAACTTAAAAGAGGTGTGACGACACAGCACATAAACAGCATTAATATCTTCTCCAAACATAAGTTCATCTGTTTGTGATGTTTAACAGCAGGGCTTTATATGCCTCTAATAAGGCATAGACATGTAAGACATGCACGAAGTAATGATACAAAGTCTGTTCTGAGGAGTGCCTGATAGGGTTCAGGCAGATGATAGTGTAAGCAGAATTCAGCAGGTCTTTGTTTCACAAGCGTGAAGTAACAATCTGTGACAGGCTGTTAGCCAACCACTATCAGAGCTTGTAAACTATGTAGAAACACAACCTGATTAAGATGATTAGTGTTTCAATGGTCAATGTTGAGTGCACACTCACATTAATTGTTATTATTGAAATAGTTGAGAATAAATTATTTAAGCATCTATATCTCAGTAGCATACACAGACTCTTTTTAAAATTTCAAAAATCTTGAAGGCACATTACAAATAATTATTGGATTTAAGTTGACTAATGGAATGAAATAATCTGCAGCTAGGGATCTACTTAAGACATCATTAGTAACAGAGCTTTCTTCTATTGGGTTAGTCACTGTTAAGATTAAGAATAGAAACTTGAACTTGTTCTTCTGTTTTCATGTGTCATTGTGTAAAGAGAACATTTGACACAAAGTCATAAGGCTGTGGTTAATGGTTACTGTAACCTTTCCCACAATATTTCTGCTTTTGACGATAAGTCAGAGATTCTAGCATATAAAAACCAAGAATCTAACTGAAATGTACCAAATATAGTTTGAACAACCTGGCGTGTGGTGTTTATTTTCATTTGTGGTCCACTGTTTCTCATTAAATCTGTAAAAGAGAAGTTGTTCAGGGACCTTCTCAAATTTCAATAAAATACTCAAGTGTTTCAGCACTAGTTGACATTTCAGCAATGAATCTTTTAAAAAATTTTTAGTTCACAATTTCGAGGATTTCCGGTATACATACATATAGTAATTTGTAATTTTTAAATTTTCTGTAGATATCAAAGGAAGTATCCGTACAATCATATCGGAAGAACTTTGTGCCAACCTCCAACAGTGGTTCCATCTGAGACCCAGTACTTCTTTGTTGATGTGTCGACTTTATCAAGCCAAGGCACCAACTACCAGCTTAGGGTCAGCCGTGTGGAGAGCTTCACACTACAGTGAGTATTAACCCGCATCCTCACAAACGAGTGTTGCCGTATTGAAAATGGGGTCTTTGTTTGCATTATCTGATTGTCTTTTTTTGGACATAGCAATTGACTGAAAGCCATGTCATATTTTGGGAAATCAATTGATTAAAAATGGACAAGTAGTATAATAATTAAACTATTTTAATACATTTAACTCACATATGTAGAATTATTTCTACTTCTGATCATTTATGTAACAAAAGGATTTTCTGATTTTAATTGTAAAAGCATGTAATTAAAGTGCAGTTACATATGTTTGTCATCATTTCAACTTTTCATATTTTTTTTGTTTCGTGTGTTTTTCTTTAATTATAGAACAGACAAGAAGTTCAGCTTCACAGCCTCTCCTTCTCAGCCCCAGGTAAACAATAAAACAATGTATTCACTTATACAAACAAAGTGTTTGATCGGCTTAATTTTCTTGCTTAAAAGTTCTTGTTTAGGTCAAGAAAGTCCCTCCTAGATTTCACTGTTTAACTGAATGGTACAAATTGAGATTGTTTTTTGTTGGATGTTGTGACATTAAAACTTTCATCACTGCATCTTTTTCACTTTATTTTATTCTTTTCATGCTTATTTATTGCAGAATCTTCAAAAATCTTGACTATGTGGAAACAAAAATTTGTCTACAGTTTATTTATTTATTTATTTTATTTTAATGAGACAAGGACAGCGCACAATTTTTACATTAACCTTGACCGGAGAGATGCATTGTACCAGGTTGGAGCACCAGTGCTAATTTCCACCTATAGTCCCTGGGCAGATTCATTGATTGATTGTATTTAATTGACCTTGGCTATCAACTGTTCTTCCTGGAGACCTGTAGCATGTTTTGGGTTGATGGGGAAAACTGGAGTGCCCAGAGGAAACCCTTCCAGACACTGGGAGAAACATGCAAATACAGTTGGGGAAATTACAAAACTTTGAAAACCACATCACTAAGTTTGAACTGAGAAAACATCCATCCATGCTTCTCTTTTGCTGATTGATAGTTTGTTTTTCATCCTGCTAACTATAACTGTTATTTCTGCTTTCCAGTATTTCAAGTATGTTTTTCCGGAAGGTGTGGATACTGTTATTGTCAAAGTCACCTCTGACATGAACTTTCCCTGCTCAGTCATGTCAATTCAAGACATACAGGTAAAGCTATTATTACCACTCCTTTGTTTTCTCTTTTGTTCCAATGTCCTGAAGTAGCCTTTCACACTGTGGTCAACATGTAGTAACACCTTGACGCCACAAGAGGGCACAGATATGTTTGTGTCTCAAGAACTTAATTCATTTATTTTTACAGCTCTGTATAATTATTTATGCTTTTTTCCAGTGCCCTGTATATGACCTTGACAACAATGTGGCCTTCATTGGTATATACCAGACTATTACCAAGAAGGGTGCTATTACAGTCCAGGTAGGATTTTATTCTTAAAAAATTAATCATCAAAATAGTTTGTGTCATATTGAGGCTTTAAAAGACATAGTAGTTCTATTTATTTATTGTATTGTTTGATTTATAACTTTGTAACAGAGAAGCCCTGTAAGGCATCTACTGCTGTTGTGATTTTGGGCTCTTTGTAATTTACTGTAATGGGTCCATTATTACTCTTGCAAGGCTCCTACCCCAGTAAAAACAAAACTGAGCCATCTTGTACAAAAAAACTCCAAACATGATTCCTTACACTGTTAATTGCAATTGTACACAATTGCAATGCACTTACAAATCCCATTACCGCTGCCTCCTTTCTCCAAATTAAACTTTTAAACTAAAAATTGCTGGCCTCTAGCATTAATTCTGAAACAAAATGGGTGAAACTGTTTTATGTTCGAGAGTGAAAATTGTTTATATATAATTTCAGCGGAAGGATTTTCCCAGTAACAGCTTCTATGTGGTCGTGGTTGTTAAAACTGAGGATGAAGCGTGTGGTGGTCCCCTGCGTTACTACCCTCTCCGTCCAGATGAACTCATCGATGCAGGGAACCGAACCAAGATCCTGGATGTTGTTGTTTCTCCTGCTATTAAAAGTAAGACATATTCAAATTTAAGGATGTCATTTTACAATTTACTACTAATATTTACAATTTTAAGTATCTGCTGAAACCAATATCAACCGATGCTAGGGCAAAGACTGAAAATAAAATGTCTTTCTTTAAACACAAAAGGTTGAAGGTGCACTGCATAACTTTATAGATTTATAGACCAAAATGGGATATTGAATGCAGTGGTTGCTTAAAACCGATATCTGAAATGTTCAATAACAGCACAGATATCTGATACCACTATTGCATCCCTAAACTATCAGAATCATTATTGAGTATCAAGTCAGTTCTTTAGTACTGAAATGCTTTTTGAAATTTTGGTGAAAACACAACTACAGTCTCAACTATTTGTAACATGTTTGACCCTTAATTATTGACATAATTGTACTTTTGTCTTTTTCACAGCTGAAATCTATGTGTTTGGGATGCTCTTCTGTCTGGGAATATTCCTGTCTTTCTACGTACTCATTTTGATGGTAGCCTGTGTTCACAGCAGGAGGTAAGAGGTTTTTTTCCTTTGTATTTTTTGTGGTCATTTATCATATGTGCCATCAGAATCAAAACAGTCAAAGTAATAATTGAATAATTACCTGATTTTATACAATTGAAAATGTAAATGGAAAAATAAATATCCTAAAGCTTATATAATGGCATTAGCTAACTCTTCTGATGGAGGGTACAAGCTTCTCTTCAAGCCTGGAGTATGGCATTAAACTTATGTATCTCCATGGAGACAAGCAAGTGAAGCCACCAAGCCAAGTTACAGGTCAGATCAGGGCTAGCAACTTAATGTTTACACATTAATACACATGTAATGGAAGACAAAGCAATCTCATGGACACTATCAGGTCATGGACCCTTCAAAAGAAAAGTGTAACAGTGTAAACGGTGCATCTTTAAGCTTTAGTCACTGTATAACTGTTTTTATATTACATTTTATTTATTTTAATCATTGATCATTTTTACAGAACAAAGAAGAGAGAGATTTTCCATGAACCCCCCGACATGTCACCTGCTGAGACAGGTAACCATAACTCCATCCATATATTATGTTTCAATAACATGGCCCGAGATAATAAAGCTACTAAATGTAATATTAATTGTAGTCCTAAAATCTTTTACCTGTTTCTTTTGTTAATGCTTCAGCCTCCCTGCTTGGGAAGAACGGAGATGGTATCACATCACTGTTATTCTCATTTAACTCATTTAACAAGACTGACTGTCGTTGTTTGTCATGCATGCACCGCTGCTTACTTGTCATATTAGCACAATTATATGTTAACTTATTGCATTTAGAAAATATATTGGACTCTAGAAGGCTTTGTGCTAACCTAGGTTTATATTGTCAATGCTACCAATCTAAATATGATGAGAATGAAGAAACATCTGTATGAACCAATTACCAGTTCACTCATTCAATATATTCTTTTAACAAGTCCAAATAATATGGATATCAAAATATAAGGCCTGAAATGACAGTGACTACCTTTGAACAATGAATGAAAAGCTAATTTAAACCCATATAATTTTATTTCATGTATCTGTTTCTTCACTCACTCCACATGTGCCTGTTGTTCCCTGCAGTGTTTTGCTTCATAAATTGATTTATCTCATTAATCTAATTTGACCCACTGTTTTGCCACTGCACAATTCACAACACTAACCTAACATGAAATGCACCAAAAATACAAACATTTTTCTATGTGATTTTCCATTTTATGTTGTTTTTTAATAAGTTAATGTTGTGTCATTTGTGCTTCTAACTTTCTATTACTTTACTAACATGAGCTGCTGTAGATGCCCTTGTTTGAATAGTATAATGTAACTTCTTATGTCTAACTGCTAATATCTAAGTCACAACTGCATATTTTTTCTATTCAGGCAAGGCTCCAGCCTCACCCTATGAATATGGATCCTTTGGTAAGAAGTTATGGCATTTATTTTATGTTTTTTGATTGACGGAATGATGTCACTGTCAATAAGTTTGACTATGACTGAAAATGCATAATTTTATGTAAGATACTGTATTATAAACATTCAGTTGGAAAGATGAAGTTGTAGTTATACAGAAAAATTGTGTGTTATGTGTTTTTGGTGACATCTGGTGGAATTATTTTAGACTGGAGCAAGAACTTCCCCTTAATGCAAACATAAATTAGAACTGGAAGCAAAATTCACTACATAATACTAATACTACAGTATTAGTAGTCTTAACTGCTTTGTCATTATGCTACTAGGTTATGTTTTTGATCTTCTGTTCATGTTTTAGCTGACAATGGCAGCACTCTCAGTTCAGAGGCTATAACTGACAGCGCCACATCAACAGACAATAACTACGGATACATGGGTACAAACTTCAATTTCTAACCTTTTATATCACTGTAATACGAAGACCCATTTTTTACAGTGTCTCCTCTTGTGACCCAGCACTACATTAGAATAAGAGATACATTTCTTTCACTAGTTTTCTGTGTTTTTGTTCATCAGGGCAGGAACCTTTCAAACGTCGACCATTCCTCAATCAGCTTCACCAGTTTGCCATCCGCATTGGTGACACACTGCCGCCAATATGGGCAACAATCATACCCGAAATTTCACCGAACCAATCAGCACATTAAATCAAAACAAAAATGTTGAAAAGTTGAAAAAGGGTTGAGTCAAAATTGGAAAGTGATCAAAATAATGGCTTTACTATCAAAACAATGGATCCATGACACTGTATATGGGCAGCATCTAATTTTAAAATGAAAAAAAAAATCATTGCTTCAAAATAAATCTTTTTAACAGTAATGTTTCTATTTGTTTTCTTATTTGTTATTTGTTTTCTCAGAGAGGTCTTTGGACAGTGTAGGACGTAGCAGACAGGAATCCCTCAGCTCTGTGGAGGAAGACGACTATGACACTTTAGATGACATCGACTCTGACAAAAACATCGTCCGTACAAAGGTAGATAACCTGTCTCCAAGTTAACAACTTCAGAGATCTGGGGCTAAAATTATTCTTCAATACAGTGGGGCAAGATCACACGAAAAAAAAATTTACTGCCTCGAACAATTTTGTGATGTTCCTTTTTAAAAATTGCCATAATTATTGGTAATATCATATTAGATTGCCAGTGATTGCCAATGATTGCCAATAATTGCAATGATCACGATACTAATTCTCTGCAATTTCAATACTTTAACTGAAAATAATTAAGAAAAAAATATATTGTTACATAAAAATGTTCAATAAAAATGAAGCACATGCACAAATCTCCATCTCATCTCTTGTCTCATGGGATTTGTCTCAGTGTATTAATTTAGTCATTATTATTTTTAGCTTTAACGTGAGCTTTTGTGTTTGCTTCTTTTATTGTAGAAATATCTCTGTGTGTCTGATTTGGCTCGGAAAGATAAGAGGATCCTCAGCAAGAAATATCAAATTTATTTTTGGTAAGAACATGATCAAAGTCTTAAATGTTTTTTCAATAATTGTGTGTGTCATTGCATTACAATTACAAATATAAATTTTTGCTGTTATAGGAACATTGCCACTATTGCTGTCTTCTACGCTTTGCCTGTGATCCAGTTGGTCATCACTTATCAAACAGTAATGATTTTTCATCCACTTTATTTATAACAATTTCAGCACAGTATATAGATTATAATACCTAAATCATCTGTCTTTTAGGTTGTAAATGTGACAGGAAACCAAGACATCTGCTACTACAACTTCCTGTGTGCTCATCCACTAGGAGCTCTAAGGTGAGAAAAGTTTTCTGGTGGGGAATCAGCTACTTCCTTGTCTCCATCGAGATGTAATGGATTTGCTTAGAATGTTACGTGTTACACTAGGGTGACCTTAAACTTTTCTATCTTACGATTGGTTTTAATTTATAAATTACATTGAAATTGTCGGGTTGCCTCTTCATAGATCTGACCTGTAACATTTTGTCTCCATAAAGATAAAAAAGTTTAATGCCATACTGTGAAACATTCCAGGCAAAGCAATAACATATTCAAGGAGACAAGCATGTGGAAGTGGCATAGTGCAGCTTTAACTTCACCTAACATACTGTATGTGAAGTACTAATGAATACATATTTTCACTTTACAGCTCCTTCAACAATATCCTGAGTAACCTTGGTTATGTATTGCTGGGCCTGCTATTTCTTCTAATCGTCCTCAAAAGAGACATCATGCACAATCGAGCTCTGGTCCGCCAAGATGTCAACGCTTTGGTGAGAAAAATAAGAAATCCAAATTACATTTGAACTGATAATTTATGATTTATATTAACTTCTTTCTTGTAGGAATGTGGTATCCCGAAACACTTTGGACTGTTTTACGCCATGGGGACGGCTCTCATGATGGAGGGCCTGCTCAGTGCCTGTTACCATGTCTGTCCCAACTACACCAACTTTCAGTTTGGTAAGACTTTGAATACAGTTTGGTACAATATGCAGTATGTTTAAAAAGGTATTAAATAATTCTATTACATTACTTATTTCATCTGAAATGTCCAGAAATCTAATTATAATCACATTTTGGTGTGCATGTTAACAAAGCTGTTGTATTATGATGCAGCATATCTTCTTGAATTCTTGTTTTTTTTTAAATAATAAATGTACAAATTAACAAATTCTGTTCTATTTGTTTTTGCAGACACATCCTTCATGTACATGATTGCTGGGCTGTGCATGTTGAAGCTGTATCAGAAAAGACACCCAGACATCAATGCAAGTGCGTACTCTGCATACGCCTGCCTTGCAGCAGTCATCTTCTTCTCTGTGCTCGGAGTGGTGAGTTATATGAAGTTAATATAAACTGAAAGATACAATTATTAATGCACTGATTCTAATTATGATATTTTTTTTACTTTTGTAGGTTTTTGGAAAAGGGAATATGGTGTTTTGGATTGTTTTCTCTGTTATTCACATTTTGGCCACTCTCCTCTTGAGTACCCAGCTCTACTACATGGGCAGATGGAGACTAGGTACAGACTACTGTATATAGTTAATAATTTTGTATGTGCTCAAAATCATGAAATATAGTATGTTGCAACAAAGCAGCATACCAGTTGAGAGAGAGATGCTTTATTGATCCCAAGGGAAATTCAAGTTTTGCTGGACTCGGTGCACTTTAACAGGAGGACTGGTCAGGTAGCACCAATGGATCCTGTGAAATGGAATATTTTTAACAAATCCACTCATAATTGGCCTAAAGAGGTTTAGAGGTACACATTAGGCATAGTCAAATAACCAAATATGAACCATCCGTAATTTCACTAGAAGAGCACTGTTCTTTTTTTTAGAATTACATTGTATTTGAATGTGACTGCATGTTGTGTTTTAGACTCTGGGGTTCTGCGAAGAATGGTTTATATCATTTACACAGACTGTATCAGACAATGCAGCGGCCCCATGTATATTGTAAGTCATTATTATATATCCATCACAGCAATCAACCTATTATTTTCCTACTACTTCTAATAATGATTCATATAGATTTTAAGTGTACATAATATCTCAAATATTATTGTCTTCTCTCTTTTAGGACCGAATGGTTTTGCTTGTATTGGGAAACATTGTCAACTGGTCTCTGTAAGTAAATTTTCTCTTTACAATGTTCATTTTTAACATTTTAAACATGACAAAAACAGTATTTTTTCTTTCTGATTTTAACACAGAGCTGCTTATGGACTTATTAAGAGACCAAACGACTTTGCCTCATATCTGTTGGCCATTGCCATCTGTAACCTGCTGCTGTACTTTGCATTTTACATTATCATGAAGGTAACAGTGTTTTTGAATGGTTCCTTTATGTATATGGGTCGTATGTAATGTTATTTGGTAATAACATTTATGCTTTTTTTAGCTGCGGAGTGGAGAGAGGATCAAGTGTGTGGCCCTCATCTGTATTCTCTTCACCGCCGTTGTTTGGGGATTTGCGCTGTACTTTTTCTTCCAGGGTCTCAGCACTTGGCAGGTCAGAGTCTCACCTTTACCTTTCATCTTTACCTAAACAGCTATTTCATCATATGCTTTTTAACGATTACATGTATGATTTAGTTGATAGAAATATTAAGATAAGACATGAATACAGTATGGTATTATTACTTATTAGTATTTATATAGCTATATATGTTTTCTTTATTGCTTTATTTTACTTATGCTAATATTTGAAAACACTAACACTAAATAATGATTTAATAAGTCTTTGCTTTTCTTAAATGGAGAAAAAGATCATATATCATTTTAACTTTTTTTTTTTTTTTAACCATACTGGTACAACAAAGCAATACATGTTGTTTTATATTGTAGAAGTTCATGATAATAAGCATGCATTTCTTCTTTTCCTTATTCAGAAAACTCCAGCAGAGTCTCGTGAACATAACAGAGACTGTATCTTGTTATCTTTCTTTGATGATCATGACATCTGGCACTTCCTGTCCTCCATCGCCATGTTTGGATCATTTCTGGTATGAACATATTGTAATTTAAAACAACAACTACCATATAACTGTGTGACTGACTTCTCTGTCTATTTTTTCTTTTTTCACTCCCAGTGTATATATAAAAATAAGAAACTAAAACAAAAATGACACAAGTTTTTGTATCACAGTTTAATAATTGTCCTGCTTTTCTACATGGAAAAAATGTTATGCCATACAGTGAAATGTTCCATGTAAAGCAATAACATCTCCATGGAGATTAATAAAATTCATAAAATTAATTAATATATTGTTCAGCAATATATTTTTGGCACCTAATTCAGAAGCTGTGCTTTAGACTAATACTTAATTTCAAATTTTATGTAATATTAATTAATTTCAGTTCCTTCCATCTCCTATCTTCTCTGGTAGGTCCTGCTGACCATGGACGATGACCTTGACACTGTCCAAAGAGACAAGATCTATGTTTTCTGAAGTGGCCTCAGCTCATTGCCTTACACAGCTCAGTTTGTCTGCGTGTTCTAAACATGGATCTTATTAAACTTCCATGGTCCTGATTCATTTCAAAAAGCACAGACAGTAACCCCAAGACTTCCCCCCTCCCTTCATTTTGGGAAGACCTGTACCATCCGGACATGTTGGTGCCAATCCAAAACTCTTATTAAATGATGCTGTGAACTATCTGTTCAATCGCTGCCATCTTCTTTGATAAATGTTTACTTATTGCAGACAATGTAAACTTGATAAAATATTAGCCTGACTTAACTTATTTGATACCAGCTCTATTATAGAAAACTCTGCAATGCATTTTGAAGTGAATTTATATGCTGTTTATATTGAATGAATGTTTCTATATCAAAGTAAGAGTCCTTTATCCATTAATCTGTTTTGTCTGTGGCCTTGAAAAAAATGTACCCACGTCCACACTGTCAATTCAAAACCTCTCCGTCCGAATATTGATGATTGTACTCTTTAAACTGCCCTCAAGCCCTGACTTTGCACAGTACTGTAAATGTTGTTGAGCGGTTACTGAATAAAGGTTTCTTTTTCAGACTTGTGTATTTGTAAAAACTAATTATTGGTGAAAATATGTTATTGTCTGCAAAGATAATATGATTGACAATATAATAATATGATTGATAATATGATGACTAAATTGACTCTTGTGAACTTTAAGCCACGTTAGAATGTTCTCATCAAAAACATACCTGGAGTGGTGTTTTGTTTCATTCACACGTTTGAGTAACATTTTATTATTAGTCTGTCTACATCTCCAAAGCTCAAAATGCTTGGTTCTGCCTTATGGTGTCATCAGTCTGTAGTTGTCAGGTTAAAAGCTGAAGGTGTATGGAGTTTAAAAACACAGTCGAGCGCTTTCTGTAGTACCACATGACATCACAAGTTTGAGTGTTTTTCATCCGTTTGGTCAAGATGAAAATCCAGTGGAATAAGATTTAACTACACTTTAGATAAAAAAAACTTGCTGAACCTGATTTATTGACTATTCATAACTGAAAAGATAATTATTCTTAGTTGATTTCACATTTAGTTAGCTAGGTATTAGTTTTCCAGTGCAATCATAGTACATTATGTATCCTACTTTTTCCACACATTGCAAGTGCACAGTGCGGATAAGGCACCAGCTCTCTTGGCGATAGTCTGACAAAATCTGGGAAAACTGACAAAATGGCCCGGTTTTCTTCATCTAAATGTCATTGTATTCTTTTTTCCTTTTATAAATGGCCCATTAATTTGTGTATTACAATTTATCTAATTAAAAAAAATAGTCACCTGCCCCATGGAAAGCTTTGGCAGGTTGTGAAGACCGCTGCTAAGTTGTGTGTTTTTTTTTTTTTTTTTTTAGGTTTTTATAGTCTATTGTTTTCAACGTCTTCTGGTAAGCGTGAATAGGACCTGTACGCAGAAATTAATATCGTGGATCGTTATTTTAAATTTTGGACGTTTATCGCAATATTGATCTAAACTTCCGGTGTGATATTTGTGCGCGTGCCGCCCATGATTAGTTGATTCAACAGGTGTGCTCGGGTGTGCTCAGGTGGGACTCGATTAACACCTCAATTTTTGGACTAGTTTACTCAGAAAACAAAAACAAAATTTGACTTACATTCGTGGAAAATGAAAGCACCTGAGAAAGAACTGATGGGAGACATTCTGAAGCGTTTGACGGGAGAGTCCGCTTTACCCGTTTACTCCAACATCGAGAAGTACAAACGAGGCAAGGACGGGCAATACTTCGTGGCCGAAGACTTCATTGAAACTGTGAAAAAACGAGAAATGGTTAACGCCAAGGAGCGACTCAGAATCCGAAACTTGAACACCATGTTTTCACGGCTGAAGCGGATGGTTCCTCTGATGCGTCCCGACAGAAAGCCCAGTAAAGTGGACACGCTGAAGGCTGCGACCGAGTACATAAGACTGCTCGTGGCTGTTCTGCAGGATACGGACGGTAATAATGGCGATGGTGCGGATTATCTGAAGAATGCAATAACGTACTGTCAAAATGAAGAATTGAACAATGACCTATGGAGGGTGGAGGACTTCCTAAACTTGCCCGAAGATGAGGTGTTTGCGGTGGGGTCTGAGTCTGGAGCAGAGGATGGAGACTTAACGAGACTGGTCTTGCAGGATTGTTCATACCAGTTCATCATCCAAGTGTCTCCAGACCAAACTACGATGCCCTCACCGTGCTGAAATGGAGACGTGCACACACCGCTAGGAGCAAGGACCAAAAGTTTACTTGCCAAAAAAAAAAAACTCATGGAGCTTGTCTCCATGGTTAATATTCAAGTCCAAGGACTCCTGCTGTGTGCAAAGGCTACCCTCGTGTGGTGTGAAGTTTTTTCTCCCAAATTAGACTTCGTGCATTTCAGAAAATTTGAGTAAATAAAATGAATGATAAGAGAGCTTCTAGTCTGATAAAGTAATCCTGTATATGTGACAGTGTTTTTTTTCCCCCTCTGCAATCTTACTTTCAACTGGTTGATCATAATTCATTTAATTAAAAAACAAATATTGTTTTGTTTTATGAAATTGTGGAACATAATTTAAAGAAATAATTCATTTAGTTTGCTTTTCAGAAATATAAGTTGTGTCTAAATATGTGAGAACATGAACCTTTAATAGTCATTTAATCACAAGAAAATGCACTGACATAATTTAAGTGAAAACGTTTTTGTACAGTTGTGTATATTTCTTTGTCTAAATTGTGCATTTTACAAAATACTCTAAGTTGTAATGAAATGCTATCCTGGTTAGTGACTCTGTACTGTGCATGGAGGGCATAATTGTTTCAGTATGCATAGTGACAAAGCACTTGATGTAGGCCTACATTTTTCTTATGTTTATTTTTTTATATAAAGGACATAATTTGAGCTTAGGAAACTACAATATTTCATTTGTATTATGCAATTTTGCCAAACTTCATCAGAAGTGTATACAATCTCATTGCTATCTGTAACAACTTAATTTATATATGGAATTTATGGAAATGAGCAGAATAAATACGTTTTGTTTGGGAAAATAAAAGTTCTGCATAACGATGTCTTGAATGCAGGAAAATTAAGATTACTCAAGCATGTATGAATCACTATCTAAAACTCTAAATATAACTTTTTACAATCATTTATTTTACTGAATTTAAACAAAGTAGGAGGGACTGCTTCATGTACTAGAGAGTGTCCAATGAAAGCCCACTCAACCCTTATGTTATTTGAGGTGAATTATTAAATTGAAAAACAGCAAACAAAGTTCCATTCATTCAAACATTAAAAGATTTATTACAAAAATAGCTATGTACAAATACACATATAAAACATTAAGACTATATGTACAAAAATCTGTAAATAAATAGTTTTCAGTATCACTGTTGTGTTACATAGGCATCACAGACAACATTGGCCTTCCTTTTACAGCAATGTAATGTGATTGTAACAGCGCATTGTTCTTGACAAAATCCATGTTACTGATATTAGCAAATATCCAAAACAGTTAACAGTATAGAGCACTGTAACAATTAACAGTATAGAGAATAGTAACTACGATTGTCAATGTATTTTCAAACTAAACCTTAGTAAACAATGACCAGTTCTGGCTTGAAGCACATGTAAACTAAACTTAAGTTACAATAAACATAATTTTTAATGCATCAATAATGTAATTCTCTTCTCTCTTTGTCAAAAGAACAGCAGCACTTGTTAAGTCCTTTTTTAGCCTTATTTAGTCCTGTTATAGACTTGGTTTAGATCTCTCTATTACAGAAATCCAGCAGACAGAGGACAGGAGTTTTAGCCCTATGCACTCACTCATATAAAGTAATGTCAGTAATGGAAAACTCGTATCTCATTGTTGTCGTCCAAACCGAGCTGAATCAGACCACCGTTTGTCGCAGGACGATATCGAGTCAATAAAGGTCTGAGCAGCAACATTAAGGGATAAAAAGGTGTAAAAGAAATGAAACAAAGACATAATTGCCAAAATGAGCTTTAAAAGTCCTATATTTCACAAAATTGACCCTTGTGAGCTTTAAACCATATTATGCTGTTACCTCATCAAAATATACCTGGAGTTGTGATGTGTTTCATTCCCACATTTGAGTAATCTGTCTACATTTCCAGGCTCAAAAATGCTCACCTTGAGATGTCATGCAGTGGTATTTTTTTTACAGCTACTTTTTACCTTTAGTTCATTAGAGATTAGCAATTCCAGGTCTGAAATAATCTAAATGGCCCTTGTGAAGGTGTATGGAGTGTAAAAAAAACAATAGCACAATTCCTGTATTACCTCATGACATCACAAGTTGGAACAGTGTTTCCAGTTTGAGAGAAGAACTACAAGAACCATAAGACTTGTGTGTTAAACGTGTGAATGAAACAAAACACAACTCCAGGTCGGTTTGTGATGAAGAAACAACATAACTTAGAGCAAAAAATAGTGTAATATAGGCCCTTAAGTCTCATTCAACTTGTGGACATTAATATTTAGTAGGACAATATTATTTTGCAGAAAGGATACATGTTGGTGTCTTTGCGTCGGATTTCGAGCCACCTCTTGTTACTGTCAATAAGGTCCTGAAGTCTGTGTCCATCTGCCTCCGTGGTGCTCTGCCTGTAGGGGGCGCTCCAGTTGCTTTGACTAAAACACAAAAACATGAGTCCACTCCAAAAATATATCTAATATATGACACAAAGTTATTATAACAGTAACAACACAATAACAGTTTATTACCTGAGAGGAGTGTGGGAAGAGTAGGAGGTGCTACGTTTAGAGACACTTGGCCCCATTGCTGCTCCTAAAATATTACAACATAATATTGATTTTTTTTACAATAAGAATTGCTAGCATATAATACAGTACAATAGTAATTAAATATTCATGTAGTTTAAATTATTTTAAACGAAACACCACAACAGATCTATCATGAAATATATGACCCCTGTATCAAAAGGTATAGATGGCAATTGTCTGAGAGAACACAACCTAACTTAATAAAACAAAACATATTATTGTGTACCAGGAAATATCTGCCTCCATCTGCTGTTGATGAGGTCCTCTGAGGTCTTCAGTCCAGTGTTGACAGTGGAGCTGAACATTGGAGGTGGCGGTGCCCAGTTTTCAGACATCTGTGAACGCCTCATGTGGGCTGTGCTGAAGTCCAGCCCGGGCTGAGGTAGAGAGAAGGCGGGGTTTGGTCTTTGGTCTAAAGAACCTAGCACTCCCACCACCGTGTTCAACTGCCCTGAAATCACCTGCAGGGACTCCACCAGGTCCTGGACTCTGTGTGGGACTGCAGCCTGATCTGAAAACAAGCATTAGATTAATATAGTTTACTGTTAACATTTGAATCAATCTATATAGACTAATGGTTAAAAAGTATTTTATTATTTCTTTAAGTAAAATGTAACTTTTCCAATGCCACCTGTCACCGGCCACCTGCTTTTGCGGACCCTCCACGAGAAAAGCTATATAGTGCACCTTTAAATAACGCTTTTTACTAAACTCATACACCAGTGTAACACTGGAAACTGGAATGAAGTGTCTTGCTCATGGACACAATAAGAGTATTTCCTGTCAGTAGCAAGAACCGTCAATCATCAGGTTATTGGACAAACATCTGTACCTTTTTATAATGACATGATAGATTCCTTTGTGTTTGTAATACTAAAGGCTAGGTAATTCCAGTGTCTTGCTCAAGAACAGAAACAGAATATACTTCATCAATAGGAGGAATCAAAACCAGCATAACTGCAGTTAGTGTGCTCTACAAACTCATCTGTTATTGCCCCTAATAGTACATATATTTTTACCTCTGGTGAAAGGTGGGTCCACAGTGCTGCTCACATCTGATTCACTCACATCAAAAGTCACAGTTCTTTCAGGTATTCGAGAAGTATTTTCAAACAAAGGCTGTAGAAAAAAAAAAAGTTCAGTTTGACAGACTAACATCCTTGTCAACAAGAATACAGGACAATTTGTAACAATTCAAACTAAAACTTTATCAAGTAGTGATGGCTGCACCTTATCGGTCAAGGAGCTCTCCAAATGCTGAAGTTTCTCCTCTTTTCTCTGTAGAAGTGAGATACCTTTTTGAACTGTCTGTTGCAGATCACCCACAATTTGGGCTTCCTGAAAGAAAAAATAGGAGAGCATAAAAACAATTAATTCTTGTTTTAACAATATACCTATTGTTGTATGCTAATGAACCCTTTTATTGTTTGATTATGTTATTGTTGATTGTTTATTGATTATGTTATGAAGGGCAGGGCCTAGTATTACAAGCAGATACTTTTGATTAGATTTTTAATAATAAATATCCAAAATAAGAACCCACAAATATAGAGAATGATATAAGAATATAAGAGTGAAAGGGGATCTTATCAAAGGTAATCATTTTGCTTTCACTATACCTCAGTATAAAAAGCAGTGTTCCCATTATTCCTTTACCTGCTGTAGATTGTGTATGATGTCCTCTGTTGCTCCCCTCTCCAGACCTGGGTTTGTCTGAGCTGCTCTTAAAGCCGCCTCTCGCTCCACCAGTTTCCTGCTCTCTCTCTCCAGGAACACCTTGGTTTTCTGGATGGAGTCTCCATGTGATAAGATGTACCTCTTGACACTGTACAGATACAGGAAAGTAGAATGATTATTTCACTGATAATACTAGAATTTTGTTTACATGTTTACAAATGTTACATTCAGAAACCAATATGTGTAGCCACAAAAAAATCATAATCAGAACTACCCAAAGTTTTTGCAAATGAGTTTCATAATTGATTTATTGGAAGCCTGAGTCAAATACAATGACAGTACATCTCTCCTTCAGTGTTTTTCAAGTTTTCTTTTCTGACCAATGGGTTTTCTAAACGTTTGTCCTTGCCGAGAGGGAGGGCCTACAAACAGGGGGCGCTCTGGGACAGTTATACATTTGCTTATTTCCTATCAATGTCTGTTAATCTTCCTGTCTGCTATCGTTTCACTGTATGATTTTCTAACTTTCTGTTGTTTAAATCAACTACTTAGTGAAGCCCTGCAAAACCACTGAAAATATGCTGTATCATAGAATAAAACTGCAGTTTAATTTTTTGCCATCAATGTGGAAGCTGTTTAGATGGATACAGCTGTAAGATACTTAATAAAAGACAAAAGACAAAAAGCCTGTAGCCTTACTCGCTGATGCTGCTGTGGCTATCAGCAGGAGGAGACAGTGGGGGGTCGAGCTCTTCCATGAGCAGAGGAGCGTCTCCGATCGCACCAGGAGTGTCTGGAGACTTTAGGTCTGATTTTGGGTCCAGTTTGGATGTACTCGCCTCAGCACCTCCTCCAATCTCACTACATAACAAATAGTCAACATAAACATCATTTTACACAGTTAAAGTCTTCTACTTACAATATTTACTTCTCAAAATAAACTTTCAACAAATGTAAGGTCATGTTCATAGCATTATGGCAAACAACTGTCAAAATTATCTGAAATCGGGATATTAAAAGTCACTGTTAACTGGTTTGTGTTTTGTCATTTTGGGATTTAATTATGTGATATTATTCAAGTGCTGCTTTAAAGGTGAACTATGCAAATTTCTTGTTGAAGGGTGTGTCACCTGCTTGTCTCATGAAAATTGTATTGTCTGTCATAGTACATTGCATGGAAATTGCTAAGTTTTATATTGTTTTGTGGAAAATTCCAGGCACAACATCTCCATGGGGGAACGAGGGTTTTGGTCCCACCACTTTAGAATTACATAGAGCCCCTTTAATAAATACAATCACTAATTACTGATATCAATCAATACTAAAACTAGTATAAATCTAGATACTCGTTTGATCAGGTATCAATACTAAAAAAGTCAATAGTGAATAGCTTTGAATGCACCCATGGACCACCTAGATGACTGAGGGATTTCTTATAAGGCCACATCATAATATAAAACAAAGTAGTAGGATTTAATGTACAAACATTCTATGATCTAAATAAAAACAGTTTTTAATTTGCGGTATCGGTATCGGAATTGGTATTGTGTATTGAGTCTATCCCTTAGTTTTGAGCTAGAGACATTTTTGTATCATGACACTATTCAGCACTACATAGTACCAACCTGTCCCTGAGACTGAGGCGCTCACACCTCTCCTGCAGCAGCTGGACCCTCCTCTCCAGTCTCTGTTGCTCTTCCCTGCTCTTCCTCTGCTCTTCTTTGCTCCTTCTCTGCTCCTCTCTGGCTCTGTCCCGCTCCTCTCTCAGTCTGGCCTCTGTGTTTTTGGCTTTGTCATGCTCCTCTTGTGAAATTCTCATCAGCTCCCGTGCCTGTCGCTTTTCTTCCCGCTCCCTCTCCAGCTCCTCCTTCAGGACGTCATGCTCGTGGATCAGACGAGGCAGGGACTAAACACACAGAAGTAGGGCTGACCGATTTGGGAAAAATATCTAATTGTGATTTTTCTGACAGGCATTACAATCACGTTTAGATGAATTTATGTTTTAACAATAAGATTCTGTCCCAAGTTCATGCATTCAGGAGTAATTATAAAAGTATAAAAAGTATGAACTGACAACCTAATACAGGAATCACATTTCAGGACATGTTTGTACAGAGTAAACTACAAGGTTACTATTTTTATGCAGAAAGATAGGATATTTTTTTGTTTGTGTAATTGATCGTACTTTGTGATTTGCTAATTGCGTCCATTCAAATTGCGATTTGGATTCTATTGCGGGTCTACACAGAAGTTAATTTGAATTATGTGAATATTTTGTGGCATTTAGTTTTACATTTACACAATAAGTACTTTGCAAGAAAGACGTCTACTTTGTACATATGTTTAAAAAATAAGCTTCCAACAATAAAACATATAATTGTTGTTGATATAAGTACTATGTTTCTACCTCTATCTGTCTGTCCACTTCCTGTTCCTCCACTCCCAAACTTTTCCTCCTTCTGTTCAAATCTTCTTCCTGAAAAATCAGCACAATAATTTAGAAACCTTACACTGTTGTGAAGTAGAAAAATACTACTACAGCTACTGCAGCTGTTACCTTGGACTGCAGCATAGCTTCCTGGCTCTGCAGTCGGCCGGTCCGTAGCTCCAACTCATTTGACAAGTCTCTAAGTTCATTCTCCTAAAAATAAATGTAAATATAAGGATAGTTTTGTTCACTTGGTGAATTCACACAACATATTCATTAATAAAAATATCTTTCTGCTGGTGTTACCTTGCGTGCGTTTTCCAATTGTACTTTCTCGATCTGAACATTGTGCTGTATTCTGATTTTCTCCAGTTCAAGACCATGAGAGGCCTCCAACTGGTGTATTTCGTCTTTAAGTCTGATCATCATACGCTCCCTCTCAAGGCTCTCCTGAAAGAGTAGATTCGATTTTATGTCATACTTTCAGATGAGACAAAAAGGAGCTAGAATTCATGTGCAGACTACATGGTATTTTGGTATAGTATAAGCAATAGCCCAAAGGAAAAAAAAACACAAATACATAACCAGATCATTTAAATCAGTGTCTTGCTGTGCACATTGTGGGTGTTGTATTGTGAGATTATAGACCTGATCACTTATAAATGATTCTAGTTCAGTATTTGTGGTTATCACATCATTTTCCCTTTAGCCAAATAATAAACCAAAGGAGATGCCAACAATAAGAATTAGCAGTAAAAAACATTTGTACAGTTGACAGAATTGAATTTCTCCTTTGCCATGGATCCTACCTGGACATCTGAGGGATTGCACAAAGTATTTGCCAGTAGTAAACCAGCTTTTGTTAACTTTTTTTTAATATTGTTTTGGCTAATGCATCTTTGTGGCTGTTTTTCCATATAGACAGCCTGTGTTATTGTGCCAGTTACCTCGTTCCTGTATTTCTCTCTGATGTCATCAATCTCTCTCCTATGCGCCTCCTTCAGCTGCTCCATCTTCCTCCGGTGCTCTCGCTCCTCCTCCTCTCTCACTTCCTGCAGCACGTCCGACAGCTTTGATACAAACATTCAAATTATTTAAAAGAACTAAACACAACAGAATGTTCATGAATAGTAAGTAACTGAATCTAACCTCCCTACGGTATTCAGACAGATGTTGTTCAGGTTTGGAACTTGCAACATCTGTCTTTTCTCCAGTGCTTTTGACCTTTACACAAAAACATGACAAAAAGCAGGTGGCAGACCCAGAAAAGTTTGATACAAAACATGGTTTTGGTGTAGATAAACACTGAAAATATTTGTACATGATTAGGCACAATCTAAATGTGCCTAATATGTCCATGCCAGTCTCCTTGCCTCTTGTCTGAGGGCGCTGAGTCTCTTCTCTTTGTTGCTCTGAAGTCTCTCTTTCTCCTCCTCTATCTCCTCTTCAGTCTCAACCTTCAGTCGCTCCAGGTCCTGCTTCTTTTTGACTTCAAGCTTCTTTCTCTCTGCCTCTTGTTCCTCTTCTAATTCAGTCTGGAGGTTTGCGAGGATGGCTTTTCTCTCCTGCCTGAATAGGATGACACAATGTACACCAAATTTTAGTGCCCTTTCATTCAAACCACAATTATGACATACCACTATTATTATGTTATTATACAGGTCTTATAATCTCCCCTTTACTTTGTCTTTTCAGATTATAGAATATTATTATGTCATACTCATGGTGGACAAGAGACATTTTTCCCTATTTTTATTGTTATGATAATTTCATTAAAATATCCAAAAGATGAATTCACAAATGTTGAACCTGAACATGCTATATTACCAGATATATCAGCATTTTAACAAAATTTGTTTTACCTGCCCCCCACCTCTATTGCATGATATTGTGTTATAGAATGTTGTGATGAAATTCTTTTTATACTTTACTGAATAGCTTTAAATAAACTTTGATGCATCTCACAGTTATATTATCAATTGTGACAACTATAATCGGGATTAGTTATAAAATCAAATTATCAAATCAAATTCTGCTATTACATTTTTGCAAATATATTTTCAGTGAACCACAATCGGCTCAAACCTGATTTTTTGTTCCTGCTCCTCACAGTGGGCTCGTATAGATGCTCTGAGCTCCTCCAGAATTTTTTCAGACTCGTCTTTAAGTTTGGCTTCTTCCTCTTTTCTTTTTGTTACCAGTGACTCGCGTAGCATCCTGGGACGAAAAAAGATTTACATATGGTTTCACTTTCAAAATGGTTTATTTTGACTGGTGGTGTGTGGGCAAGTGTGAACATACTCTATCACATCATAATTTAGACTAAACGTGATTAAACCCAGAACTAAACAGGACTAAACCCAGTCTATATCATGACTAAATATTTTGTTTAACTTAAATTTACATAAAGCTCCTGATTGAATAGTTATTGGATGGGCCTCTTGTATAATTAAAACAAATAATTTCAAGACAGAATTCCTTTATGGTTTTCATAGCTTTCACACTGGTGCAATATATACAATGAATAACAACAAAGCTACAAACTGCATACCTCAGTCTCTCCTCACTCTCAGCCTTTAGCCTCCTCTCCTCCTCTTCTTCTTGTCTCTTCAGTTCGTCTTGAAGTTTTTGAATCCTCTTTTGTTTTTCCTTCATCAGTTTCTCTCTCTCCTCCTGTTCCTCACGATCTGACGTGTGTTCATGTCTCTCAATAGGCTCATCTTTCTTCTCTCGGCTTTGAATGGACAACTTTGTATCTTGACTTCGTCCTGGGCGGCCCCTTGAAGTTTCAGGTCTCTTAAACCCAATAGAAGACCCCAAATCAGTGTTTTTGGGGAGGAGGTGGTCTTTTGTGTCTGAATGAGAGGAGTCTGAAAATGTAGGAGAAGGACTCGATTGATGCAGCTTCAGACGATCCACTCTGGGAGCAGGTGCCTCCTTCAGCTTTGGCCTAACAAAATACCCAAAATTTACTATGAAATGCAAAAAATAATAATAAATAAAGAGTATTATAATATAATATAAAATATTAGGCTTACCTGGTTTCAGCAGCCTTTTTCTCTAATGATGGACTAATTGAGCTCAAGAGGTCTTTTATATCTCCCAGATTCTTCAACAAGAAAATATATTTTCATTAATAAATATTTGAACATTGTAAAATACAAGAAATATATAATGCTAATTTCAATTAACCTTGTTATGTGTGAAGGAGGAAGCATCACTGTTTATACTGTCATCCTGCAAGGGTAGATGGTAATTTAATTTAAAAAAAATATATAATAATAATATAATTATGATGATGAAGTTACTACAAACACACAACTGCACAAAATCAAAGCATCTACATGCAACACATCTCAGGCAAGAGAAGTGGCATGTAAAAAATGAGACGGCAAAGCAAGCTGTATAGAGGGAAAGCAATTAAACTAACGAAGCTAGCCAGTCTAAAGAATTCCTTATGATCTTACAAAAAGAAATAATAAGGTACTCCTCATGGCTTTGCACATTTTGGACACAAGTATTATTTGTTCCTAGTCTTAAATTGCAAAAGTCCACTCCTAAAGGGCATTTTGCAAATAACGTTAACCACAAGAAGAATCATGATATTGTAATGCTGATATTTGGCACAAATATTTTCTGCCCCAGTCTGTCTGTGCCCACTTGTCATTCCCAGTTTGTCCTCAGTGTATCAGATTTGTCTTTTTGAGCAGACTTGAATAAAAGTGTAAATAGGAGAGCAATTAGGCTTAAAAATGTATGTTCACAAAACCATGCAAAAAATGTAAAAAAGTTTGTAATGAGTCCTACAACTTTACTTTCAATTGTGGGTCTTACTATGGATTTTAATATCTAATATGTATCAGCCAAACCCACAAGACAAATATCAGCTATCCGCTCAAAATATCCATATAAATCCATATCAGACCATCCCTACAGAATTACGTACATTATACTAATATTGTTCAGCTTAAACAGTTTGAATCTTGTAGCCCCTGAGGCAGAGGAGATGGATGCCTAGAGGGTCTAATGGAGGCGTGACACACAATGATATGAACTAGCTCACAGCAAACACTACCTCTGCAGCACTGGGCACTTTCTTCATTCCAACCTCCACTGAATCCTGCTTTTCGTCTGTGGTTTTTTGGCTTCTCTCTGCTTCAACTTTGTGCGTATCTTCAATAACTTCCTCCTCAATTTGTTGTCCTGTTTTATTTTGAATTTCAACATTTGATTTCTCTTCTACCACCTCCACCTCTTCTTCAATGCTTAAGCTCTCCTCCCCTGCTTTACTAACTTCTTGTTCCACTTTAACAGCTTCTGACTCAAAATCAAGAATATCTTGCTTATTGTCCATCTTGTCTATGCCATTCTCTTCCTCTTTTTCGCTTTTAAAACTTTCCAAAACCTCATCTGTGTCCTCAAATCCATCTTGTTCATCCACTGAATTCCTCACAGCTTCATTGCTTTTAATATTGTCTTCCCCATCTCTGTCCAAACCATTAGGATCAATGTCATTTTTCTGACCCTCAATTCCTACGTTTTTATTTTCTTCTAAACCAATAGCTGCATTGTGGTTATTGTCTTGTCCATCATTTATTATATTATCATCTTTTTCACTAAGATTTTCACCTGTTGTTTGTTTCTGGTCCATAATTTCCACAATCTCAACTTCCTGTACATCTTTTTCTTTGTTGATATTAGTACTGTCATCTCCATCACTAGCTAAATTATCTTTTTCACTCATCTTTTTATCTATGTCGTCGTCCTTAGTCTCTGCACCTTCAACCTGCTCTGGCCCTTTTACTTTATTTTCTAGCTGTTTATGTATTTTGACAATGCCGCCATTTTGCTCCTCACTAATATCCTCCCCGTCTACATTGTCTATCTCCTCTTCAATATCTTGCTCTGATTGGTCTGGAGTTTGATTTGGTTTAGAAGGACCAGCTTTGTCTTCTTCTCTGTCTCCATCTTGGCCGTGCGCCACTGGAGACTTGCGGCCCTTAGTGGAGGGAAATGGAGGAACAGTTTGTCACAAAAAGGAGTGTGCAAAGACATTGGGAAAAGTAAGGCCAATATGGGAAGGAGTACTGCTTAAAAAACTATGGGACCAATAAAGTCAGGACAAGGTCTTAATTGTCATGTTTCTTTGATGAACTGCTCATGGGCTTAAGTGTCTTGTTTAATTTTTACCAATTAAAATATAACATTACTCTGAAAGCCAAATATATAGTATAAGAGCTCTTATAATGATGCAGGTGTTAATCTAGCAACTTTGGCCAATTATAACATAAATAATATAATATAATATAATATAATATAATATATAATAATATAATAATAGAAACACTGTTTATTCCCAAAACTAAAGTTAACTTTAGTTTAGTTTTCTCTCTCTTGTAGACAATGTGTTGTTTTTTTTTCCTCTCACTCCCCGAAAATAGAATTCTAAGCTCCGTCTCTGGATGAAATGCAAAACATTAAGGAGTGCTGCCTCTTAATAGCCGTCCACATATTAAAATCTGATTTCACTTACTAAATAATTGGTTTAGTTCTACACAAGCAGTCTTTAGAGTTTGCTTGCTTGATTGCTTGAGTAAAACATGGAAACATTTTTGAGCCATTAAGGACTCGTAAGAAGTCATTTCCCGAAACAATAGCAATGACAGTAGGCAGACAGCAGGACAAAGAGGAGGGTACAGTGGCAGCCACGGCCAAGTCCCAACAGCACAGCAGCTACAGGTGAGAGGTCAAAAGTGAAAGAGGTGAGACGGGAGTGACAGGAACCAGAGAATTAACAGGAGATGATTAACAGACAAAAGACAACACATATATTGACAATTAAGATTAAGATCGTACTACTCTAGTAATAAAAGAATGTTTCAATTATGTCTACTTGCTCCTCATGCACATAAAAAATCTATGAAGGGTAAAATCAATATGGAAGCTGTTTTATCTGAATTTATGAGATTCTGTAGAGGTTTTTCTTGCTCTGAATCTGCAATTGAGGCGTGACATTTATCAGCACTAGAACAGTTGATTGATAATAAATTCATGTTAGCCCTCATAATCTATAATAATAATAATAATAATAATAGTAATAATTATAATCATAATTGTGTCTTACTTGATGTGAAGGTGGCTCTGGGCTAAGGTCTCTAGAAAGGGCAAGATTTTGTAACTCTGGCTCTGGAGCTTCTGCACTGCCTTCACTGTCCTTAAAACATAAAAATATGTTTAGATTATTAATTAAAAAAAGAAACATCATAAAAATCATAAAAAATAATTAGTACCTCATACTGTAGGCCACTTCCAAGATCATCTATATTCAAATGGAGGTTTTTCAGTGGACGGTCTGAATCATTTCGACTCTGTTGTAAAATGTTCAGGCTGATCAAACCTAATACACATTTTAAACAGAATCTTGTTAAAGGCAAATGTTAACGTACCTTATTTTCATCATCGTCCTCTTCATCATCCAAACCGGGTGAATTTAAAGACACTCTCTCTTCATGTCTCATGCCCAAAACACTGGACACACCACTGCTTCTGGGATCCTGGAAACAGCAGACACTTAATCACTATTACTACACCTATATAGTCCTACTATTACTCCTCACAACTTCTTTCTGATAAAATAAGGAAAATAAATTGTCACTGCTTTGAAATATTGTAGGTGTACAAGAAAACATACAGGTGTCTGGTGAATAACAAGCCAAAATGATTATTACAACAATGGAAGTAATGTTTTACAAATGTAGAAATGCATGCTATGTTGTAAACATTACCCCGAGGGAAGTCTTGAGTGGCTCTAGCCCCCCTGCACTCCCCAGAGGCCGTCTCAGAGGCGGGACAGACCCCAGCGGTCCAAGTCCCGGGGCGTCTAGACCCCGGAGAGGAGCCAGCCCCCCAAGTGGAGACGTGAGGGGTCTCAAAGCAGAGCCCAAAGAGTCCTCCTTCTTTTTCTTCTCCTTTTTCTCCTTCACTTTCTTTTTCTTTTTGTCCTTTTTGGCTCCTCCTGAACTCGCTGCCTGTTTACATCTCTCTCGTTCCTGGATCACAAGATTGCGGTAGTTTTCGTCACCTGGATGTTCCCATGACGACTGTCCCGTGGAGAAGTTGAAATAGTAAATGTCCCCAGTTACATCTTGGCTGTAGAAATAAGCAAACAAATGTTGATACGGATATATATAACACCCTGAATACATTTTCAAGCCACTACATGTATTTTGCCTACCCTTGATCAATACACAGGCATCAACTTCACACAACCAACAACCCAATTAATAAAGCACGATAAAAAAAATCTATTGTGCTACTTACTCTATCCACAGCTGTAAGGAATGAATAAAATCTGTAACTGCACTGTAATATCAACTTTATGATTGTATAATAAGAAACTGTTTTGTCAACACAGCTTTAACATCACTACAGCTAAAATGGTCCTGGGGCTGTTGTTAAGGAAACCCCCCCTCAAGTGTCATATGTCAAAACCACATGTTAAGTGTTGATTAGGACAAAACAAACAGACACGGCTTGGTTTTTACTTCTCACCATGGTTTCCAGCCACTGGGCAAAGGGGCAATAACTCCCTCGCGGGCCAACCACATAAGCTCTGGCTCAGTGTCTGGGTCAATGCCAATCTCTTTAGCATAATCTCTAACCTCTGGGGTAAAAAAAAAAAAGTTTATGAGAAAAAACAAATTTTAAAACGTTTATTAATGTAACTATCACCACACGCTGGCTGAATATATCATGCATACCTTGTTCAGAGGGAATATAGTCATCGTCATATTCCTCCTCAAGGATGAGCTGATCTCCTACTAGAACAGCTCCAGACATGTTCACTGAAAAAAAACAATGTCAATTAAAGCCGCGCGCGGCGATAGTGGCCCTCGCCCCGGCGCGCACCGCCCCCCCACGCGACCTCCGAGGACTCGACAGCTCGTCCACCAGAAAAATTACACAGTGTACCTTTAAATGTTTCAGAGGAGTCATTGCGCCCCTACTGGCCAAACGTGGAAAATGCAGCATGTTCGTAATAGACTTTTTTGCTTGTAATCATGCAGAGAATTTTATTCCCGAATTTGGTACAAATCCAATAATGTAGATGTTTCATGTCTATGCTAGGGGGCACTATAGAGTTCACTTTTATTGAATTTCATATTTCATTACATTCAGGCCTGGATCACACAGTTGTGATTTCGAATTTGAGTTCTCTAGGACAATGCTTGTGGCCATGACAGGTCACCGAAGAAACAGGAAATTAAGGCGTTTTTGGCCAACGTGCTACGGGTGAACCGTAAGGAGTATCCCCAAAAAAATTGGCAACTTCTGTGAGTTCATGTCTGTAGATGTGACATGTCAAATCTGAGCTCATTTGTACCAAACCCCGGGGACTTGAATCTTTTTGTAGACCCCCAAGTCAAAACGGCGCCGAATGTTTGATCAAATATGGCCGACTTCCTGTTCGTCATAGGGTCATGCTCCAATTCATCTTTTGGCTTGTCTCATTGTTCTCTATCACTGTCCCGAATTTCGTTTCCCTGCGACAAACTTTGCCTGTCCACACTCCCATTGGGGTCAAATTCTAGGCGGCGCTGTTGAGTCGGGTCACTCGGGTCATTGTTGCGATGCCCATTTTATCGAATTTTTCGCCGGGCCGATCGATCTGGACCCCGGTTTGGGGACTTTTCGTCCATGTTCAGGGGGTCAAAAATGCGATCGTTTGGTCGGAAAAGGGAATAAAAAAAAAAAGAAACCGGCGAAGAACAATAGCCCTCGCCAGTTACTACGTTACTGGCTCGGGCCAATTAAAGCCGCGCGCGGCGATGGTGGCCCTCGCCCCGGCGCGCACCGCCTCCCCACGCGACCTCCAGGGACTCGCGACCGCCCCGGCACCTCACCCTCTCTTCCCGACATCCACCCAGGTCGACAGCTCGTCCATTAGACACATTACATAATGCACCTTTCAATATTTTTAGGAGTCATTGCGCCCCTGCTGGCCAACAGTGGAAAATGCACCATGTCCGTTATATATATTTTTGCTCATAATCATGCATAGAATTTATTCCCTGAATTTGGTACAAATCCAATAATGTTGACATGTCATGTCTATGGTAGGGGGCGCTATAGAGTTCACTTTTCATATGTTTTATAGTTTATTATATTCAGGCCGTGATCAGGCATTAGTGATTCAAATTTCAGCACGATCGGACTAAGCCTGTGTGTGTAATTATTTTTTTTAAGTATTTTTGGGGGGGGGAGGAGTCTTTGCGCCCCTGCTGGCCAACCGGAAAAAATGCCCCATGTCCTTAATGGACTTTTTTGCTTGTAAACATGCATAGAATTTAATTCCCGAATTTGGTCCAATTCTGATAATGTTGACGTTTCATGTCTATGCTAGGGGGCGCTACAGAGTTCACTTTTATTAAATTTCATATTTCATTACATTCAGACCTGGATCACACAATTGTGATTTGAATTTGAGTTCTCTAGGACAATGTCTGTGGCCGTGACAGGTCACCGAAGAAACAGGAAATGAAGGCGTTTTTCGGCGGCGTGCTACGGGCGAACTGTAAGGAGTATCCCAAAAAAACTTGAAAATTTCTATGAGTTCATGTCTCTAGATGTGACACGTGAAATTTGAGCTCATTTGGAGCAAACCCCGGGGACTTGAATCTTTTCATAGACACCCAAGTAAAAACGGCGCCGAATGTTTGATCCAATATGGCCGACTTCCTGTTCGTCATAGGGGTGCACAATGATTGGCTTTTTTGTTTGTCTCCTTGAGTTCTATCACTGCTCCGAATTTCGTGACCCTATGACAAAATATGCCTCTCAGACTCCCATTCATTTTAAAATGTGCATTTTCAAGGGGGCGCTGTTGAGTGGGGGGGCTTTGGGCATAGTCAGGATGCCCATTTTATCAAATTTTTCACCGGGCCGATCGATCTGATACTCAGTTTGGGGACTTTTCGTCAAAATCGCGATCGTTTGCAAAGAAAAAAAAAAAATAATAATAATAATAATAATAATAAAAGAGCGTAAGAAACCGGCGAATAACAATAGCCCTCGCCAGTTACTACGTTACTGGCTCGGGCCAAAAAAGAAACCGACGAAGAACAATACCCCTCGCCCCTAACTTTGTTAGTGGCGAGGGCCAATGAAAAAATATATAAAACATATCATCATAAATCATATACATTATATATTCCTGATGTTTTATTTATATGATGGCCTGTTAAAATAATGATTAATGATTTGTTGGATGAATACAGCAGGACAATAGACTCTCGCTGTTACTAATATAAAGAGATAATTCAACTAGTACGGACATTCTTTCTTGTAGATCAGAATAAACATTTGTGGATACATTTTAAAACTATAACCATAAGATATGTTATCAAGTTAACTGTGTAAATAAAATTATAGTAATAGTAAACCCAAACAGTCTGGTGGAGGTAACATGTAGCTACCTAATAGGATTAAGTTAGATTATTAGTCCCACACTGACAAGTACCGTGTAGTTAATGTATTTTGAGTAGTGAGTGTGACAGTGCTCTAGTACGAGACTGCCAACTTTCGAGCTCCTCGGTTAACTCAAATATAGGATTAGCTCCATCTCTTATTGTCTTAGCGCCCTAGATACGAGTTGTTAACGATATACAAGAAAACGCTTCAAGTTACGCTTTTTTGTTATAGCAGGCAATTTACCTCATATATCTTTTAATTGGAGACTTTTCCCGTATACTTTTAACTCCAATCAGTTCTCATTCGGGGCATGTTTCATGTATAAAAAACAAATGAAAGATGCAAAAATTAAAAATAACGCATCTCCAAGGACGCTATCCCTGCTTCCTGTTGACGTTGGAAGCACGTCGCTGATTGGCTGAAATTCTTATTCCTGCGCAAATATTTGGACGGTACTTAACGCAAAAAAGGTGTTACTGCCACCTTCTGTATTGGAGTATGAAATGACGTTATCGATCACCTTTAACCAAATGTCTAAATAAATAAAATATTAAATATTGTAAATGTTCTTCAAGCATTCATCATAGAAAACCACATTCATATCCTATACAAATACTACAATATACTAAAATTGTGCTCATACTAGCGTTGCAAAGCCTGATCTCGTCAGGTCTCAGAAGCTAAGCAAGCCCTGGGTAGTTCTTGGCTGGGGACCACTGGAAATTCCAGTTGCCACATTGGGGTGCCCGTGGCAAAAGCTGTCGTTGTGTCCTTAAGCAAGACACTTCACCCACATTGCTTAGTAATAAAGTGAAGTGTGTGTGATTGTTGGTGGTGGATTATTCTTTTGGGGGAAATCACATTGACTAACATCCTAGACTGATAAAATGAACCATAGTCACCCCTAACTTTAACCTAAAGTTAGGGGTGACCTCAGATCAAAACATTCATGTTTTGATCTAATAATAAAGGATATACATTATGAGAACTATATCTTTGTCCCCATCAATTGAAATAATTTAAATTGCCAGAAAAAACATTCTAATGTTTTGCAGTTTTGTTTTGTTTTTTTTTGTTTTTTGTTTGTTTGTTTGTTTTGTCCTTGTTAAAATAAAAAAATAAAAAAGAAATCATAATAATGTGATTTTTAATATATTGTTTTTTTATTTTTAAGGCTTCATCTACATTAATGAAAAAGGCACAAAAAATTGTTCTACTCACTGCTTACTAAACAGCCTGTTGTGAATTTAGTGTTTAAACCCCACTGCGGTTTCTCAAATTGCTCCTAATTCCTTTAGCCTCCCATTCACTACTGGAGGCTACATTAACACAGCTTTGCTAAATGACTGTGACTACTTAGGGAGCCACTGGTTTAAAACAGGCCTTTGTTATGCAAGTCAGTGAAAAGGACGGAAACAAAGAAACAAATAACATATTTTCTTGAGACTATCTGTGTTTAAAGTTGATTACACAGGAAGAGGGCTAAAACAGTCCATATGTGGTAAGTAGTGATTCACTTGTTTAAATGCAATAGTGTAGGCGTTTTTTGGGAAAAGGGTAAATGACCTCTTTGTCTTGGGCAATGGTTGTTTTATACTCTGAAATCGACCTTGAAAATCAGATGACTAACTCAACATTCAGAGCCACATGTACAAAAATGTAAAGTACAAATCTAGAGTATAAAAACCTTCAGAAATTTACTTGCTACTAATTAAAGCTAATCATGCGTTTCAAGGTACAGAAATGGTCCTTGTTATAACAAATATTTTGAATCGGTCCTTATAAAGTCATTCACTGTAATATAATGTTTATAGTTTTAACCTAAACAGGTATAAATAAAAAATAAATAAATCAAGATGACATTTTTTTAAGGACAGTCAGTACAATGTATCCTCTCACCCACAGAGATTATCTAACATATTGACTGCATGTCCCTTGTTGGTTTGAGGTTATACGAGTACAAGTCTGTTTAGACTTTGTTTTCTCACTGTACAGCGCAGAGGGAGAGGCAACCTACAGTGTGGCTCCAAAACCAGGTCATTAGATTATAAATAAATAAGTGTAATAAAGCATAAGTGACCTGCAGATGTGCTATTGCAAAACAGTGAAGTGGAGTTGGCTGCAGTTTCTGACAGTTACAGCTGTGACAATGGCCCCCGCAGACATTTCATCAAATCAGCACGAAGCACCACATGAACTTTGAACCTAAACCAGGACGCGATTAAACAGTGGATTGGCAGATTAAATATTTGTCAGTAATTACTTCACATTTGTCTCACTTTTGAGTGTGTACTATATATTTGGGCACTTTTCAACTAATTTAGTTTGCAAAATGATTGCTGTTTGTAACTATGCCATCATTTCTTTAAAGATAAAATAGTTTGTTCATGTTGCTATAATAACTCAATAGTAGAGACTGCATAACATTGCAACTTCTGCTTGTATCTATGCCATTGGTTTGAATTTTGACTCTTCTAAATTGACAAATTCCTACTTTCGTATTCACTCTCACATGTGACACAGGCCACTAGAATTCACTGACACTATGTGAACTCCATCAATATAATACTATACTAGAATACTTTCATGCAGACATTTTATTACTTATAAGACATTAGATTTATATAACACATTTAAGACATCCCAAGAGCTTCACAGTGCATTTATACATTCATTCCACAATTGGTGGTGGTAAGTATTGGAGCCACAGCTGACCTGGGATAGACTAGAATCTGTGCCATTAGCCCCTCCAACCACCACAGACACTCAAACACCACATTCATAATAGGTAATGTGAGTGAAATGCCTAATGGCACAACAACAGTATTTCCAGTAGTATCCCATCCAAGTACTGACCAGGCCTGGCCTTGCTTAGCTTTCAAGATCTGATGATCAGGCATTGACAAGCTGGTGTGGGAATTATTCTTAAAAAATGGTGAGTACTTTCTAGCATTAATTAATCCCCAAATATTCTTCTCTTCAGGTTTTGATTAAACACTCACATTTTGTTAGCGATAATGGTGCCAGTGTAAAATAAGAACCGACTTCATCAAATTGTTCATCAGGTCATTTATTGAAGAAATATTCTCAAAATACCAGTTGCATTAGACATGAGCATGTTGCCTCAGAATGGGATCACCTGTACCAATGATAACACATGCGTTTAAACACTATCTCCACTTCAGGTAAAGGTCTCGCTGATAAAGTGGAGATAGATGGCTCAAAGTGGCAGCTGCATCGACACTGAGCAGAAAGTCTGTCTCAAAGGTTGAACTCAAGAGATAAGACAAATCCTTTACAGAGTCTGGCCTCAGGCTGCGTGCTCTGCTCATTACCGTAAATTATGGATACATAAGAGAAAGAATGGTCAGTTGTGACAGGTAGCGCACACAGTAGTTACACTTGCTCAACATTTGATAAATAATATAAATAATGGTATATATTATGCATAATATAACTGCCCTGGTTCTGAAAGATTGGAGTTGTGCTAGTCCATGTCAGTCTCTCTGACAAACCACATACTTCATTCATACCTTGGCAAAGTTATTTATGTCTCTTTATGGAGAGAGAATTATTTTGTATGTTTTAGACCTATCACATCATGATATAAATCATCTACCACACATAAATCAAAAGACCTAAACATTAGTTTTCAGTAAAGCATGTCCCTACCTGCATGAAACTGCTATGTTTGGAGGCACTAAATTTGCACTCATGTTGAGATAGTTTAGCTATATTGTTTTGTAATCTCTTTCACACAAAAAAAAGATAGTAAAAGCTAATAATAAACTAAACTAAAAACATGTTTTACAAAGATGACAGACGACTAACATTCCCACTGTATTGAAAAAGTAGGCCCTCAGTCATCCAGGCAAATTAAAAAGCAATATTGTTAAGTTTAAATATTCTAAAGATGCTTAATTGCCCAGCTCTGTTCTTGTCTCCCAAAATTGGTGAGGAGGAGGGGATGGGGGGAAAGGGGGCATGGGTTATAAATCTTGCTGTAGACGGGATGGGGTCAGGGGTGAGTGCTCTGTCATCTTACTGTCCTCACCCTGTTATCAACTCACGGCTCCGGGCCACCACCATCCAATCACAGCAGGAGTCCCACAGGAAGATAAGAAAAGAGAGAGTCAGACAGAGAACGGAAAGTCTTAATATTTTATTTAGCAACAAGCACAAAAAACAACAGAGACTATTATACAATTTATGTTTTTATTTTGAATTTATTATTACTATTTAGATTTTTGCTCTTTGTTATATATTATATTATATTGCGATGTGAGCTACTGTGTCCAAATAATTTTCCGGGTGGATCAAAAAAGTTTGCCTAAGTCTAAGTTGGACTCAGAGTTACTCTTTATTTGAGTTATAGTTATAGTTGTTGATATAGTTAATGTTGTTTCATCATCACAAACATACCTGGAGTGATATTGTGCTTCATTCATACATGTTTAACACACAAAGCCTGCATATTTAGGCTTAGTTCTTCTCTCAAACAGAAAATATTCTGTGATGTCATGCAGTAATACAGAAAGTACTTCACTCTGTTTTTTAAACTCCATATGTTATTTTAATAGATCCATGCTCCATACACCTTCAGTATAATCATCTGGATCATTTTAGCTCTGGAATTGCCAATCTCTACTGAATAAAGGTAAAGGGTAGCTGTTAACTTGAAAACTACCACTACATGACATCACAAGGTGGAACAGGACATTTTGAGCTTTGGAGATGTAGCCAGATAATAATGCAGGATTATTCGAACATGTGTGAATGAAACAAAACACAAACCCTTAGTTTCAGTCTCGTTAAGAGGCCATGGTTCACTGGACAAGAGCCTTTCCAAACTATTCAGAGTCTTAGTACAAAATCCCGTTACGTCCCAGACCGCATTAACACAATAAGGCACTGACCTCATTGCACACAGTCACACAGACCCACAGTCACATGGGGACAATTAAGAAAACCAATCAAAACAACATCTACTTAAATTTAAAAATACTTTCTTTTTCTTCTTTAAGTGCATATGACAAGATTTGATGATTCAAATTTCTACTTAATTTGGTGGGATAATACCTGTTGTAAATTATAACTTTAATCAAATCAACAAGCAATTTGAAGAAAAGTTGGGAAATATGGCATCATACTAGTGAGAATTCTGTCCAAATGTTCAGCAAAATTTACGCAAAAAACTATCCATTCATCCATTTTCTTCCGCTTATCTGGGACCAAGTTGCGGGGGCAGCAGTCTAAGCAGGGATTCCCAGACTTCCTTCACTCCAGACACGTCCTCCAGCTCCTCCAGGAGGACCCCAAGGCGTTCTCAGGCCAGCTGTGAGACTCTTCCCCGGGGCCTCCTCCCGATGGGAAATGCCCGGAACACCTCCCGAGGGAGGCGCCCAGGAGGCATCCGGAACAGATGCCCGAGCCACCTCAACTGGCTTGTCTCGACGTGGGGGAGCAGTGGCTCTACTCTGAGCTCCTCCCGTGTGACTGAGCTCCTCACCCTATCTCTGAGGGAGCGCCCAGCCACCCTGCAAAGGAAACTCATTTCGACCGCTTGTATCCGCTATCTTGTCCTTTTAGTCATTACCCACAGCTCAAGACCATAGGTGAGGGTAGGAATGAAATTTGACCAGTAAATCGAGAGCTTTGCCTTTCGACTTAGCTCTCTCTTCACCACAATGGTTCAATACTGCGACTGCATCACTGCCACTGCTGTACCGATCCGCCGGTCAATCTCACCCTCCATACTCCCCTCACTCGTGAACATGACCCCAAGATACTTGAACTCCTGCACTTGTGGCAAAAAAAAATATTTTTTCTGATACTAAAAGTGTTTTCTCATAATTTTATTCAAATAACAATTTTTCTGTACATTAGATAAGTTTTGGCACAGTGCACCACATGGTTGCTAGGTAACAGTTGGGGAATTCCATGTGATGTCTTGATTTCCAACAAGGAAGTAAAATTTTATATCTAATAAATTTGCCAAATTGGGTGGAAAATTGTAAAAGTTTTAATAAAATCTTAAATACAATAACCTTAACTATGTTTTAGTAATTCTATTCTATATATATTCTATATTCTTAGTCATAGTTATCTAACCTGTCATAGGCTCTTCAAATAAGTTTCTCAATAGCAGGGGGTGTACAGTATATTTGGCCTCTTCTATTTTGTTTGTCAAATGCATATTTACATTGTCCAAGCCTATGAGTGTATTTACCATAAATGCAAGGTTATTCATAGAAATCAGTTTGCAGTGTACATTAGGCCACATTATGCAATAGTGACCTGTTTCCAGCTGATCTCAGTCAAAGGCAATAATTAACTATGGACTTATTAACCTTGTCTTATCAAAATACGTAACTTCACACTAAAGTGGACATAAGCGTTACATGTAAACTGTATTCTAAATAGGTGGGTACCATGTTGTCAGTTAATAGCAAATGTATTTATGTATGTATTTTCCTGTTTTTGCTATTGTGCTGAAAATTTGGTTGTCGTAAACAGCTATAGAAACAAAACATTTATTAATTAATTTATTAATTTATCAACACAGGGTCTAAAACGGTGCAGCTTCGGCAGTGATGCGGTCGCTGCATCGGACCGTTGTGGTGAAGCGGGAGCTGAGCCGAAAGGCGAAGCTCTCGATTTACCAGTCAATCTTCGTTCCCACTCTCGCTTATGGTCATGAGCTTTGGGTAGTGACCGAAAGGATGAGATCACGGATACAAGCGCTCGAAATGGGTTTCCTCCGCAGGGTGGCTGGGCGCTCCCTTAGAGATAGGGTGAGGAGCTCAGTCACACAGGAGGAGCTCGGAGTAGAGCCGCTGCTCCTCCACGTCGAGAGGAGCCAGTTGAGGTGGCTCCGGCATCTGTTCCAGATGCCTCCTGGGCACCTCCCTCGGGAGGTGTTCCGGGCATGTCCCACTGGGAGGAGGCCCCGGGGAAGACCCAAGACACGCTGGAGGCCTCTCGGCTGGCCTGGGAACGCCTCGGGATTCCCCCGGAGGAGCTGGAGGACGTGTCTGGGGTGAGGGAAGTCTGGGAGTCCCTGCTTAGGCTGCTGCCCCCGCGACCCGGCCCCGGATAAGCGGACGAAAATGGATGGATAGATGGAGGGTCTAAAACTTCAGCCCTGAGTCTATGCAAATGTAAAGGATTACATAGTTAAAACATCCTTCACCTATAAGCAGGGAAGTGGACTGGCGGGGGCAGAGGGGTCTGGTGTCCAGGGCCCTATGGTCCCAGAAGTGGACTCTCTTCCTATTCATTAATATTAGATGGAGGCTTCTTGCCCCATTCCCCCACAGAAGTGTGGGCACACACAGGCCTGCCCATAAGTGAGAACATGTCTAGTGTACTGTATAAAATTGATATAGCTAAAGTGCTAGCTGCGTAGGAATAGGAAGTTGGCATGCAGGCTCTTCTGGCTTCTACTGACCCTGGCTCCCATTGACTTACATTGGAATATTGTTGTCCCTCTCTCCGTAACTGCTGCTGCTATTTTGTTTTCATTTTTTTCTTTATTTTGTCCATCAAAATAATCCTATTCTTTATATAGAACCTGGCTCCCAATTTGCCCCTGTAAGTACTAGCTTTATTTGAGCGGAGTCGAAATCTATGGGTGACGTCACATTCGCTTGGTCCAATTCTTTATACAGTCCATGACCTAGTGCTTGGTTTGAGTGTAATTTGAGGTTGGCACTAAGAAATGGAGAGCACATCATTCAAGAACTGATAAATGTCAGATAGACTACATTTAATATACTGTAATTAAGAACATGTTAAGGTTTGCAGGCTTGATTTGGAAGGGCATCTGGAGAAGATGCTTTTGCACTATGTCACTATGCACATTTCACACTATTACTATAATCAATTGTGACAAAGTTCAGAGTGGAACAGAACAACCAGTAACCACTCTGCAGTCTTTGAACCATACTCACCCAGACTGGCTTCTCTGCGTCACCCCCCACAAATAGGCCACTGTGTGAAATGTTAAAATCATCATCACAAACTATTTTTATTTTTTACTCATCTAAGCTAGAGGTCTCAAACCTTTCACACCAGCACACCACCACAGAAGTATGTTTGGCTTTTGAGTTTGCGTTTGGTTTTTTGAGTACACACACACCCACACACACGCACACGCACACACCCACACACACACACATATATCTTATCTATAACAATACATTTTAAATGCAAAAGTTTTGTGCTCATCATTTGTCAGGGCTACTGCTACTGCCACTACTACTACTACTACTACTGCAGACATTGAACTTTGCTCCAGTTTTTGATTATTGTGGATTGGCACGGTAATTAAAAAGTATTAACTATAAATCAGGTAAAACATAAAATCTGTACTTTTGACCATTAAAAGGCAAACCTTACCATAGAATAATGAACTGGTATTCACTTCATTTTCATACCATAAACCTATTATAACATTACAATGTGAAAGCTACCCCACAAAAATACACAGTAAACTTGTTCTTTTGTCTTTCAAACCAGCGTCCTACTGTTTTAATCCCAGTGGCTCCAGTTCACACTGAGACCCCACTCCTTTGTGTCTGCAGTTTTGTTTTATCACAACCAATTACTGTTAGATTCAATAGTCATAGTTACAATTTGGATTCAAGTTTAAGTTATTTAGTTTTGTCTGTCCATCAAAGTACCTAGACAATAAACACTAGTAAACTAGAATTTGACAAACTTGTAAATGAGTGTACACATTATAAGAAAAAGAAATTTAAGTGGAGTTAAAATTATTCCTGTAATTTCTGCCAAAATACATTTTAACATATCAGTCATTCTCTGGGTCTCATTCTTTGGACAGTTTAATCTACAATTAAAATATGGTTGTAAAGATGGTAGCAATAGTTTTGTATTTTATTCTTGTATTTATAGAACAATCAAGTTGTGGTTCGAAGTGCCAGAATTTACTAATACATACTTATAATACTGAGAATGCAGCAAATACCTTTAACACATTTGAACTTTTACTGAAGTTGAACAATGGTGAATACTTTATCTCCAACAGAACTTCCCAGCAGGTGACCATTGAACTCAGTGGGCCAGCTCGGGGGTGAGGTCCAGCTCCACGAAGACAGCCCTCTCCCCCTCCTCCCCCTCTCTTACCCCCCCCCTCCTATTGCCCCGTCCTGTAGGCTTCCTGTCTGGGCCACAGCTCTGCCTCTGCCCTATAAAAACGTCACTCCAGCCACAGGTTCCTCAGTTTCGTCAAGAACTCCACCAGGTAAGTACAAGGGATACTGCAGGTCACTGGCTTACATTTTTTACTTTTAAAAGCTTACCTCAACTGCTAGGACTTTGCTGATTTTCTACAGACAGCATATAGAATTTTGTTATATTATATTCATACAAACTAAAAATCCTTCATATGAGGTAAAAATGGGAATTGCTAAAATGTGTAATATGTTTATAACATTTGAAAATGCTAGATGCTAGCTGTATTGTCAATTGTAATTTACAGATTTTTAGTAAAAAAAAAAAAAGTTTATTAATCATTTCTGGGTATAAAAAATGTTTTGACTTTTTAGTATCTGGCATCATATGTTGTTGTTATTGTTATTGCAAAAAAACAGAAAGGGTGTTAAAATGAAAAAAGAATGAAATAACGCTTGTATAAAATCAAACATTTATGAATATATTTTCCTTGTTTTTCTTTAGACCGCCATCATGAAGTACGTGGCTCTTGCTCTTGCTCTCCTTCTTGCCATTGGTAAGTGCCTCACACAGTTTCAAATTTGACAAAAACTTTAAATTTAAAATAAGTTCAAACTGCTTGCATATAAATTACAATGTAACAATTAAAAGGCCAGCTTTAAGGGGACCCTCCAGTGGCAACATGGCAAACTGCAGTTTCATGTCTAACATTGACCATTTGAAATGAAAAAAAAGCTTGTAAAATGTTTAAAAAACTGTCATTAACACACTTTATAATCACTTAATTATACTTGAAAACCAGTTATGTTTATCCACATTTGGCACTAAGAGCTACTTCAAGCTGGGCACTTACATTAGTTTTGTTATGTGATTGTAGACTTTTTGACTGACTCTGACTGACTCTTTTATTAGGTTGCCAGGCTGCCACTCTGCAGGCCGATGCTCCCTCTCACCTGGAGCATGCCCGTGGAATCTTGAAGATGACCTTGGACCAAATAAAGACCAGTATGACCAACATCGCCGAAAAGGTTGACGATGAGGCAACCAAGTCAGTATTTCATAAGTCTTGGTTATTTACTTTTTTTTTTCATGTTACACTTACATTATCTAACTTGTTTTAAAACATTCTTGGTTAGTGCTGATATTTTTACTGAAGATCTGGAAAAAGAAAAATTATATACTATGTTTAGTTCACCGATATGAAGTTGAAATAAGCTTGTTCTTGGGTGAAGGCTAAACTACCCAATCTAAAAAGTCATACTAATAATTTTAATGGTAACACTGTAGCTTTATTAGCCCTGTTAAAGCATGAACAGAGGTAAGACTTAATTAATAAATAACAAATTATTTAATAGAATGATTCAGGCTTAGTAACTTCTTATCGTAATTAATACCCTAATCCCATAATAAAGTAGTCACTAAGCCTAAGTCATTCTTAATTAACTATTTGTTCATTAAGGCTATTAAAAGTGTTGTTACTATAAAGTGTTACTATTAAAATTATGAATATAACTTGTTTATGTTAATGACAATATATGTTCATGAGAATGAACTAATGGACTAATCTTAATAATAATTCACAGGAACGCTATCCTCAGTCGCGTTAACGCCATCCACGACCAGGTCCTCCAGCTCCAGGCCCAGATTGCCCCCATCACCGACAGTGCCGTGGCAACCATTGACGATGCCACCAGGGACCTGCGTATCTCCATCCAACAGGATATCGACTCTCTGAAGAAGGAACTGGAGCCATTGCGAAATGAGCTCAACGCCGTGGTCCAGAAGCACATCGACGAATACAAGGCACTGCTGGAGCCTTTGGTGGAGGAGTACCGCGCCAAGCAGGAGGCTGAGATGGCAGCCTGGAAGGCCAAACTCGAGCCCATCATGGAGGATTTGCGTGCCAAGGTCGCTGTCAATGTGGAAGAGACCAAGAGCAAACTGGTGCCAATCATCGAGAAGGTCCGTGAGAAGATCACCGAGAGAATGGAGGCCGTGAAGGCAATGGTTGACCCCTACGTGCAGGAATACAAAGAGCAGATGAAGCAGGCCTACAGCCAGGTGGGAGCTATGAGAGAGACCAACTTCGAAGAGGTGAGGCAGAAACTGACACCACATGTGGAATCTGTCAAGACCAGCTTTGAGAGTCTCATCAATGAAGTCAGAGCCATGATGGCCCAGTAAACCATCTACCTACACCACCCTCCCCTCCAAAAAACATCATGTGACCTGACTATCCCTTGCACAAAACACCAAAAAAGCCTAACTGAGGCACTTCCCCAACAAACACACAAAATGGTGGGACTCTTGCTTTTTCACTGTCTGATGCACAAACAAGCCTCACATACAAGTCTATAGCACACATACAAGATACCAATGCTATGAATGCTGTATGCTGTAGAAACATCTTCCATTTTGGAGAACATTGTATGTGAATAAAACAACTGGAAAACAAGCTTGTCTGACTTAACTTGTGATCTATTGACTAGCTGCCTGAAATAAACATTTTTATACAACCTAATACTAAAATATATAGCCTACTTATTATATAAACTCACAATATTATTTTGAATAGAGTGTGATTCTTTACATTGTATGATGAAATGTACAGGACTGTCAGGAAGTGTTTCCCAAAACTGAAGAACTACCCTATATATAATTATCGAAAGCTATGACTTCTCTAACAAATAAATGACCTTTAAAACCTCAATAATGAATTTATATAGTAGGTAGTTTAGATGTATTATGCCTATGAGAACATTTTATGATAAGGTAATGTTGTTGATAAGATTATGGGCAATATTAGTGTAATAATTATGGACACACCAATATCTTTTTAGTACTGGGCTAGATTTGGGACAATGTACTTGACTGGATATTGTTTCATGATATGGGTAAAAAGTTATTTACACAGTGTACACAGCACAACCAATGTTTCTTTTTTTTATAAGGTTAGCTATTCTGTAGTATGTAAGTATAATATTTGTATAGTAGTCTAATAAAGAAGTGAATTACTAATAAAATAATTGGAATAATTGGAAAAACTAAAAAGTGATAGCTGTTGTAATAGTAACTGTACTAATACAAACTAAATCAACAAAATGATCTGAATGAAGTGAGCTCATATTTGGAAGAGTACCAGTATAGTATTCTATACTGGTAGAGTTAAAGATTTTAATAAATGAAATATTACAACTACTACAAAGTAAAGAAAGTACCTTTTTCTTTCTTGCTTGTTTGCTGCAAAGACTAGAACAGGGCCTAACTACATCACTGAAAGCTTGCGTTGAATTAGTTTGCAAGCAAAATTGCATAAATGTTTGTGTATTATTTACACACCAAATTAAAATTGGGACGAGATCAGAAATAATATAGGACAAAATAAGGTTTACATTAGGACTTAACTGGGCTCAAAGCAGGACTAAACAAGGACAAGAATGAAAATGGTGAGTGATTGCTCTTGCAGTTGAAAAATAAAAAGGTCATCATTGATTTTGAGGGGCATTGCCATACAATAATATGAGCCCAATCAGTTCTTGTTCAGACAGGCCTCCAATAACACACACAGAGTATCTGGTGCCCTGCTGTCCTGCAAACCTCTGATTAATGACTTAAATCTCACTGCTTTTCAATGCCTCTAGGCTGGACCAGTCAACGCTGCTGAATCTCCGATACAAGAAAAGAAAATTGTGCCCATGAAAGTGAACATTACTAAGATAAAATTAAAGTGATTTACATGTGCACCAAAATTCTGATCATCAAGATATCAGATGATTCAAATAGTGTGAGTACTCTATTTTATTTCTGATTGTTCATACCTGTGCAGCTTTTGACAAGGGAACTTGTGCAAAAAAGAATATACTAATGGGAGAAAGACATAAGATCAAATGTTAATGATTGAAATAGTATTTTGAAATGAATTGTACAATCTTCTGAATGAATTTGTTATTGTAAAAAAATCTTTTGATTAACTGACACATGTGACCAAGTGTTTTTATTATCATTTTTGTGCTTGTAAAAACACACCAAAAATCTGATCTAATTATTGGTTTATCTGATTATTCTAGTTATGAGATGATATTGTATGAACTTGCCCAATATTATAATCTTGTTAGAAAAGACTATACTGTTACTGATCAAATAAGTTAGATAAAATTATTTAACTACGGATTTCTTGCAAGATTACTTTAAAATGTGTAGCCCTGGGAACACCAAATCGAAACCAAAATTAGCTGTCTGCGTCTATCCACACCATTCAACATTCAGCTAATAAGTAGGATATTATTAATTCTCTATGTGTTGTGCTTTAGGCTATAAGAAACAACAGACTTGGGGTTTTTAAGGGTGATGTATCTGTACAAACTGTGATTAGTGCATGTCACAGCCTCATACACTATTGTAATGGATGAGTCAGGATACATGCTCCCCGGTGAGTGGAGAGGTGTATAAAACATGCTTTTCTGTGGTAATGGGGCTCACTTCTGTCTAGAAACACATAATGAGGGGAGGGAATTGAAAACAGGCGAAGATCAGGACCTGCATGTTTGATTTTGACCTGGTTTGTGAAGCCATTTGGATAAAAGTTGTGGCTCATTAACTGTCTGTTGGAAGTTGAATTGGAGCAAGAAAAGGATTCAAACTATGGCAGGTAAGTCATTTTAGGCAATATTGTTTTTTAATACAGAAAAGTTTGAACAGAGAAATAATCTGCACACTGTCTTACTTGCAAATTGTGTATTTTATTAGGATATTAACTAAAACAAATATCATAAAAATTCGGATTTTAGTTATAATACAGTGAGTTCTTGGGTCTAGTCAATAATCTTAAAAAAGAAAAATCCTGCACATCATTTTACTTGCAAATTGTGAATTTTAATAGTATTCAAGTTCATGTTCTTTGGCTGAAATTTATGTGCAAAGGTCTCATTCATTAATACAGATAAGATCAAAGATACAATAAAATGTAATTATTCTCTATTGTTATTATTATATCACCAGTGTCTAATTGTAGTCTTGTCATTATTGTAAGAAGAAAGACATTTTGGGTTTCAGCCTCCTGTGATACAGAACATTTTGCAAACCTTTCTCAAAGAAGGCCTATACAATATTTAGTTTTAAATTGTTAATCACTACGGAAAAGTTCCTACTTTCTTTTTCAATCTCAAAAGATAATATATATTTTTAAATGATCAAATATTTTGTTGTGGGTTGTAAAATTGGATTTAGGTTTGTTATTTTAGGGATATTTTAATATTTCACATCATATTGTTGTATCTATTATTATCCTAACACCAACATAATAATTAAATATATATGGCCATTAATTAAATAATAAAAATAATCATATAATCTATTAAATCTGACCTTGTTTCTTTAGGCTCTCATCTGTCTGGACACTTGGAGCTGTCCCTGCCATGTTTCAACACCGCTCCTTTGTTAAACTCCAAAGCGCCGCAGGTCACCGGGGTCCGAGTGCAGCTGGAGATGCAAGCACTATGGCAACAATTCGATCAACTCGGCACAGAAATGATTGTCACCAAAGCTGGACGGTAACAGTTTTCCTCCTATACAGTGAACTTTAAAGGTTATCCATTTGTTAAGATATGTTGGTACAAGTCATCATACCAATAATCCAAAGGTGTTAATTTTGTCTTATTTTATTTTTCTTAACCTAATTATTCTCTTTTATTTTGATTAAAGTGAATGCTTCTTTTTCCGATTCTTTTAATATATAGTAGGTAATGTGATACAGGCTGCTGGCTGACAAAAGCAAAAAAAAATACTATCTAAAGAAATTCACAATTACAAATGGCATACCAACACTTTTACCACATTAATTTCATGTTTATGTTTTTCATGTTTTGCTTATGTGTGTGTGTGTGATTACTTACTAGATTAACTTTATGGTTAAATAACAACATGTTCACCAGGGCCGTGTGTCTGTGTGTCTGTGTGCATGTGTGTGTTTTGCCCCTATTGTACCTTCAGGAGGATGTTTCCCACTTTTCAAGTCCGTATCTCAGGGATGGACCCAGTGGCCGAGTATGTGCTACTCATGGACTTCATTCCTGTCGATGACAAAAGATACAGGTATGAACTACTAACTTGACTCCATGGAGATGCTATTGCTTTGTCTGGAATGTTCCACGGTATGGCATTAAATGATCTATTATTTGGCATTTATTAAATTACACACAGCCCTCCTGTTAAACTGCACTGAGACCTTTATCTGAGACACAAAGGCTACTGAAAAGTGCAGTCTAAATGTTGCTCCAGCAATTGTTGAAATTCCTTCAAGATCATGAAAGTATCTCTCTCTCGTTGTGACTGATGTGAGTTCACCTCTCCGCAGACCTGACCTGTAACACATTGAGACTATTGTGGATTATATAGTTGGAAATTTCTTGCCTCAACACTGAAACATTTGTCTTGCTCAGATATGCGTTCCACAGCTCATCGTGGCTGGTGGCGGGGCGGGCGGACGCAGTAGCTCCCAGTCGGATGCACTTCCACCCGGACTCTCCTGCCCGTGGAACTCAGTGGATGAAACAGACCGTCTCCTTCGACTCACTCAAACTCACCAACAACCTGCTTGACGACAACGGACATGTGAGTCATTTTCAAATTGAGATTCAGTCATCTAATTGTCAATGATCAGCTTGAGTCTTTTTAATTTAGATGTTTACAGCCAATCCTCTGTCGTTATGTGATTATGTGATTTTTTTTTGTCCATTTAAATTATGGCACAATTATTTAAAATCTGTATTGTTTATGTTCAGGCACACATTATACAAACCATTTATTTGTTAAAAAATTGTCTAAATATGAACCAATTCCCTGCCAATGTTAAATTATATACGGCCATTACTATGACCAGGTTAACATATATAAAACTTTCTGATTTGAAATTTAGAGTTTTATTTGCTGTGTAGACTAAAGAAAAGTGATGGAGCTTTTAAATGTATAAATTCCTGTTTTCTCATTAGATGATCCTAAACTCCATGCATCGTTACCAGCCGCGGTTTCATGTGGTTTATGTGGATCCAGCTCCGAACAGCCATTTAAACGCACACAGAAATTTCAGCTCTTTCTTCTTCCCTGAGACACGCTTCATGGCCGTGACAGCCTACCAAAACCACAGGGTAAGAAAGGTGTAAAAAATGTGTTTGTCAATAAAAACTTTTCTGCAAAGTAATTATTTTACTGGATTAATTAGAATTACAAAATTACAGTACTGTTTTATTAATATTCACAAGTCGAATCGTTAAAGGTTCACTATGTAACTTTTCTGGGGAATGTGCTACCTGCTTTTCTCCATGGAGATGTCATTGTTTTGCTTAGAATGTTACTGTATGGCAATACAAGTATCTATTTTGCATTCATTTTATTCCTAAAGTATAAGTAAGTATAGATACTTTGAAAAACATAGCTTTTTACTGAGAGGGCAGTTATCTCCTCACAGATCTTGGCCTGGTCATGTCGCTGTCTCCATAGAGGTAGATACGCTTAATGTAATCGATAACATCTCTATGGAGACAACCAAGTGGCAGACCCTTTACCAGAAAAGTTACATAATCCACCTTTAAAGAAATGTATAGGCTATTTTTTTAATAGATGTAAAGGCTTAATGCACTAGCTACATAAAATAATGCAGTTTAATTTCTCAGATCACACAGTTAAAAATCGCCAGTAACCCTTTTGCCAAAGGCTTCAGGAGCACAGATGCCCAGGAGTGGTGAGTTCATAATTTCAACCAATGTTCAGTGAATCTTTCAGAATCTTCAATTTATAAATGGGAGGCAAAATTACTGTACAGGAGATGCACTTAAGACTAAAGATACAAAACTATGTTTTGTATCTTGTGGGGGACTCCTTGGTAAAATAATTAAATTGAATGTTCAATGTGCACCGTGTAACACTGTAACCTGCTTATCTCCATGGAAATGGTATTGCTTTGTCTAGAATGTTCCACAGTACACATTACATCTATTACAAGGGAGAAAAGCAGGTTACAGCACTACACTATATTACAATTCAAATCTGTGGAGAGTCAACCCTATTCACAGAAGGAATCGTATTTTAGAGCAATACAAACACCCGTAATGAATAAATGCTAGATGGAAATGTTTAAAGTCAAACATGAAATATTCTAGGCAAAGCAATACCATTTCCATAGAGACAAGCAAATACCGGATCCTCCACCAGAAAAGTTGTGTAGCTTTAAAGGAACAACTGTTGTTATCAGTAAGAGCTATATTTGATTTGAATATGTCTACCTTGTATCTGCGGACACAGTAAAGTCATGGTTATAAAATTTTAAATGAAAATCTTTTTCAGGCCAGGCACCTCAAGGCCTCTCCCAGTGTTATGTCCCTCAGAAAACAGAAGGGGGCATCTATCATCCAAAGAGCAGGACTGGACATCAAGTATGAACACCACAATAGTCACAATTGTTTTCTAAATATCCTATATGCAAATCTGGAAACTTTGTATGTAGAAAAATAAATTAACTTAAACTTAAACTGAATAACAAAACCTTCACATGAGCAGGATAAATGCTTTCCTTCTATTTACAGGGCAAACAGACAGAGGCTGTGAGCAGACCAGACTTTTCCCACACTCTTTGGACTCGCCTGAACTCACCATTCATAGGAAAGATGGGGATAACTTTACACCCTCGTTCCTCCCTCTGCCTTTGTACTGGGACTGTCCCGGTCTGCAACATGAAAGGCCACCTCTGTCATAGAAAAATAATGTTCATTATATGTTCACTAAAAACAAAAATGCATTAGAACATCATTGTCTACTATTAGAATTATGTGCTTCTGTGAGTATCCTCTCACGTGCTTGTGTCCATAGAGATGCTAATGATTTGCCTTGAATGTTCCACAGTTTAGCTTTAAATTATCTCCTAAGAAGCCCTCTGGTCAAGTTACAGATCAGATCTGTAGAGAGGCAAGTCGCTCACAGAAGAAGGCATGCATTCTTAGCATTAAAACCGCTTTAATTGAATAAATGTTAAACAGATAATGCCATATTGTGAAACATTCCAGTCAAAGCTATTACAACAGCAGGTATACAAGCAAAACCTATTCTGAAAAAAACAGAATTCAAGGGGAAACAACTGGTTGTTGACATATTGATTTTAGCTAAATAAAACCATGCATAAGAAAAAGTGTAACTGCTATTAGAATGTGAATGAGTTGTGATTTCTAAAAATCTAAAATTACCTTCTCATTTGTGCTCTTGAATTTGGAGAATGGGCGCAAGGAAATCTTTTGATGTTCAGTCAGTGTTTATGAGCCTAAGGGTGAGTGTCTTCCTATGGCTTAAACTAAAGCAAAGAAACCATAGAGGTATTATAAGGTGACGATTCATGAAAGAAACACGTGAGCTTAGTGGTGCGGCAAACAGGAACCGTCACTTTTATTGTGACGGAAAAGACAATGCTTTCACTTTATTTTGAAAGACCAGCGGAAGTGGTTGCGGTCATAAAGCCGTCTGAGGTTGCGATGCTCGGGTTGTCGCTGGAGCCTCTGGAGGATGCAGCGGGGTGGATGGAGGAAGAGGAGGCGATGAGAGCGGAGTGAACCACGGGCACAGGGCCTGAGGGATGCCGACACAGCGCTGCCTCTTCCCGGGACGGAGGACGAAGGCTTCGGTGGGTCAGATTTAACTAAAACAGGGAGGATACGAGGGGCCCGTGGAGGTCTACGTGAAGCAACGAGGGACAGACAACTACCCTAGTTTCACCGTTTTATCACCACTGCAAGAAACGCCTTTCATGGCCTCAAGGTTTACCTTGGAGATATGCGCTTTTTGTGCAGTATTTCATCTTGACATAGCTTGGTTTCGCCTTTAAGTAAAGATACTGTGACACTAGATCTTTAGTGTCCGTGTATTCATGCTACATTTACCATTATGGCCTCAGCTCTGTCTGTAGCATCACTAGACATCCCCCTACTTACCAATGCAGACGCAAAATTGAACCAAACTCGTTCAAACTGAGCAACAATATAACAAAACAAAATATCGCTTAAACATGGAGTTACTACAGGTTTTGTATGTGACTGTTACCTTTGTGTGGACTATTCTGTGCGTTTTGGAGAGCAGTGAATGCGCACTGGACACGTCGGGCCTGTCCTTAGCCATCCGCGTGCCACTGCGTCAAGGCGCTCGCTCTGAACAGCCACCTGTCGCCCCCAGCTCCGAGAAAGAGGGCAACCTGGTGGGCAAGAAGGCACGGCGCAGGCGCAGGGGGGCAGCCACAGGTATCAGCTTCGTGGATATGATTGATAACCTGCGTGGGAAATCCGGACAAGGATACTACGTGGAGATGGCAGTGGGGACACCGCCACAGAAGGTAAGGGGTCTGGTTTGGAGTAGGCAATTTGGTTGTGCAAATACTGCCAAGACTGGCTGTGCAAAGGTCCGCATTATTATGCAAATTTGGTACATCTTTATAACTACACGTTAATTAGCCTTTATCGTGCATGAACAAAGACTTCAGCTCCTATAGTGAAGAAATATTCAATACAGTAGTGGTGGAGGCAAGTCATGTGCATGATTCCATGGAAACAGAAAGTTAAAACCATACTGTGGAACATTCTCTGAGGAGATGGATGAGTTTTATGTCATATTATGGAAGAGCCCTCCAGGCCAAATGGCAGTCAGGTTTGTGGAGATGGAGATGCAAGCTTTTCTGGTCACAGTAAGGAATCAAAAAGTTACATATTGTGGATTTCATTTAGAGCTTAGGAGATAGGGTTTGTTTAGGTCCATAATAAATCTAGCTATATTTGGTCATGATGAATAGAATCTTTGTTCATGCTTTATCAAGGTGGTTTGTAGTTAATTATTGTGCAGTTATTATTATAATATAATATTAGTGCAAATAATTGTATTCCTTATGCCATCAACCTTCAATTGTACACTACTGGAAAGTAAATCTTGCCATTGTGTCCCCAGATGCAGAGTTTTTGTATGCTGCTATATATAGCCTACACATTTTTATTAATGATTATTATTGACATTGTCAGAGAGCTACTAACTGAATTTCCCTTGGGATAAATAAACTTGACTGATTGACATGATAGCTTGAGGGCTTTATTGCATTATGACTAGTACTTCACTATAGGACTATGAGGGAACAGGGATAGAACTTGACCAGCATTTTAGCTATCTGATGGTCGTGATTCCTGTCCATGTTTGGCCTGTGTGGAGAGTGCATGTTCTCCTGGAGTCCGGATGTGTCTCTTGTGTCTTCTCCATCAACATAAAACATGCAAGAGTAGGCAGCTAATTCTCCTGCTAGATTAGATACAGAAAAAATCTGGCTCAAGATCTGAAGATGGGTCCCCAAGCATTGCACTGGCGTTCACAAAATGCTTTTCCTTCAGGTTTCACCAGCAGGAGCCTATTGAAGTATGAATCAAATGCAGACGACATATTTTTAGGGTGGGGACTAAAATATGCCCCTATAAACTAGATTTGGACACAGACAGGGCTGCATACAAACTGCTATTTGAGTTGCCACATTTATTAAATTGTAAAGACTGCAATTATTTAGATAATAGAATTTCCTCTGTGAAAAAATAAATATTGTATTGAAAAATCCAATCCTGTTGTACCTGTAGTTTAGATTTCAAACTTCAAACTACATTAGATTTTTGTATGAGTTTATCAGTTCATATTTCAGTCTTCTCTCAGATGTGAATGCTCCTGGAGTTATTTAGAATGTGTGCAATTTGAACAGAATCCTACTTTTTAGACATGTATTGCCAATGTAACTGCAATTAGATTTGAATTGATGTGCAGCCCTAGCAGACACAGGGACCTGGACTTAGCTACGTAGAGTACTACTGTGTTAGGACCATAGACGAAGTCTATGGACTAAACTAGGTCTAGACAGCAATAAAAATAAAGGGCTTCAGTTGGATTGTACATGATGTCCGTGTACAGATTAATTACAGAGCATCAAAACCATGAATCCCAATACCAAATTTACTACATTTGTTTCATTCTTGTCTCATGTTATCTGATATCTTAGCAAATAAAAAGATCGTCAAACAGTCAAAGGAAACAGGAGTGTGCATTTTTGTGTGGTCCAAGAGTTGACAAGAGAAGAAAAACGAAGTTAAAGGTGCAACTTTTCTGGTGAAGGGCCCGTCAAATGCTTTTCTCCATGGAGATGTTATTGCTTTGTCTGGAATATTTCACAGGATGGTATTAAACCTTTATGGACACCACACCGGACTAAGTTACAGCTCAGATCTGTGGAGAGGCAACTCCAGTCAAGGTCAGAATGCCTGTTTCGCTATGTATTTTTGAGCTGTGAGACCTGTGATTTGCTTAATGTTAGGTATGGCTGTTTAATTTCATATTGTGGAACATTCCAGGCAAAGCAATGGCATATCCATAGAAACAAGCAGGTGATGGACCAAAAATTTACATAGTGCAAAACTAATAATTCAGACTGAGTGAAGAAAATGCATTTTTGAACATTACCCAACTCTTGAGAAATCTATGATCCTCAAAATGTATTCCCATCTCTTTCCTGGTGCTGTTTGTAACAATGAAATGTGAAGAGGATTTCAGAGTCCATATTTATTCCTGTCTTTGTCTCAGGCTTTGAGACAGTAGTTTTTCTTTGGATATTTTTAGAGTCAATCCATTATTCAAAAGAAAGGATTGGCCAACATAATGGTTTAAGGCTCTGAAGTAAATTAAGTTAACTAAAATAATATTAGATAGAACATTTAAATTGATACTGCGTTCACACTTGCACACATATCACATCAGAACTGCAACTAGACTTGGACTAAACTCAAAACTAAACCAAGCTTAAGTCAGAACTAAACTAAACTAAACTAAACTAATGCATCTTAAGTTGGACAAGACAATGACATTGAAAAAGAGAAAGAGAGAGAGAGAGAGATACAGTACTTTATTGATCCCAACTGAAATTCAAGTTTTGCTGCAGCAACATTTACACTGCGCTTCTCAGTCGTCCTTGTGTCTCAGTGCAGTTTAACAAGAGGACTGGTCAGGTAGGGTCAGTCAGAGAAGTTTGAGGAGTGAAAGAGTCCTCTGGACAAAGGTGTCCCTCCTCTGTATCCTGCAGTATCATAGGGAGAGAGGTGAATCCAACAGGAAAGGCCTATCACTCTTACTCCACTCTGTTGTTGCTTTTGGTGCTAAATTTCAAATGACATTACATAGATCTGGATTGGAACAGGTCTCTTTGCATGAATATAACAAGATAATGGATCTTGTCACTAATATACAGTAAATTATTTGGTTCAACATTTGTGAGGTAATTTCAAGTAAATACTACTTAGTTAAACAGCATCAAGCTTCATTCAGGCTTTTTTGACTGGTTCTGCATAATGTGATACTCTCATAGAGCTGCAGACAGAGGATAGACACCTGAGAGTTCCACAGACAGTGAATGAGAAGGACAAAGAGGGCGACCGGAAGTGACACAGCCTAATACTTACAGGCTCAGTGGGAAATATAACAAGAATACACTGTTCAAATACAGAATTACTATAGTATACTATTTAAGGTTCACTGAACAAATCTACGAGTGCCAGTACTCCAAGCCCTCCTAAATTATTTTTGAGAAGTATAATAAAATTTTTATTTATTTTTTTAAATTACAATTTACATAAAATATAGCTAATCTTGTAATGTACTGTTTATAATGTGATGTTTTTTCTCTTTTAATTTGTAAAGTTCAGAATAGGGCTAAACCTACTGGCCAAAAGAAGGAGGTGCTCATATTGTGTCCTATTTTATTGTAGAAAGACAACAGCAAAATGTCAATAATGGTGAGACTGCTCTCCTCTTTTTATAATGTAAAATTGGCTATAACTCACTCCATTGTGCTTCAAATATGGTGCTATCAAGCACCATGTTTGATTCTGTTTACAAATAGCACTTCTATAATCATCTCCTGTGTTTCCTCTGTGTTTGCAGCTGAACATCCTGGTGGACACTGGGAGCAGTAACTTTGCTGTAGGGGCAGCGGCTCACCCTTTTCTCAGAAGATACTACCATCGCTCTCTGTGAGTGAAACTGATGCATGTCTGTTTTCTATGATTTTGATTTTTTCTCATAGAGCTAATAGGCCTGTCATGATAATTACAATATCGGCATACTTTTTCTTAGTAATAGTCGTGAGATTTTAGCAATTTTTATACATTACAATGAGATTTGAGCTATCGAGGGTTGAATAAAAAATAACTACTATGGTTAATTTTTGGTTCATTCTGCCATTTATTTGTTGCAGCTCAGACCTTTTAATGATACTTTCAATTTAAAAATGTGTTTACTGGGATTATCCTGCTTTTTGTCAGAGGCATAAAGTAGTTTCAGTATTATCGTTTAGCACAATATTTCTCTGTAACAATATATCGTGCTTCAAAATTTGTCATCATGATAGCTACTACAACTTCTGCATTTGATAGTGGGGAAGGGATGACATAAAATTTCCACGGGTTATCACATGAGATTGGGTCCATAAGAACAAAATGCGATTCTGTCAGAATTCTTAACAAATAAATTGTGCTGTTCATGATTTGAGAGTTATTTTATTTAATATTTTCTAATTCTGTAATTGAAACACTGGAACTACAGCGTCTGCAGAGGTATAAAAAATATAAATAAATTGTACAGTAAAATGGAATGTAAAAAAGTCTCACAAAATAATTTTCCACTTATGTGCACAATATTGTTAGATCTTATGGCTTAAGATCTCCCATCTTGTCCCCCCACCTGAAACGATTTGGTAAGTGCTCATCTCTCAGTCTCTTCCGTTTATATTTGTCCCCTCTTTAGATCAACGTCGTACCGGGACCTTGGGCGCAGTGTGTACGTACCGTACACTCAGGGCCGCTGGGAGGGTGAGCTGGGCACGGACCTGGTCTCTGTTCCACACGGGCCGAATGCCACACTCAGAGCAAACATAGCCGCCATCACCCAATCAGACCGCTTCTTCATTAACGGCTCCAACTGGGAGGGCATCCTGGGACTGGCCTACGCAGATATCGCTAGGGTAAGAACACAAAAATGTACTTAGAGCATTGTATTATAGTAACACAAAATATTTCAAACTATATAGTTAATTGTTATTTTGCTTGGTTTGCTTGTGATTTTGGAGTATATTAAATTCTAATAAAGAATACAATTCTAATAAATATAACAGGATAATGGCCCTTGTACTAATACAAGTGTGAAGTTAAAACTTTTCAAGATTTCTAAACTTGATTCAGGAATACTGACATGCCCTATATAAATCCAAACTTAGGCTAAGGCTCAAGCTATTTTATCAAAACTTTGTAGTGAATACTTCTGTTTATCTGTCAGATGTATCAGGACCATTATTGCTATCATAATGTAAAATTCATAATACATTTTTTACAGCCAGATGAGAACCTGGAACCTTTCTTTGACTCTCTGGTTCGTCAGACACCCGTCCCAAACCTCTTCTCGCTGCAGCTCTGTGGAGCAGGCTTCACCCAAAACTGCTCTTTAGGCAGTGCAACAGTTGGAGGCAGCATGGTGCGTAATGGTTATATTCATACCAGGAAGACAATTATTAGTATAGACAAATTAGTAAGGATCATGATGTTTTGTTTGATTCACAATAATCCTTTATTATTAGTCTGTCCTCATCTCCAAAGCTCAGAATGCTCTATTCCACCTTGTGATGTCATGAAGCAGTAGTTTTCACGTTAACAGCTGCCTTCTACCTTTGTTTAATAGAGACTGCCAATTCCAGGGCTGAAATTATCTAAATGATTTTAAGGTGTATGGATTTTTAAAACACAGTAGAGCATTTTCTGTATTACCACGAGTTGTGTTTTCACTTTGAGGAAACTCAGCCTTAATATGTAGGTTTTGTGTGTTAAACATATGTGAATTAAACAAAACATAACTCCAGGTATGTTTTGGATGAGGAAACAACATTATATCAGAGATCAGAGAATAACGTAATATAGGCCATTTGAGCATCAACAGCCTTAGTGGGAAAATGTGTTTTTATAGATCATTGGAGGCATAGACCCCTCCCTCTATGTTGGAGAGCTGTGGTACACTCCAATACGCAGAGAGTGGTACTACGAAGTCATTATTGTGAGGATTGAAGTGAATGGACTGGACCTCAACATGGACTGTAAAGAGGTAAAAATAATTAGGAAGTTGATCATAATGGGTTTACAATTGTTTCAGTTTTTTTTAAATCTGTTATTGTTCTTCTTTGTTTTAGTATAATTATGACAAGAGCATTGTGGACAGTGGCACCACAAACCTGCGTCTGCCCAGAAAGGTTTTTCAGGCAGCAGTCAAAGCCATTGAAGCAGCATCCTCAGTAAGTTCATCTTTTTCTTTTTATGTCAAATTGAGGCGCGACATAAAAAATATTTTTCTCTTTTGACTGGACTATTTATTTTGTTTAAAGTAAAAGCTACAAACCTTTAATTCGAAGAAAATGAAAGGTTTTGTATGTCTATTTTTCTGTGCACCATCAGGTTGAGTTAGTGAGACCACATTTTATACACATCAGAAACATACTGTTCTGAATTGGGTTGTGTTTATGCTTTTTGTTTTCAGCAATTGTGCATGGCTTTTTACCTCTCAAGAAAAAAATATAGCTTTGATGCCAACTGTTACCATGGTTTAATCATTGAAATTGCTTCAAGTTCTGCATTGTTCCAGCAGAGGGAGCAATAATAACTTAAGACGTTTTATTTCTTTACACTTGTTGATTTTTGGTGTTTTTCAGACAGAGCAGTTTCCCTCTGGTTTCTGGCTCGGGGAGCAGCTGGTCTGCTGGCAGGCGGGCACTACACCATGGCACATCTTCCCTGTCATCTCTCTGTATCTGATGAGTGAAAACCGCAACCAGTCCTTCAGAATATCCATCCTGCCCCAGGTGACTGACATATGCACTTGTAACTATACTGTATTATAAATAATTTACCTTCAGGATCAGTAAAGTTTGTCTAAGTCTGTACTGTACTGGATTTAATATATTGTAATTATGTCTATAATTATAAGGCCCAAACCACTTCATTAAAGGTAGGCAGGTTGATTCCATTGCAAAAGAATACTTCTGTCAACTGGTTGAATGATTATGTAAAATATGAACGGTTCACACCTTACTATTAACAACTAAGGCGTGTTAGTTTCAGTAAAGTTAGCTCTTCCCTTGAGACCGATATTTAAGGTGACTTGCAAAACTCTGAACTTCATTACAGAACTGATAAAGCTATTTGGATCATTGACAAAACATGTTCACTTTTAAAAACTTAAGTGCAGTTGACAATTTCATTTTCACTTGTAATCAGTTCATTCACACACATTCATACTATACACATAGGTTTCTGTAGGCTATGTATGAGATGAATACGTATTAATATAATGATTTGTCTATTATGCAGCAATACCTGAGGCCAGTGGAGGATGTGGCGTCTGCTCAGGAGGACTGCTATAAGTTTGCAGTGTCCCAGTCCAGCACTGGGACAGTGATGGGAGCCGTCATCATGGAGGGATTTTATGTTGTTTTTGACCGAGAGAAGAGACGCATTGGATTTGCAGTCAGCACATGTCATGGTATGGATGGAATTAATGTACTAATCATAATAATCATGCTCAGTAATTGGTCTTTACTGCTTTACAATTGTATTAAAGTCAATGGCATGTATGCCTCTAATCAAAATTATGTAGTGATTTTATACATAATGATATTTCTTACATAACCTTAACTTGAAAGAAATGCTTAAAGTAACACTGTGTAACTTTCTGGAGATGTTCCCATGGAATCAGATAACTATACTGTGGAATATTATAGCCAAAGAAATATTTCTATGGCCATCAAGCAAATGGGGGTCTATCTCCAGGCCAAAGAAGAGTCTGATTTTTAGAGAGGCAAGCCTGCTCAACCATGTTTTTCCATGGTTCTTTGGTGGTTAAAAAGTTTCACATTGGGGCTTTAATTTGTGGGCTTCTATGTATTTGGTGCACAACAACATATTTCCTTAAAACTGACAAATCAATACAAATGTATCCTCTTCTTTGTCTCCAGTGCATGATGAGTTTCGCACAGCATCGGTGGAGGGTCCATTTCATGGGGTGGACCTGGAGGACTGTGGGTACAACATCCCCCAAACAGACGAATCCACTCTCATGACCATCGCCTACATCATGGCCGGTATCTGTGCGCTCTTCATGCTGCCTCTGTGTCTCATGGTCTGTCAGTGGCGCTTTGCCCGCTGCATTCATCCACATGGGGACTTCACTGATGACATTTCTCTACTGAAGTGAATGGGAAACATGGTGGAAAATATGTTTACTTGAATTTAAGATGGTTATCGTGGCTAAAGGTGTTGGTGTTGTGAATGCGCTTTTGGGTTTAGGAAAATTTTTAAATTTGAAGACATATGTTAAGTTCTAGTGAAAGGACTCTCTAATGTTTGAATGGTATATAAAATATTAAATATATTGTCCCAGTATATCAGTATATATTGTCCAATCTAGAACCCAACTTATTATTAAATTGCTACTCCCAAATTCCCATATGTTTTAATAATAATAATTATTATAATTCTTCAGATTTACATAGCACCTTTCAAGACACCCAACATGATTTGCAGTGCATTATTCATTCACTCCTCCACACAGCTACCCTGTGCCTGACGGAAGTGAGGCTGCCAATTTGTGCCATCAGCCCGTTCGACCAAGTTATAGTTTTAACGCTCAGTATATTCACTGAATTAAATATAACTGTTCCTAAGTATGATCCAAGCCATTATGTCCTTGTCTTTGGAAAAAAAAAAAAAAAACACAATGGCCATATCTAATGGGACCAAGCTTGATTTTAATGTGAAAAATATAAGGTACATATAAAGTTATATAAGTTGGAGTAAAGTTAATGATGAAATGGAAATCAAGATGGACCTGTTGCTTTATGTGGCTTTAAATGGAGTGAGCATGCTTGTCTATGTGAGGTAAAGTTATAAGAGAATGTTTTTGAAAGATCAAGAGCAAACTACTGCTACCATGGACCCCTACAGTTGAAGTAGGGCCAATGTAACAAAATATATCCTATACAAATTTGTTGTTTTTTTCTCAATGTAAATTTGAGATTACAGACGATGTCACTTTCTTTCTTGTACAAACAGCTTACATGTACATATATACTGTTACATTATTATTATTATTATTCTGTATAGACTTTCTCTATTGCTCCTGCACTGACTGATGATTTGCACATGTAACAACCCAATGCATATTAACAAAAACAGTGTGTAATAGGGCTTTGGGACAACATCCCGGGGGACCATCTATTTGTCAATGAAACTACCCAAAGTATGCCATAGAAGATAACATTGTAAGTTTTTGTCTCTATGCTGCTGTAAATACAACTTTCAAGTGTTTATTTATCTGCCACAACAGACTGGCAGCACAAATAAAGTCATTATTGTACCAAAAACAGGAGGTGGAGTTTTGTCTTTTAAGCAACACAGGGTTTAGACAACAAAACAGAATTGAATGCAAGCAGTGATGCATGCGTGTTAGCCTGCACTTTCTATATTCTACTACTTCCTTTTGAAATAATGCATGAAATGGTGTGCAGTTTGTCATTGTATTACCATTGCAAGATGAGTGCATACATATATTTAACTGGGGGGCGCTCAATTGTGAAAAATGTAATGTCCAGTTAAATGCATATTTCTTGCTGATACAGGTCACCAATGAAGTCAAAGACTTTCAACAGCATTTTAACAGCAGATCATTAAAATAGAGCTTAGATGAACCTGGAGATAACATCATTTTCATACTGTTAAATAATGTAATGTTGTAGAGGAAAACAGTATTGTAATTATACAATATACAGACAACAGCTTTTAGTAAGCTCACAGTAAACATAAAGGTAATACATATCATCATATTAATTAATTTTATTTAGCTAATTCTGGATAGCCTGGTCATCAGAAGTTGTGGATGACAATGGGCTCCCTGTGTTGGGTACAGAGCACCTCGTCGATGTACAGAGCTCCAGACTTATTGCTGATATTTTCCTGAAGTTCAAGTTGGCATCGCACCAGAGCCCTCTGCTCCTCTTTGGACCGTGCCACGGCCTCACGCAGCCTGGCACACAAACACGCTAGTTATATAAAATATAGTAAGTATTGGAAAAGTAAAATTGAACAAGACGGTTTAAGAGTCTTGTTCTATTTTACTTTTCCAAATAATGTAAATGGTTGATGTATTCTTTTAAGAATTGCTCTCATTGCTAAGTGTCTGTGTCAGTGTCAAGTCAGTGTTTCTCAGTGTCATATGGAGGGACCCCTAAGGTTGATACTGCATTCTGACTGTCATTTCTGTCAATTCTGTGACATTTTGTGAGGGAATTTAGGGAATGTGAGGGAAGTGAGGGATTGAATTTACTTGATTTTATATAAAAAATATATTAATTATTGGTAGTTGTAATTACACTTACTAGCATTTGAATTAAAAAAAAATGTGAATGACATCTTTATGACACTAGGTTGAGGTATTACAAAAAGGCAAGGTTTCTGTTGTTTATAAATGCTTTATAAAGTTGTAGTTGGGAAGATGCAAAGTTATGAAATATATTCAATGTTCATTTTTGCCTGCACCTCCTAAACCTATTGAAAATGTGTCCTTACTTGGTGATGTGGACTGTGATGAGTTGGACTTCTTTGAGGAGCTGAGCCTGTGCAGGGTCGAAGCACTGCTCTTTGGATGGGCGTTTGTGGCGCAGAGACAGACGAGCCTGGGCCAGAGTCAGACACCGCTCGTTCTCCTGGATTGACACCTCCAGCTCCTCACAGATTGTCTGCTGCTTGTTGTACTCCAGCAAGATCTGAAGGGCAGAGATATTATGCCTCAGTACAATACTTGATTTGTTCAGTGGAATCTCAAATGGGAATATCCTCCCAATGTAATGGGCGTCAGCCTTCTGTTATGGGTGACATTTTGAGGGCATTTCACCTTTCAAAAGATGGGATTACATTTTGTTTTAAATTGGCAACAGTCCAACATTTTCATGATTCTGAAACCCATGGATCAATACTTTTAATGCATCATTTTTATTTTGGCAAATAAAGTGTCCTCTTGCTGTTATAAAGAAGCAGTTCAAATACCTATTTACAGGCCCTGGAGTTTTAGAAGATAATATAATGTAATTTATGACAATGTTAAATAAGTACCTGTTTTATAGTTTATAATGAATATGGTTATGATTCTCTCATTTACATTTACATTACTGTTGGATTTTGATTGTACCTTGGACAGATGATCCTCCATTTGTCCCTTGGCCTTCTTGAGCTCCTGAACGTTGAGCTGAAAAGCCGAAGTTGTGGCCTGAAAATGTTTTTGTAAATCTGACGCAGTTTGCTCCAAGAGAGACTCCACCAGAGCCCTCAGAGACATGGAGTTGTTCCTCTGCTGCTCCGCTTTGGCCAGGTTTATGTCCGAGATGTTCTCCCACTGCATCGGAGTCACTGACAAGCTGAAAATCACAGGTTAAACATTTAGTTTCATGACCTGCTGCAAGAGGGAGAAAATAGTATAAAGTCATGATAGGTTCACCTTGGCAGAATAGTTTTGTTCGTTGATTCAAGTATGGGATTACTGGAGTGATGCGTCATCAAAATGCATGAGTTGTCAATAGACTGGGCGTCAAATTTCTCCTTTAAGTCCTGCTCCAGATGGTACTTAGATGATCGGTTCAGCCTGAAAAGCAAAATAACACTTATTCAGACACTTTTTTAAATCAAAAGATCATTGTATTAATTTCTGAAACTATTGTAAATATAATAAACTTTCACTACTAATAATATCAAGCAAAGCAGTTGAGTCGCTTATCTGTAAGAACTTGCATATTACTACTTTGCATTTCATTCTTCTCCCTCTGTACTGGTGTGCGCCTTCTGGGCACTGTAGTTTTCCCCATCAACATAAAACAATATAAAACAAGCACAAAAGTATATGTATAGCCCCAGCTGCTGATCTGAGCGAATAGCCTATCAAACCTTCACAGATTGCATTGTTATACATTGACAGTGTGGGTGAAGTGTCTTGCACAAGAACACAACTGAATAAACTGGTTGGAGCTGAGAAATATTGATACTTTGCAGCTGAAGTCATCAAAATTCCCTAAGGGTGTGATGTTAACTGAAAGCACTACTCTGTTAGAAACTCTGTAACTCACATTAGACGTATCTGTGCCAGTGGCGATCCTAAAAATTAGTTGTTTAAATCAATTTTGTATCTTTTTCTTAAATTTTAAAACTTTTTTTGTCTGTGTTTGCTAATGTGTGCATTGTGTCACCATGGTAACATCTGAACATTCCACCTACAGAGATACATGTAGAACACCCTCACCATGATGCCACTGCAAAGTAACAATTTTATTTATTTTGTCAACACAATTTTCCAGGGGTAAGAGAGAAGCTACTGTCAGATGATCACACAGCTCAGTTATACTAATATGATAGTTGTTACTGATTCAGTCTCACCGTATTTGCTCTGTGAGCTGCTGCAGCACTCTTTGCAGAAGCACAACCACTTCTTCAATGGCCTTATGCTCCTTCAATAGCCCCCGGTCCACAGCGTCATGGAGCCTCTCCTGAGGAACACGTCTCATCCTGAACAGACAAAAGGAAGTCAGATATTTATGTTGTTGAAATTTCTAAGCAAATCAGTTCCTCAATTTAGTTTAGCTTTTAAAAATCCAATTCACGTTTGCAATGAATAATTAAATTTTCATACAATAAGAGTCCTACCAATATTTATTAAATGTAATGAGTGTTACCCCTTTTAAGACAACATAACAACAACTTAATAAATAAGAAAGTGTGGTTTATTATGGTTTAATGTTGGTATTGTACAATTTGCAGCATTGTTTGTCACAATCATCTCAATCCCAAATGTAAACACTTCTCTCCAGCCAAGCCATACCTCTCATCGATGCATTGAACAGCCACTTTCAAAGGATCTTTACAAGCCTCGAGAGCTTTCTGCACTCGTCCCTGTAACGTTATGAGGCTATCTGTCTCCAGAATGATCTCCTCCAATTTCTGCTCAAGCTCCTTCTTCAGAAAGTGGATGTCTTTTACTCTCTGGTCTGAACAGCAACACACACAACAAATAATTTAGGTTATCGCAGAAAATTGTTACTTTTAATCACTCAATATAATGATTGCCCTTACCGAGGAGTTTTTTGTCATCATCTTGCATACGCTTGCATGTTTTGTTGGTTTCCTCCATGAGACGCATACATTCTGCCCTAAAAAGCTCAGAGTGGTCCCTTATTACTTTGAAATTGAGAAGGTTTACGCCAGCATCGTACTGGGTGTTGTAGTCCTTTAAAGACATTTTCTCCTGTGATCTTCTGCTCCTAACCTGAATGAAAATGACACAAACTAAAAAGACAAAATATTGTCATTTGTCTTTGATAATATAATCCGATGTATTTGCTTTGAGTTGGATAAAAGCCTACACAATAATTTTGACTACAGCCTGGATGCCTAGTCTGAACTATTAGCTAACGAAACAACATCTAACTTTTGTAACTAAACAAAACTATATCCTTTTTAAAAAAAAACATTATACAATTATAACATTTTTTTTTCCTACCCTTGCGTTTGACACAAATCCCCTGTCCGAGTCCGAATCTCGTTTAATGCGTTACCGCTTGGTCATCTAACAAACAAATGGTTGTTATAGCAACGGCTGGTTTAACATTTTCAGGCCTTTTAATGAATAAAACTGCTGGAATTCACTTTCAAAACATTTTTAAGAAGCACAATAATTAAACAATGGGCACGTTATAAACTTAATCTGTTTTTAATTATGTCTCACCTAGTTGCAAGCAATATTCGTTTTTGCATTCCATTACACTTTTACTTGTTTACTTAGAGATATAAAGTATGCAAAAATATATTTCTGTTCCAAAAAAAAAAGTGAAAATGTTGTGAAGCTAATAAATATGTGCGCATGCGCATTGAACGATGACGTAGTGGTTGTGTTCTATGTTTCACGGAAATGACAAGTTCAGCTTTACTCAGGCAGATTTTTATGAAAAGAAAGCATTTATTTCAAAGGTAATTCGTTTGCTTTGACTTGTATTGTATTTATAAGTATATCTACTCGTATATTAGAAATTTGAATCGCTATTTTTTTCGATCGTTAGCTTACTTTTGCCTGCAACGCTTTGAGTGCCATGTCAAATGTTTTTTTCTGGTAACGGTATGTGTTTCTCATCTTCGTTATTGATCAAAGCTAACAGCAAAACACAAAAGCAATCTGCCCGTCTGTTAAATCTTCGTCAAATCGTATATGACAATCAAACATAAATTTTATGTTTTTAATTGGTCATTAACTGATAAGTGGGTTAACCAGCTAGCTGGCATTAGCCGAGCAGTTGAGTTTCTTTACACATGTTTGCTAATGTTATAACTCATTAGCTAGCGTCAAAGTGTGAAATGTTAGTCACAACAACATGAGTAACTGTGGATCCTTATTGTGGTATTATTCCAGTAGAGTAAAAATGTAAAATCTTAGTCATAAATGTCACACTGGTGTTGTAGAATTGTGGTAACTCGTGTTATGCCCACAGTTATGTATATGCTATTATCACAAACAAATAAATGGGAAAGGAAATACAACGTTTGTGTGATTACTGTGTATTTGTTCTTGTTGTCATATTATTTGAATGGACATGGAGAGCTACATCAACTTATTATTTATACAAATTAACTTTGACTAACTATTTTGTTATTTTCTGGTTTAGGTTGCTGATCCAATGAGGAGGCCTCGATTGGCTGACCCTGTCAGTTGCCCCTGGGTGCCATGGGAACATCATATTTTGTTCCGTTTCTTCTTGTTGTATTTCTCGCCTCTACTACACTTTTATTTATAGCTCTCTTACCATTTTCTTCACCATCTTACCCTTTCTCGCCCTCTTCCACCTCACCCTGGCCACCCCCCTCCTGTGGACCTGGTCAGTCCTGGGCTGTGAAGATCCAAGATGGGGACCACTCTGAAGACCTGAACTTGATCGCTGATAAGGTACTGTAAATAAACTGGGGTATTGGGGCAGTATTGTATGCCACTGAAATGCTATACTATATCTATTGTTATATGTGGGCTGTGGCTGGCTGTACAAGGGTATTTACCCTGAAGAAGAGTCTTTGTAGTCTAAACACGCTTGTAATAAATGCATAGAGCTAATCCCAGACGTGCCTCAGATACAGTATCTCTTTTTATCACTGACTGTACAAGCTTTCATCTGCTAGCAGATTAAACTAGGGCAGAGTAAACACAAAATTACATGGCCCTAGCAAGGCAACTCACAAAAGCTGGGTTAACATTGATGTGTTAGAAAATCCCAAGAAACTTGTAGATTCTACAAAAAAATAAACATCATTGGTGTATGTTATTAGGTTATTTTTTAGACCAAGAGTTTGTTTTCATACCTGACAGTTTTGACCGCTGACTAGCGTTCTTCCGTAGAGTGGTCACATGATGTTGCTGTGACGTGTCTGGTTGGCTGATTTATACACTCTTATATTTATTCTTATTCTTTATAAACTCTTGGTCTGAAAAAGGAACCTAATAACATAAATTATCAGAAGACCAAATAAACCTCATTGGACTATCATTGGTGTATTTATCCATTATATTGTATATTATTACTATACTCTTGCAGGTTGCTGAGCAGGCTGGTCTGGAAAATCAGGGTCAGATTGGGCAACTGCAGGGCCACTACCTGCTGTGTTCATTCAAACCTGGTGGATCTGCTGTTTGGAGGAAGAGAGTCGACCCGGGAGAGGTACTTTCAGCGCATCCTCATGTTTTGTGGTACTCCCAGGACAGAGTGCTCATCCGCTCAAAAAGATCTATGGCCTTCAATGACCCACGATATCCTCAACAATGGCACCTGGTAGGAATAATACATTTTTTAAGGTAAATTTTCACAGTTGCATGATATACATACATTTGTGGAATTTCTACAAAATGTGCTTTAATAGCTACAAGAATGTGTGTTTGGCTCATAGCCTGAAGGGACAAATTGTAAGTAGTCAGTCGTAGTTCCTTTTTAGATTGTGTTTAGTTTGCTTTCAGAAGCTTCAACAATTTAATAACTAATTTAATTCTGAAAAACATGTAGCCTATATAAAAGATTCTGAACCATTTCTTTAAAAACTGCCTCCAATAAAATTTTGATATACTGTATTCACTGTTCAATATAAAAATAACTATACAGCAGTAAATGATTGTAAGCTAAATAATTTGCTGATTTGCCCTATGTGTCATGTGATTGCAGCATAATGATTTGAACAGAGGCATGGACATAAACGTGACCGGACTGTGGGAGCGTAATATCACTGGACGAGGTGTCACTGTGGTGGTGGTCGATGATGGAGTGGAGCACACGCACCAAGACATACAGCCTAATTATGTGAGTGTAACAACCTGTTAACACTCAACATCTACTTGTAATAATTTCTGCATTTATTTACTGAATTAAGATCATTATACCATGCATTTATTATATAGAGCTTTTTAATTAAGGCCCAGATGAGAATCTCACATAATATAAGTATATGTTTAATGATGATAATTTAAATTTGCTTTAACTTTTTGGCCGATATAAGAATTTGCTTTTTTGGAGTACTTCTTGCCTTTCCGCTGCAAGAAAACAATGCAATTTAAGCCCTGGAGGCTACTATTCATAATTTTATAGTTAATGACAGTATTATGACATTTTGTATTGGGTTATTTTAGTTTGTTTTAGTTATATTGCCTATATTATTTTTTTTACTAGTAAGCAACGTTTTCTTTTCCCTCAGAGTCCTGAAGGCAGCTATGACCTAAACTCAAATGACCCAGACCCCATGCCCCACCCAGATGCCCATAGTGACAACCATCACGGGACGAGGTGCGCGGGTGAGATTGCCGCAGTCCCAAACAACAGCTTCTGCGCTGTAGGAGTGGCTTACGGCAGCAAAGTGGCAGGTAAATTATCAAATCACACCTTGCCTAGAGTCAATAATGTGACATGTAGACATTGTTTTTCTATTTTAGGTATTCGAGTCCTGGATGGTCCACTGACAGACAGTCTAGAGGCCATAGCTTTCAACAAACACTATCAAGTTAATGACATCTATAGCTGCAGGTATGTACTGTTATAATAGTAATCATGGGATTTGTCACAACATTCTGATTTCTCCATTACATAATGCAAATATATAAAATATTGTTCACCTTTACTTTTACTTTTAATAGAAATAAAGTTTAACAGTTCTCCCATTTTTTTCAATAAAAAGAATTGAAATTTTTTAAAATCTTTGAATTAATATCTGAAATCATTATCTTGTCCAGCTGGGGTCCAGATGATGATGGCCACACTGTTGATGGACCTCATCCTCTTGGAAAGGTATGTAGTGCTCAATTTGACCTGTAGAGGGAAGTATAATTTAAAATAAGCTTTTTGTGGCAATGATATGGGTTTGTTAGAATCCAGATGTTGTATAATTAGAAGGTTAACATGCATATTTTATTTGCAGGCTTCACTGCAGCATGGGGTGATCGCAGGAAGACGTGGTTTTGGCAGCATCTTTATTGTTGCTAGTGGCAATGGAGGCCAGTACAATGACAACTGCAACTATGATGGTTATGCTAACTCCATTTACACCATAACAATAGGTAAGAAACAACTGCTATATATAGCTATATAACAGTGGTTCTTAAACTCTGGGGCATGGGGTGCTTCTGGTGATGCGCAAATGCTTCTGCAGTTCTAGTTTTTGATTCATTTAGAGTTATTTTTTTATCCATATTTTTGTCCTTTTTGGGTTAAACCTTGTTTAGACCTACTGTAGAAATGTATTTTTTTATTTTTTTTGCTGTTTTATACCTGATTTACCCTAGCCCTCTTGATGATACTTTTTTTGTGGTAAAAATCATGATGATGATTTTGCTCTTAATTTAAGTCACAAATATTTTTTATAATTTCTATAGGCCTAATCTCAAAATGTACCTGTAAAGAAATTATAGTCCTAATATATTTGATTGGAAATTGCTTGTGATAAGTTCAGAAAATGGGCACTGCTACAGAATAGGTGGACTTGGCATTGTATACTCAATTACAGTTTATTTTTTTATAAATAGAATAATAATTTAAATCACAAGTAGAAACTCGATTGATTGCACAGCCCCAGTATTTCATGTGAAATATTTGAGATCCACTAATCTAATGAGTAATTTTTGTATGCTTTTGTTTTGTAGGAGCAGTAGACGAAAAGGGGAGGATGCCTTTCTATGCAGAGGAGTGTGCGTCGATGCTGGCTGTGACTTTTAGCAGCGGAGGAAACAGGCTAAGAAGTATTGTAAGTTTGTAACAACTATAATGGCATTAAATTAAATTTAACGTCTATGAGCTGTGAGTAATGCGGTCACATGAAGGAGTACAGGTCTAGACACTATATAATTGTTTAAACATCAGTCACTTTGTATGAAGGGCGTTGGTTAAAGAGATATAATTTGTAGTGGGTATTTTTCATACCAAAAACATGTAATTATAGGTTCTCGATAATGTATTATTGTAGCCTTTTCAACAACTCTGGACCTTGGCCATGGTATTTCCTTTTGTATAATTAAATGTATTGGGACTTGAAAATACTTTTTATAAGCTTTAAAAGGTCAGTTGATATAGCTACCAGAACTGGATTTTTAGTTGGTGTTTTATATACCAAAACATCTAATTGTAAGTTCTATAAACCCCCAAGTTGTTCACCTCTTGGGTAACTAATTTTGGTTCCTAAGATTAAAATCATTTTCCTGGTAGAGTATCAACAGCAAACCAGTGCCTGAACATTTTCTAAGGGCTCCTGTGTATGTATGTCCTCTCACTTAAAAGCAGTGACATGCGAATGTAGAGAACTTACCCAGATGGTGTGGTCTCTCTCCTCCAGGTCAGTTTTGGCATTGATAAATCAGAGAACTTCTTAGGATCACTTTTTTACCACACCTTCCTGTTCAGCTAGTTTAGAGTGTCTAGTCCCAGTGAAAAGAGTACACTAAAAGTACTTCTCTAAATGTGGACTCATAGACGATCATACTAAGGGGAGGCAGACAGAGTACACAAAGACCTCTATATATTTATAGATTTTTTGTGTACAAAGAAAGAAGGTTTAAAGTTTTAGACAGTTTAGAAGGCAATTTGCAAGGAGTTTCCCCACAATTTCTACACTGATCTAAGAAGATTAAGTTACTAAGTTGTATCCAGGTCATCAAAAGAACACGAAAGTCATGAATGATATTGAATGTCAAGTTTTTGGAGTTTGTCCCCCTCTTTAAAGAAGGCATCCAAACATCAGCTTGTAACTAACATCATCAAGTGACCAAGGTGTGTTTTATTGGAGATCTGGAGACCTCCGTCCCAGAGATGAGCCAAAGCCCCCAATCTTACAATCCCATGGTCCCTAAATCTTTGGCAAAGCAAACCATGTTGGTGGCAGTCTCTTATTAAGTGCTGGTCATGAAGCATGAGTTTAAGGAGGTGAGTCAGAGAACTGGATTGAAGTGAGGCTGATCTTCTTTTATAGTTTGGGTCCTACTTTGGAGACGTGGCAGTCTGGAAGAATGTCTTCATTTCCTCATTTCTTTAATCATTAAGCATATTGCATGTTTTTGTCTCCGTTTGCACCTGTTGATCTTTTCCATCTTAGGCGTCATATCGAACCTTGTACGTTGATGCAACAGTTTGCTTTCAGATATAGCTTTCCATTATGTGGTCCATCATAAACACAAGATCAGCAATAAGGGTCTTCACACCTGTGTGACTATATGACCTATATGCAAACATCAGGTTGTCATATGACATATGGGCAAACATTGCTATATTGCATTTATGCAAACCTTGGGTTATTTCCAGCACAGACATTTTACTTTACATTACTTACAGTTGTTACATTAATGAAACACATAATCGTGAATATATATTAGACTTCTTAAACTTGGATTCCATATATGATTACACATAAGTGGATAATATATGGACATTCAGCACTAGAATATGAAAATAGACTTGAAATAGGTAAAATCAGTACATTCAAATAGCACCCTGAGCTCCACCAAAAAGCCGCCTTCACAACACTATTTTCCATTATTATAGCTTTTTTAACCACTCTGGATGCCTAAGCTGTGGTATTTCTATTCTATTATTCTAGCATAAATCTAAAAAGCTACTAGTACTGGAAACATCATACTTAAATGCTGAATGCATGAAATGCTGAACCTTGCTGAATGACTAAACTAACTGATGCGATTTTTCTTCATAAGGTTTGAAAACAGCCACACTCCACATGAAAAAGACCAGATGCTATTTTAATCTTAACAGTGACTGATGCTGACAGGACAAATTGGCCAGTTAAAGCTATTGACCTCTCTTTGCTGATGTTTGGGGGTGACTCCATAGCAACCAAACTCTGCTCAAACGTGTTATTAAATTAGCAGCCTCGGAAGAGACGAGTATTACATGAACAACTGCAATGTAATAAGCCTAGAGGGAGCACAGATTTAAAACTTGAACAACTGCTTTGGTGGGATTTTTCTCCTGACAAAATGTTTCACCTGTCTTTGCATTGATTTCTGGTTTCCAATGGGCCTACCATTGCAATTGTTTGATGCATCTATTCCATTATCCTTACTCTCATCCTTACTCTTATTTAATATTTATTCAATATTATTTATATTTTTATGTAAAAAAAATTGTGATTAATATTAATTTCCTGAACAAAAAATATACAAACGTTTAACCATACCCATGTAACAGTTCTTCTCCCAAAGTCTGAAGTCTGCTCCAAACCACAGGCTTTTACTGATAGAGGATTGGCTGTAGACTTTGATTGATTGATTGATAGATAGCATTTGTATAGCGCCTTTCAAGATACCCAAAGCGCTTTACAGTTCATTATTCAGTCACTCCACACTCAGTGGTGGTAAGCTACTACTGTAGCCACCGCTGCCCTGGGGCAGACTGACAGAAGCGAGGCTGCCTATCTGCGCCATCACCCCCTCCGACCACCACCATCCCTCACGCTCACACCACTTTCATACTAGGCAATGTGGGTGAAGTGTCTTGCCTAAGGACACAATGACAGTTTTTTTGCCACTGGCACCCCCACTGTGGCACCTGGAATTGCTAGTGGTCTCCCATCCAAGTACTACCCAGGCCCAGCCCATCTCACTAAATCTGATCTCACTAAATCCACTGCCATCATTTGGAGTCAGTGGCTCATTCTTTTCGAGAGCACTTCAGTTACATAATGTGCTCTATGTTGCCTGTATATAGTGGCTTCTATAGTTAATCTGTGAACATGTGTCTAGTATCTGTAAGCCTCCGTCAAGGCTGGACAGCTGTTGACTCCCATGTTGTCAGTGTGTAAACATGGAGTCTGGGTTCATTCTCATTGATCCCCTGTCTACTGTGTGCAGCCCTGCAAATTGGATCATACTTTCCATTATGATAACAATGGTTTGGCTTATGAGCATTTTACTACAGCTAATAATAATTTTTGCATTTTGTTATGTCATTTATTTGTTAGTTAAAGGTGCACTATGTAGCATTTCTGGTAGGGGGTCCTTAAGATATTCTTAATTTGAACAAAGTCGCCTCTCCACAGATCTGACCTGAACTTGGTGCGTATCCATGGATACAGAAAAGATCAACATTCTTGGCAAAGAAATAACATCTCCATGGAGACAAGTGCCCTCTATCAGAAAAGTTACATACAATTGTGTACCTTGTAAAATGGGAATGTAAAATGTCTTTCTCTTATAGCACATTATATAGATCAATTTGCTTTCATTTGCACTTTTTGGTTTTCTATAGATTGTGAATGGGGTGTTTTTCCTGGTTGCAGGTGACATCAGACTGGTCGATGCTGCGTGGGACCGGTTGCACGGAGGGTCACACGGGGACCTCCGCTGCTGCCCCTCTTGCCGCTGGGATGGTAGCTCTGATGCTCCAAGTCAGACCCTGTCTCACCTGGAGAGATGTACAGCACATTATCGCCTTCACTGCCACCAAGGTAAAACAACAATGCCCAAGATGTACAGTTTAACTAATAAAATGTAATTAAAAAATGTTTTTCTCATGCATATTTTAATTAAAAAATATATATATTTCAAAGTGTTTGGTCAGAATTTAATGAACAGAAGTGTGCCATGACTGTTGACCTGCATGCTGCAATAGCTTTTTGCAACAGTTGAACGTGCACGTCATTTTTCTCATGGGAGGTTCAATCGCCTGTTTTGAGTGCATGGAAATGTTTATGCTTTGCCTGTAGAATCACTAATAATACTTTTTGAGTATTATTAGATTTCTATGATTAGTTTACACCGAATGTAAAATCTCAAATGTATGTATTCATTTTTTAAAATTAAATTAAATATGCTCATTTGCTGTAATTATATTTGGGTGACATAAATGTTATTTCTCTCTTGTATCTTTGACAGTGTGACAGTAGTGCAGACTGGAAGGTGAACGGAGCTGGTTTCCATCACAGCCATCAGCATGGATTTGGTCTCCTGAATGCCTGGAGATTAGTCAACGCTGCCAAGGTATTTCATTTTTTTAAACTGCCTCTATACATATGTAATATATTCAATTATGTTCAATTCCTGTTCTGTAGGTTTGGGAGTCTGTGCCTTTCCTCGTTTCCTATCAAAGCCCATTGATAAAAGAAGAAGTGCCTATTCTGACTTATCCAGGCGAGCTGATTCGAACCTGGAATGGTAAGTAACAAATAACATTTTCCCTCTATTCATATTAAGGCTACATCTATCTAGAAGAGATGTATTTTGTTTCATCCACACATGTTTGAGTAACCCTTTTATTATTAGTCTGTCTACATTCCACTGCACAAAATGTGCTGTTCCACCTTGTGATCTCATGAAGAGGTCGTTTTCAAGTTAACTGCTACCTTTTACCTTTAGTTCAGTAGAGATTGGCAATTCTTTCCCGATGATTATAATGACATTGTATGGAGTAAAAACTCAGTGGAGCACTTCCTGTATTACCACATGACATCACAATGTGGGATGGAGTGTTTTCCCTTTGAGAGAGGATCTCAGCCTAAATATGCAACATGAGTGTGTTAAATATCTGTGAATGGAACAAAACTCCAGGTATGTTTTTGATAAGAAAACAATAATATAATATAATAATAATTAGGGGTGTCAAATTATTGCGTTAATTGCGATTAATTAATTACAGTCATATTTAGCGCGTTATGTTTTTTAATCGCGTTAATCTCATTTTTAATCTCTAACTTTAGTGTTTCTGTATGTGAGTTTCTTTATTATAAAACCTGTTTTTATGTGTTGTTGGGACAACAACGCACACACACAAAACACATTTATACATTTTTTTATTTCGGTAATTCCACTCATTGCCGGAAAGCCACACAAAACGCGCGCAGTAACAGCGATGTAAACGTCATGTTAACGTTGGCGGCATCAGTCGCACAATGGACCAGTAGAGCCAGTAGAACAGAGTCAGCAGTGCACAGGTAAAAACACATTCGTGTCTTGGAAATTATTCTCCCGACGTGAAATATAAAAGAAAATAACAAATATAATATCGCCTGAAAACAACCTGCATAGGCTCATGATGTCTGCACTACTGTCCTATAGTGACCTGCCACATGAGGGGACACGCACACAAACACACACAAATACACACAAACACAAATACACACAAACACAAACACACACCTTCATCATCGTCATTAACCTGAGAACGCGCGGACCACGTTTCCTTCCGTAGACACTGCGCGGACATCGCTGTCCTCCCGTGAGCCGCGTGTGGATCGTGTTTTCTCGCATACGCGGCGTAAACCGCGCTTCCTCCTGTGCGTCTCTAAACCAGAACTAACACCAAGACTAAAACCGGGACTAACCCAGTCCAGGACTAAACCAGGACTAAACCAGAACTAAAACCAGAACTAAAACCAGAACTAAAACCAGAACTAAAACCAGAACTAAACCAGGACTAAACCAGGTAAACCAGAACTAAACCAGGACTAAACCAGGACTAAACCAGGACTAAACCAGGTCTAAACCAGGACTAACACCAGGACTAACACCAGGACTAACACCAGGACTAACACCAGGACTAACACCTGGACTAACACCTGGACTAACACCTGGACTAACACCTGGACTAACACCTGGACTAACACCAGGATTAATCCATTCCAGGACTAAACTAGGACTAAAGTAGGTCTAAACCAGGTCTAAACCAGGACTAAAACCAGTGATCTCATATATATTTCTCTATCAATAATATTTTTAATATGGTTAAGGAAAGACTGGACTTTTTATTGTCTTTAAGTAGACAAAAGTTATTATGTTCAGATTTCCTCGTCTTTGCTACTTTACAACAAACAGTTTCTTATTCATGGAGACTTGGGCTCAACAGCCAATTTGGAGAGATTTGTTAAACAATAAATGACTTTATAAAGTCACTTTTTTAAATCTATATCAGTCTTTTGATCTGCCACAATAATGTAATAATGAATTTAAATGAAAATACCTCAAATTGAAGGCTTTTCTCAGCAATTTTTAGGTGAGATTAAAATGAGATTAATTAGATTAATTAATTACAGATCATAATTAATTAATCTCTCAATTTTTTTAATCGCATGACAGCACTAATAATAATATAACACAGATCTGAAAATGGTGTAATATAAACCGTTTTTAAAATGCATTTAACAAATCTCAGCGTATCAGGACATGTTTGTGGAGGTCTAGACTACACAGTTAGCAGTTTTTAACATTATAAGAGGCAATACCTTGAATACTTTGTAATACATTGTAAAACCACTGCACCCTTTGAGAACTGCTAACTGTGCCCATTGAAGTTGTGATCTTTATTCTAATGTGTTAAATCCGCTGTCATACTCTCAACAGCTGATCAGAGTTTACACACACTCCATCCCTCCTCCTTCTCCCTCTCCACTCCTGTCTCCATCTGCCTGTCCATATTAGGAAATGTTCTCCAGTTTGTTGGGCACGGCATTCACTTTCAGTTGCTCTTTGAGATTTGCAGCTCATTCAGATTTTTAAAATTCCTCTGCATTTAACTTCCTGTTGTTACATCACCTCATGTATTTTTCCTTCATGGACTTAGCCTAATTTGTTTGGAATGATCTCATTGTAACATAAATGTTTTCTTAACCTTTGTCTTTTGCTTTTCCTAAGAGCAGAGTGATTCATATGTTTATTCATTATTTTCAAAGTCTTTTCACCAAAATGACACAACACAATTAACAAATATTCAAAGTTCATTCACAGTAGATTTCCAGGAATCCCATTTTTATTTTATGGCCTTGTTGAGACCTTGAGCTTGGCCAGACTTATGCACTTAGTGTTTAACTCAAACAACAGAAGAAAAACAGTTTAAACTAAAGTGACACAAAATGTGTGGGCAGTAAATCTCAACAAATATGTGCATTTTTGAAGTCATTGCTTTGTTTGCATAAACTCTGTTATGGTTTTGTGTTCTGGGTGGCCAGCCTCACAACAATGGTGTGGATTACTATAAAAATTAGTGTCTGATTCCTGGTTAATCTTAAAACTATTTATGATCTGTAGTGTTGAATTGACGTGAAAAAGTATAATGTTTAAACTATAAACAATATGGAGGGTAAGATTTAAAAAGAAACTAATAAGTAACAGTGTTGACATTTTTATTATATTTAAATTAGGGTTTTGGAATTGAGATGCAGCCATTTGTAATTGCCAACTTTATGTTTGGGTCTGTCAGTAAAAGCATTTGATTTGGAGCAAGGACATAAAAATATTAAACTAAAAATATAATGAATTGTTCTTGTGTTAAATCTAATCAACACAATAATTAAAAAAATGTCTTTATACTCAGGATATTTATATTTCTGTAATTTATGCCTAGAAACTAGTGATAAATCCAGACTACATATATTTTGTCCTGGAAGTAAACTCAGGACTTCACTGCTTTACATTTTCATCCATCAAATCTCCTCTGTACATTTACAATTGTGCATTTTACTTATATCTGCCTCCTTGCCGTCCCTGCATCTCACACACTCTGCTTCTTACCATGTTGAAACCCCTGTCCCAAACCTCTCAGTTCCTCACTTCTCTGGACACTCTTCTGTTTATCCAACAGCCCCTCTCACCCCTCAGTCCCTCCCTCGCTGCCCTGAGGACTGTTCAGCCGTACATGGTCAGAGAGCGCAATGGCTCATTAATGCTTATGGCCCAAGACAGACCCAAGACAAACTGGGTTACTTACTACTGACAAGTGTGTTCATAGAGAGAAACGCAAAGGACAGATTTGAAAGAGAATTGTTTCAAGATGGGTGTGTTTATAGCAGATCACTCACTGGATTGTTTGAACTTGTTTTATGTCAGTATTGGAATAGTTTAGTGTTCCCAGTCTCCTAAAATCACATATATTTGAGACACCTTTTTATATACCTGACTATTGTTTCTTTTCTTCCAAATATAGAGCTGTATTTTAATTTTATTTCAAACTAAAGGAAAGCTCATAAAGCCATCATCAGATATATCACATGGCCCTGTACATGCCAAAATATCTCAGTCTTAAAATATGAATTGAGTGCACTGGGAAATACATTATCTGCATTTGTCCCATGCTGTGCCACTGGGGGAACCTGTGTGTAGCAGTGGGCACCCAGACACCCATCTCCAGATCTGGAGCTTGCCTTGGTCAGGACCACTTTAGCTTTAGGATTTTACCATTAAAATACTACACTGCATTATACCTGTACTCTTTTGTAATATCCAAAGTACAGATTAATATTTCATACTTTTGTAATTAGCATAAATGGTGTCTTTGATTTTGTCTCACATAGTTACGGCAGCCGACCTGAATGATTCAGGAATGCAGACTCTGGAGCATGTGGCTGTTACTGTGACGATCACCCATCCCTGCCGTGGCAACGTGGAGATCATCCTGGTGTGTCCCAGTGGCATGACATCAGTGATCGGAGCCAGGCGAGCCATTGACAAGTGAGTAAATACTGCACATAGTATTTTAATGAGTTATCCTGTGAAAGGGGTTGCCATGTCCTCCATGAGTTATTTTAAGTTTGTTGAACTTTGCTCAATGATATCTAGTATTTATTACTATTTTATTTGTTTAAGACTGACTTTTGGAAGTCATTAGTAAGAAGTAAAGTTAATATTTTGTTACCTGCTTTCTTACCTCAGTCAAGTCAATGCTGTTGAGTGTAAGGCATTGTATTCTTGGGTATTTATTTACACATGCCCCAATGAGCATAAAAACAGGCATGAGTGTGGTTTCCTTAGTAACAAGTGTAGTGGTTAGAAATTCCTCCATAATGCTCCTTTAATTACAGGGACACAGGAGGCTACCAGGACTGGACCTTCTCAACTGTCCGTTGCTGGGGAGAAAGGGCTGAAGGACAATACAAGCTGAAGATCTCTGACCACAGTAAGATATTTTCTGCAGTATTTATTACTGACGTTTTGCCTCTGAATCTTTGTTTTACATTTCTTTTTTTGTTGCTTTCTGTAGAAGAGCCTCAGCTACAGAAATGTGCAGATGTGGGAGTCCTGAAGCAATCCAAGCTCTCTCTATATGGCTCCTCTATGTCATACATAGAAGTCAAAGATAGGCAGAGGTAACTGCACTGTCCCCATAATACAATAGTAGATATAGAAATAACTCGATAACATTATAGGACTCAGGTGACCAATCACACCCTAGGGTAGTACAATGGAATAAACTACAAATAGCAGATGTTTCTTACTATTAACAACTACGGTGGGTTAACTCTCCCCTTCAGACAGATATAAGGCAGATGAAATGTATCCGCTTTTGTCCAGATAATAATAAATAAACCTGTATTGAACTGAAACATGAATAAACCAAGGAAAACCCCATCATAAACTGCTCATCCCTTGTGTTTTCTTTAAGTGCACTTTTGTTTTTCAGATTGGTGAAGGATGCAATGAGCGGCAAATATCTGGATGACAGTTTCTCTCTGCCCTGTCCTCCGGGCCTGGACGTACCACCGGAGATCGTCAGCCCCTTCTCCTCTAACAGCTTAAGGGTAACTTATTAGTAACTTGTATTAGAACAAACTCAATGTTATTTTACTACCAGGACATTACCACAACTAACTGCAAATAAGTCATGATCAGAGGGAGGATTATAAAGAACTATTATAAAATACTACAATTGATTTACATACAATACTATTCTGGTTGGTGAAAACACCGACTGAATTTGCCCCTATGGCCTGCCCTGCTAACAGCATAACTTTTTGTACCTCACCTTTTGTATGTGCTGCTTTTTTAAGTGATTGGTTGGAAATACATTGAATATCTGAGTCTTCTTAGACTTAGATTAACTTTATTGATCCACACGGGAAATTATTTAGACACAATAGCTCACATATGTAGCTCATATATTACAGTAATCGAGAGCAAAAATATAAACGGTAGTAACAAATTCAAAATAAGTAGCAAAAATAACAAACAATTCTTTTTTTTTCTAGTGATAAATAAGTGATAAATGATCAGACTTGTCTACTATATCTATTTCTACTGTGTAAAAACAAGCTTAAATCAAACTAGCAAGATTTGCCTTCCAATTGAAGCTCTTGTTGCTACTTGTTCTTTTCACATTGCCCGTATTCACAGTCCATGTCAGTGGCTCTCATCCAAGCCGCAGACAGGAACATCAAATTCAAGCCAAGAATTTGTACAGCCCTAAATTACAGTTGAACTAAGCCAAAAACATATCGCATTAGTACAATAGCCATAATAATAATATATAGCCAAAAGAGTCTCAAGCTAAATTATGGAGAAGTATAACAGTAACTAACAGTAAAATTCCTATTCTTTAAGTGGCCTCTTATGGGTGCTTTATGTAACTTTTTTGGTGGGGATTTCACCTTCTTGTCTCCATGGAGATGATATGGCTTTACTTTGAATGTTACAATATGCCAATGAACATATCTACCTTGCCTTTAGTCAATTACTGTGTATGGGTTATATATCTCCACTGAAAAAGTTACATAATGCACCTTCATACAAGCTTCACAGTACAACAGCGGCCTACCAGTTTCTCAGTCAGTTGTATATTCAATCCCTCCACCAAAAATAAGTTTAAATGGATAGCTAATTAACCCCAATCTAGCTTTTCATGGTAAAAAATATATAAGCCCTTGATTACAGAAATGATAATCTTCTGTCTCTTTTTCTCAGTTTCTGTTGCTCCTCGGCTGCTTCGCCCTTTTCTGGTCAGTCTACTGCACTCTGGAGGTGACCATGGCCCACGTGGACTTTAGGGCGATGCTGTGTTTGGGGCGGAGGAGGGGTGGAGCAAGGGGTCGGAGGTCACGACGTGAGCGGGACGGCCCCCAAGTGCTGGTTATAACGGGAAAGGAACTAGAGACTGGAGAGGAACTACAAACTGTACTGGAGTCAAATACGCCACTTTTGAATGGGGAGCGGGTGGAGACATAGCACTAATTGGGTGAATAAATGCTATATATGAGTACGTTTACATGTCAAATTAAGTCAGGGTTGATCTAATTCCATTTTTTAGAAGTTGATCAACATTTTTAATCTATTTACAAGCCTTGGCCAGTTGCAAACATGCAAAGTGTATTGTAAACCAGATATCCCTATTGGTTGACTGGTTATTTCCAATTCATCAGAATGAATGGTATCAGAATGAAAAAAACAAACAAACATGTAATATGAAAAGAGAATAATTGAAATGTGGGTAACTATTCATGTAAATCTAAAACTAAAAGGCTAAATTCCACTAAAGAAGGGAATCAATTTTTTGACCAAAGTGCAGTCATACCTGGTTTAGTTTATTTGTAGATACTGAACATTTTATTACAGATTTTTCTTTTTTCATTGTTGATTCAAGGACAACAGTAGTCATAGTTACGCATTTTGAGGTACGTTCAGTTGAAATTACTCATACTGAATCATTGACATATTCTGTACTGTAAAACTTTCTTTGCGATACGTAATCTGTAATCAAAATGGTGATGGCATCAATCATGTTGAGACAAGCCCAAACGCTTTTCAAAAAGTTGCTGTCTTGTCTTGGGGTTGGTCTTTCAGACATTTTATAGGTGACGTATTACTTGTCAATCATATCAACACAATCAACATACTGTGAGAGTCAACAAGCATCATGAGGATAGCCTCATTAGTATACAGTTAAATCAACAGATTAAAAGTTCAGCTTCATGAGGGCCCACTACCTACTTTTCTCCATGGCGATGTTATTGCTTTGTCTGGAATGTTCCACAATATCTACAATATGGCATAACTCTTATCCATTCAATTATATGAAATGGAAAAACAAATTAATACTGTGAACAGACTCACCTCTGCCCACCTGATTGTGTCATTGTAAACCAATTTAATGCCGCTGTGGAACATTCTAGTCAAGGCAATGAAATATTGCTAGAGGATCTGCCTCTTATTTCGCTCAGCAAAGTTACATACAGTAGTGCAGCTGTAAGTATTGCGCTTTCATTAGAGGATTCAGCTTCATATCACACATTTCTATAGCCTTGTAACATCCAATCTATTACTGGGAACTGTGAAGTTTTTGCTTGGTATTTGGCTTATTTGGTTTGTACTGTTGTGGATAGTTGCACTTTTCTTTACACCATGTAACTGAATGTGATGTAGTCATATTATTTTAACTGGATTATGACTTTACCTTGGATTTTACAAGTCAGGCCAGTAGATCGAACTCTTGTAAACATACTGACTTCCTGTGCTTCTCAGGATGTAGTCAAAACAAACTGCTGGACTTTTCTATAAGTGGCCTTTTGGGACAATCTTCTGCTTCCCCTCTGAGCCCTGTTTTATTCACATGAAATTTTCACACACGCAAATCTAAAAACTGTTTGGTATTAGCAGCAGATATATGAATATGTGTTTTTAAAGTGTTACTCACAATCCAATAGGCAAACTAATAATGAATAGAAATTAATTTTATTTATATAACTCTTTTCTAGACACTGAAAGTCGCCATACAAAGGTTACACAAGAATAACAGGATGACCACCTCGTACGTTGGTTGCTTTCATTTATAGCAGTAAGAAGAACATTTACATAATGCAGCTTTAAAATAATTGGAAACGTACAAATAAAAAGTCCAGATATGTTTAGTAATGCTGTTTTTTATTATGCCATTATACATGATCCAAAGTCTAGTTCCTCTACTGGCAGTTTTATTGAACAAAAACAGTGTGAATGAAGAGTGGTGCAACTAAAAAGTGCAATATGCTGTGTACATTTAAAATTAGTCTTCCTTAAAGTGTCCTAAATTTGACAGTAGATTGGTACTAGTTTTAAGGTATCTTTTCTCTTGGATGTGGCTGGGCTTTTTGGGAGCTTTTTTCTGCAGGTATTTGAAAAACTACTGAACAAAAACTTGAAGTGGGCTTTTCCTAGTTTGTGTATTTATACAGTGTAAAGTGTAATATATAGAGAGTACATATACAGAGTATGTTTGAACATTTGTATCAAGTGTTTTTAAAGAGTCTAATTTTGTATTGTTAAGTGTTTGAAATGAAGATGGCTGCTGTGTTTTGCTGTGCAAGTCACAGGTGTATGGGAATAAAAACATGGATGGTTTTTAGTCTTTTTACTGGATGACTCACTGTATTGTAATATGTTTTATCTGCTTTCAACCAAGACAGAGATTGTGTTGTCATATCAAAGACATCTTCAGGGTAAACAAATGGAGATTTTAAGATGCTAATTGATACTTTACAGTGACATCATGTTGGGTCTGTTAAGCATGTATATCTTTAGTGGAATGTTTAGCAGTTACCATGGTGACATTGCCAAAAAATGTTTAAGAGGATCTAAAATTTCATGAAAAAATACAAGATGTATTTAAACCACACATTTTCAGGAGCCTGTGATAAATATGAGCATTCACGGTCATCTTTAAGTGATTTGCCATAAAGAGTTGAATGACTACCTGAAAAACTACTGGCTAATGCTAGCTAGCTTGTGACAAATTTTATGTGTAAGAGACGTGATTAACACAATCTGACTAGAAAGAGCTAACTTGAGAAAATTGAGCTTTGGACAGAGTAGTGCCTACAGTTAGCATCACACCCTCGGGGTGAGTTCATGAGCTGCAAAGTATAAATATGAATATTTCATTTGATTTAAAAGTTTCAGATTATTGTTTTGTTAAAGTTTTTTTTTCTAGTATTTTTAGCCAATGTATCTCTAGGGATGTTTTGCACATCTACCTAGTAAACGTAGCCACTTTAATTCTGTGGTAGTTGAAGTAATGCAGATTTTACCTCAGGCTGACCTAGGCTACTTCCTGTTAATCTGTTTAGTATCTGTTTAATCTGTAACTTTACTACTTTGAGTCTACTATAATAAAAAAAAAAAAATCAATTGAAATAGCTATTGAAAAGACATCAAAGACAAGTAGCATTTTCGCAAATCATCATTTAATAAGAAAATGTACAAAAAACAGCGCTCAAACAGCATGCAGAGTTACCGGGAGTTGCATGTATGAACAGTATCTTGAATGCATAATTTTATATGTATAGAGTTTAATTTAAAAACATTAATAAGTTGCGTAATGACAAAGTAATAGTTGTCAGATATGGGAAGCAGATATTTAATTTTAGTATTCAATAGTGCTAGCTAGTACTGGCTTTAGTTAGTTCCTTTTGGCTTTTTGTGCATAGGGTTAAGACTGAAAATACTCAGAAATGCAGTGCAAGATTTAGCATTTATGACCAATGAAAAGAAATGTTGACTTTATATAAATATATGACTTAATCTGTTGCTGTCTAAAATGTTATGCTCATTCAATGTAACAATTAAAATTACATAACTCAATTTTTTTGGTTTTAATAAACATAAATCTTTAGATGCAAAATCATGTCTAATTTATGTTGGCTTTTAAATTTTGGAGTGTAGGAACAATATTTCAATTCAAAACTAGTTGGATAAAAATGCACCAGATTGAAGTGTTTACAGGCGACATTAAACAGGTGGAGGTTTGTATTGTTGTGGAGTGGTGTTTAAAGGATCTGTCTTGGTCGTCCATAGCTCATGCCCTCCTGCGACGCCCCTTTATTTGAGCCCATCTGTAGACCAATCACATTCTTCCCCGCCTTCAGCTGGTCATCGCTGAACTCACGCTTGTTTTCCTGTGCTTTCCTGGAAAAGTGTCAAAAATAAGTGTCAAAAACAAGAACTTATTTTACAGATGGTTTGTATAGTTGCTTTGAGTGTAGTTTAGACCTACTTGAAGAACCAGTTGGGGTCTCCCTTGTATGTGCCCTCTTCTTTGGTTACGGCCAAACTGCCCAAAGCCGACAGGGTTCTCTGGACAGCAGCGAGGTCTTTACCTGAAACCAAAAGCACATTTCAGAATTTGTAATTATAACACATTAAGCACAGAGCTGACGAAATACCATTTTACTAATGCTATTTTTGAATTGTGTTAATCTAGTATTTGAGAGAATATAGTCAGCTGCTGTTAAAGCTTTGTCTAGAATGTTCCACGGTATGTAAATATATCAGGCATTGTTACAATGGGAGCTGGACCGCTTTTTGACAGATCCGACCTGCATCCTTAATGCCATACTCTGGAACATTCCAGACTAAGCAATAATACCTATATGGAAAAGAGCAGGTGGCGAACACTCCACCAAAAAATTGGATTGTGCTTCTTTAAAATAATTTGGACAGTAATTTGCACCGAAAATTTGAACATATTTGGTGCTCCTCACATTCCCAGAGGTCGACGGTCTGGAACATGTCTGTTTTGGTGACTCCATATTTCTCTGCAGCGCTGAGGAACTGCGAGATCTGCTCCATCTGTTTGAAGGCCATGGTCGAGCTCTGGATCTTCTTCACTGGTTTATCTCCAGGAACCAGACTGTTGATCAGCTCACTCAGCACCTGGACAAACACAAGACAGATGCAGATATACAGGAGTAGATTTAGTTTAATCTAACTGAAGAGTATTTTTGATGCTATAATTCCTCCTCTCACATTCAATGCTGAAGTATTGAAAATGTATCCTTGAGTATAAAACTTCAGTTAAAATGTACTCAATTACCAAACTTACTAATACTTAAGCAAAAGTACAAAGTATACATGTAAAAAATACTGCTCAAAGTGTTGTTTACTTAAGTAGCATTTTAGGTCAGTATTTCATTTGAGAAAAAAAAATCAAACCAGGATCAGTTACAGAAATAGTTGTAGTATAGCCATTGTAGTGATAGTAGTTAATTACATTATACTAAAATTTCAAACTCTTTCTGAACTCAGAATTACATTGTTAACATATAACAATATATGATGCAGTTTCAACAGTGTTTGTTTTGGTACAGCCAGTACTCACACATCCGTCCTTGAGCCAGGCCTGGAAGCCCATCTTGCCTGGTTCAGGTTTGCCCACCTCAGTACCACACTGGCGGGAGATCCACTCAACCAGCACCTGCTCCAGGTCCTGGTCATACTTGCTGTCGATCTTGTCCTGCACCTGTCTGCTCAACCCGTATGAGGGGCCCTTGTTTGCCATGCCGACTCCCTGTGAGGTGAGACACAGATTTAGACAATGAAGACAGCATCAGGAATAAAGAAGTGGAGATGCACAGTTTAGCAGTGATTCCAAAACATTTATTAGTATGATGGTGTTATAGATACTGTACTTATTATAACTAGAACTGGGCTTATTATGAAAATATTGACGATATAGTGAATGTTGTGATTTTTATACTATTTATACTATTTAAAGAGCTAATTAAAAAACGAAAATGGAAACCAAATTGTGTTCTAGTTTTTTATTGTAAATTCTCCTTCTAAATAATAAACTGAAAATTCTGAACTTTAGAGAGTAATTTTACAGTCCCTGCACATTTGTCTGATAGTTAAACCTTCACTATTACTTTTCCAGAAAATGATTTGAATAGTTTGGGAATAATTGGGAATCACTGCTGTATAATAGTTATAGAAAGACATGAATAAGGACAACGGGACAACTAAACATTTACAATTTGAAAAAGAGTATTGGCTATGTTAAAACTCCACTCAATAGAAGACCACATCCAATCTGATCACATCTGGTTTAAATAACATATTGTGGTAATTAAGATACGTTCACATGAAGTGTAAACATAGCCAAAGCTACAGATATAAAACAGATACAATGACATTTTCACAGTTATCCTTTTTTTGAACAGTTTTGTAGTAAAAAAATATGTGACATAAACCAAGCAAGCATAGTGTCTAGTATGTACTGTAATTAACCTCCTTTAGAGCTGCCTATAAGCTTGCCAACCAACATATATAAAGTCGAACATTGAGTAAATTTTTCATGCATTGTAAAACCATCTTTAACAGTTTATTTTTATTCATGCATTGTTCCAAAAGCAAGTATAAGCTCTGTAACAGTTTTAGCTTGAAGCACTGTGGTCCCTTTGCACCCCATATATAGAATAACATTGTTAAAGCCAGTCTCCATTGGGGTACATTGTGCGCTCAGCTACAGCCAATAACACATATTTCCCATCCGCTCTCTCTCATTCATCACTCGCAGTCTGTCAGCACATAAGTCTTTGCCAGCAATTTTTTTTTTTTTTTTTTTTTTTTGATTCGTTGCTTTTGTTTTTGCATTTGAGCTCCAGCCAAGAACAAAACCCGCGTCACGCTACTGTCTACACCATACAACCTTTGCAGCCATGTCGAGGTCTTCAACTTCCTGTTCCTAAAGGAGGTCAAATGTCAAAGGTTAAACGCATGTGACCTAGAGGTAAGGTAGGTTATCTTGTGGTTTATGTTGTTTAGTCGTCTATACAGTGATACCTTACAATATGTGATCATCATTACGGTTAACATACTGTGTCAGAAAAGGCTTTATTATTGATCCAACAAAGCTACAATGAATTTGCTTTTTAATCCTTAACCAAACTTAAAGGTGCATGATGTAACTTTTCTGCTGCTTGTCTGAATGAAAATTGTATTGCTTTGTATGGAATGTTCTGCAGCATTAAATGTATCAGTCTCCATGGAAACAAAGAGGAGATGCCACCAAGCCAGCTTCCAAATCAGATCTGTGGAGAGGTGACCCCGCTCACAGTAAGATGTATGTTTTAAAGGTACTTGGGCAATAAAAACACCCATACTTTTAATGAAATAAATAAATGAAATAGAACCATTATGTGGAACATTCCAGACAAAGCAATATCCTCTACATGGTGGCAGACCACCCAGCTGAAGTGCATAGTACTTCTTTAAGAACATCAGAATAAAAGGGAATTTCATTCGCAAGGGCCATTCAAATCCAGGTTTTGTAAGCATTAACCCTGGCCATTCTGAGGATCCTGTATTTATCTTTCTAATCAAAGAAAATGATTTGAAGGTGTTTGAATAGAGCTGAATAGATATTGCAAAATCACACATGGACACTCCCCAAAGTACACATGATGAAACAGGATGAAAAGATTAAATTACTGAACTAGTGAAGACAGGTTTCAGAGCCATTTTATGTTTTTATATTGCAGAATATAGGTGTGTCAATGAATAATGCTATTAAAATGAATAAAAAGAACAGTTAAGTACTTGTATTAGATGCTAGCATTTCTTATTCATGATCTCCAGACTGGAGCAAGAAACAATACAAAACTTGAGTAAACATCCATTTCTTTCCAACCATGCATTTAAATCTAATATAACAATTACTCCAAATATCACGTTTGACTATGCGTATTAAAGCTCTGTAGTTATTACTGGCCACACACAGTAACCACATGTCTGTTTAATATTGTTTACATTGCCTGCAGTGCTTTTCCACAATGCCACGGCAACCACCAGCTCGTACTTACATACCAGCGCAAATGAACTTCCTACACTGGGTTTTGGTCCGTCTCTCCTCTCCTCATCGCTCTTGTTTTTTCATGCGTCACCAGGATAATCATTATTGCATGGTATTTGTTTCTGGTATGCCAACTCTTTTTTCCATCTGGTCCATAAAAAATCTACTTGCAACCACAAATTCAAAAAGTGATGGTCTGAACTCAGTGCCCTTTAGTGGACATTTGAACAGGATATTGCTTCTCATCAGATACATATGACGCTGTATTTTTAGACATTATCATATTTCTCTGCTGTATTCACAGATATATGCATATCCCGGGACTTTTTGTTATGTTTGGGACCAAGCCCAGATCAAATAAGTCAGGATTATGTCAAGCGGACTTCAGAGCTGTCTGTCTGGAAACATTATTCACCTGATATGTGTAAACAGGGCAGAGTATGGTAAACCACTTAGAAATAGAGGACATTAAATCCATAGGTTACTGTTCTGCGTGGAAAAGCACACTGTGAAACTTTCTGTTAGAAGGCCTGCCACTTGCTTGTCTCCAAGGAGATGTTTATGCTGTACGTCCAAAATTCCAAAGTATGGCATTAAAATGTTCAATCTTCATAGAAACAAGCAGGAAACCCCACCAGGGCAATTTACAGGTGAGATCCATGGAGAGGTGACCCCACTCAGGTTATGAATACATTAAGGTTTTCCACCATAATCAAATAAATGCATCTTATATATGTGTAATACCATATTTTGAAACATTACAGGCAAACAATAGCATCTCCATGGTAGCGGACCCCTAACCCGAAAAGTTACTGAGTGTACCTTTAACCTTGCATTCATTCATTACAGTTCTTTTCATTGCCAAATTAATAAAAATGGCTTGGTAGAGTCAGTAGATTTTGGACCCTCATTCTAAAATCTTACTTGGTTACAATGTGAACAGTTAGAAAATAGAAATGTAATGACACTTCTATCAAAATTGTGTTTGCCTTGGTATTGTGCTGTGTGTGGTTTGGCATGTAAGCTTTAGTCCAGATGCCCCGCCTCCACTAAGCTGTTATTACTTTACCAGGAATGTTTCAGTATGGCATTGAACTTATCTATCTTTCATTTATTCAATTACAGCTCTATGGCTATCTTTACTTAAAACACCTGATAAAATATGGATTGTTAAAGTGAGTGGGATTAAATTTAATATGGAACATTGCAAGCAAAGCAATAACATTTCTATGGAGAAATTCAGGTTGCATACCCACCAGAAAAGTTACATAGAGGAACAAAGGTATAGGGGCAATATATTTAAACGTACTTTGAGTTCAGTGTGTTTGTTCTACCCATTCATTATTGTACATTACCAGTAACAAGCTTAAGATACTGTACTTAGCACTTCTTTGTCCCACTATATCTCACTAAACCCAAGCTATACAGCCCTGTAAAGAACACACAAGTCCCTGACCCAGGCTCAAAGTCATGTTTAATAGTCATGACTTCATTTGTCTCCATTCGTCTCTGTGGCTGTGTTATGGGTATGTTGTGCTATTGCCATGGTAAAGACTCCAGAACAGGAAGCTGCACAGTCCCGGTTGTGGTAGATCTGGCTGCATAAAGGGCGGCCCCATGCTAGTTTGCTTTAGATAATCTTAGCCATTACATAACAGAGTATAAAAGAGTATGGAGAAATCATTGAGGTTTGGTAAAGACACTGTGACAGTATTTTGTTGCTAAATGTTAAAGTTGTGACAACCAATTTCACCCAGCCTAAATGAGATACAATGTTTACTTGATAATCTTTTACAATCTCTTATCTGTAATTCTAATTACACTGTGAATTCCACTTTGAAATAAATAAATGACCAACTTAAATTGACATAACCATATCAACATTTAACAGGACATAAAGTTTAACTATGCAGCTTTTCTGGTAGGAGGTTCTGCCACCTGTGTCCAAGATGTCACATCTTTATCTGGCATGTTCTACAGCATAGCATTAACTGATCTATCTTGGATTTTTTGTTATTCAAATACATGTGATTTGACTTGTCTAAACGATTATAAATAACTTTAATGCTTTACTGTGGAACATTCCAGGAAAAGCAGTAGGTGCCAGACTCTCCATCAAAGAAGTTACATAGTAAATTTTTAACATGATCAAAACATTGCAGGCAAGGACCATCTGAACTTTTTTATTTTAGAGTAAATGACAAAACATCTTAAATTGGAAATATGTTCTTTTCGACCATTTTAGTTTTTGGTGTGTTTTGCTAATCTTTAAATATAGCTTCAAGTCGGTTAAAATCAGAGAATCTATGCCTGCTTCACTCTAAATGAACGTGAATGAGTTAAACTGGCACATATTTCTAACACTGGTCTAAGTAATGTACCTTAGCATGTTTTCCATTAATTTTATGACCTACACAGTTGGATACCAGTTGCCAGCTGAAATCTCCAATGAAACGGTTGCCATTTTCCATATGAGCTGAACCAGGCCTGTTTGAACCTGCTGCCAAAACCATGTCAAACTTTATGGCTTCTGTGTCTTTGAGTTCATGGACGTTTGAGTGTAGATAATGCAGATATAAAGTTTCTATAACACAACATGCTATGGTTAATTTCACAAACATATTGAATTACAAACTATTGGCAGGCAGTGGTGGAATTTTGTCACTTAAGTAAAAGTACAGATGCTAGAGAAAAAGATACTCAAGTAAAAGTATCACATAAAAGAATCTACTTAAGTAAAAGTATTAAAGTACCATTTTAAATTTTACAGTAAAAGTATGTTGTACAGTTTTTGAAATCTAAGAAAGCTTCAAATGTAATGATTTTGATAAGGATTTGTGCTGAATGAATTATATTTTTGTTTGCTCAAACTAATGTGTTAAAAATAAACCCATAGGTCTTTTTGACTGGTCTCAAACAATTTTAAAAAAGTAAAAAAGTAGAAGTATACTTTTCAGTTGTGTTAAAAAATGTCTTGGAATAGAAAGAAGAGATACCCTCTCTCAAATGTAATGAAGCAAAAGTAAAAAGTATACAATTTAAAATGTACTTAAATAAAATACAGATGTCTACATGTTTTACTTAAGTACAGTATTTTACTACTTTTACTTTGTTACTTTCTCCCACTGTTGGCAGGTTCCACTTGAATGAAAAGTCTCCCTGACCCAGGGCCAAAGTGGAGAGTGATTTGACTGTGCAAATATGAAACAGCTACTACATGTACTGAGAGACATGTTACAGCTGAATTTAACTTCATTTGAATATATAAACTCTACTTTGGCTGCTTGCCCCTGCTGTCTATGAGTTTTACATTTCCAAAAACACAATAATACATTCCTATTAATCAGTAAAAACGATTTTAAAACATATTCTATTTAATATTATTGTTTGTAGATGCATGTTTGACACTTTTTACTTTTTTTACATTATACTTTTATATACTTAGTAGAAGAACATTAGTAGTAGCAGCAGCAACACATAGACATTTTCACATCTAGGGGTTTCAGCTTCCTGTTATTCTCAGTTTTGAGGAAATCAAAAGGTATGTTTTGTTTTAGATTGATAATCACCATGGCAACAGTTTTTCAACAGTTTTTCATCTTTCTGAAACCCATAGATTTGTTCGCATTTGCTTTAAATAGCTATAAATGTTAGAAATACTACTCAGTTCTTATATATATATATATCCACCCTATGTACTGTAATTTGGCACTTAATCAGGTATTGATGTTAAGTACTTACAGTTCAATGATTTTTTTTTTTTTTTACCTTCTTATGTTTTTAAAAATCAATCCTGAGCATGTTTCTAAAAAGTAAATTAAAATTGAAAAGGAGTTCCTATCCAGACAGAATATAAAAACAGTATTTAACCAAAACTTTTAGCAAAAACTGTTTTTGTTTTTTTAACAAAAGCTAGTTTTCAAAGACTAAAACTAAATTATTAGCCACAAAAATTCAAACATTTGTTATACACATATAGATGAATTATATACTCACTGTTTGTAGGAATGGGACTTGAGTGCAATAGGTGCAGACTGATGCTGGACTGAGAGCAGCTCTTTGCCTGGCAGGAACCTCCCTCTTAAAAACACCGCCTTAAAAAGACCAGATCAGGGCACGATGACTTCACTTAGGATCCTAGGAGGGAGGGAAGGAGCTAGGAGCTAGGTGTTAGTGTATGAGGGTAGCTGGAAAATAGGAAACTACAGCCTTAAATGGGCATGGCCTTTCAGCAGCTCCCTCTCTCTCTCCTCGCTCTGTGTGTTTAAAATCTACTGCAGTTGGAAGCCTTATTTGGGTAGAGCCAGTCACATTTGACAGTCTGGTTGTGTTGGTGTGGTGAGAGGGAATTCTCCAAATAGTTTTCAGGGAGTTGCTACTTTGTCCGGCTGCATAGAGGCGGTCTACGGAGGAGACAGGCAGACAGAGAAATCATTATTCATGCGCTAAAGTCCATGTATGTCCCGGAGGAGGGAGAATAGATTGTGGAAGTGAGATGACCACACAGTGTAATGAACATAACATTTAAAGGTTATAGCTTACACAAAATTGATTCTTGTTAGATTTAAGCTATGTTAGAATGTTATTACTTCCTTAAAAACATTCCTCAAGTTGTGCTTTGTTTCATTTACGCATATTTGAGTAATCCTGAATTATTAGTCTGTCTACATCTCCAGAGCTCAAAATGATCCTTTCCAACTCGTGATGCCATGTAGTCGTAGTTTTCAAGTTAACAGTTATTTTTGACCTTTAGATCAGAGATTGGCAATTCCAGGGCTGAAAACATCCAAATGATTCTAGTGAAGGTGTATAGAGTTTAAAAACATAATGGAGCACTTCCTGTATTACCACATGACATCACAGTGTTTCTGTTTGAGAGAAAAACTCAGACAGATTAAATATGCAGGGTTCGTGTATTAAACTTGTGTGAAGGAAACAAAACACAACTCTGGGTATGTTTTTGCTGAGGAAACAACATTATAACATAGATCAGAAAATAATGTAATATGGGCCCTTTAAAATACAGAGGCTACTTAGCAAGGGTTCATATAATTAGCCAGAGAAGTCTAGACATCAGTTCTTAAACTATTCATGTAAAGATTTAACCTACTCGTCAAAGAGATGTTATTGCAATGTCTGGAATGTTCCACAGTATGTATAAACGAAGAATGTAGCCTTTATCAGGACTAATCCTCATCTGATGGAATTAAAATAATAGAAGAAAAAAAAAGGTTCACTGTGTAAATTTTCCACAAGATTGCATCGAGGTTATTTAGGACCATTATTTAAAAGAACCAGGTGATGCCACCAGGTCAAGTTACAGGTCAGATCTGTGGAGAGGCAACCCCACTTGCACTATGCATGTTTTTCAGTGAATTTCTTAGCACTTAGCACACTTGTAAATCAATAAATGCCATACTGTGGAACATTCAAGGTAACACAATATGGAGACAAGCAGGTGACCAACTCTGCAACGAAAAAGTTACAAAAAAGAAACTGCTGAGATTTTAAGTCCACCAAAAACAAGACCTGGGCAAAACCAAGACTGATCTAAACCAGAATTAAACCAGGACTGCAGGTCTGGATTAAATCTAATCAGGAGTACAAAAATGCCTTAGTATTATTACATGTCCAAAACCCACAGATGGGGACTCACATTCACTTCTGTTCAATAGCTTATAGCGATTAAAATTATGGCAAAAAATTATTACAATATATGGTACAGGAGAGTTCCCCAATGGCAACTAAGAACATAATGGAAACAGATGTTATAATTAGGGGGAAAAAGTAAAAATGAAAACCCTATAGGAAAGAGTCTTGCTGTTTATTCACACCTTACTGTAGCAATAACTGTCCCATTGTGAGTGAAATTGTCCAGACCTCTATAAAACAGGTCTGGTACTTAAGCTTAACACATTATGTAATTTCTAATAGCCAATAAAACACAATGTAAAGTGCAGGTGGGTACAACTGGGAACTCAAGGGGTCACAATAGGGACTTATGAATTGAGGTGTTCAAACATGTACAAAAATATGTATAAATAAAGTGTTTCAGACCATTTACATGTAAATACTGTTGAAATCTATGGAGCAGAGTAAACCCTCCACCAAAAATGTTTTATAAAGCATCTTTAAAGGTGCTATATTGTGAAAAATCGACTCTTGTGAGCTTTAAGCCATGTTATAATGTTGTTACCTCATCACAAACATACCTGGAGTTGTGCTTTACTTCATTCACACATTTGAGTAACCCTTTGTATTAGTTTGTCTGCATCTTCAAAATGCTCTGTTCCACCTTGTGATGTCATGAAGCGGTCATTTTCAGTTTAACTGCTACCTTTTACTTTTAGTTCAGTAGACTGGTAATTAGACACATGACATCACATGGTGGAACAGTGTTTTCTGTTTGAGAGAAGGGATGCAGGGATTGTGTGTTAAACATGTGAGAATGATGCAAAACGCACCTTTAAGTATGTTTGAGATGAGGAAACAACATTGTAGCACAGATCAGAAAAAAGCATAATATGGCCCTTTGGGCACCAGTGACCAACAGTTTACAAATAGAACCACACAGGAACCAGTTATAGATGGATTTATTGAACTGAACCCCATTTTGAAACAAAACATTTCAAAATACTCTGTAAATAAAAAAGTCAATTAAAAAATCCAGTTCAGGTAATAAAAGTGCAATTCTAAAACTCACTTCCTCTTAAAAGAAATTTTAATTGTATAAGTGATACAGATCAAATTGCAGTTGTAATCCTTTAAGACTACCATTATATTAGTGAAACCACAGATAGAGCCTGCTCCATTGAATAACCTAGAGAACAGTGTGCATGTATTTGATTACACTGGAATGTGTAGAGCTAAATATTTTCTGTTTAAACCAAGGTTGTAATAAAGCATTCTGAATAAAAACAACCTTTGTGGCCAGAGAAATTCAAAATTATTAAAAAGGCACAGTATTTGCAGCTCAAGTCTTTCTGATGTATAATCCTATGTATACGGATGTAATCATGTTGATGGAAAAAGCAACAGCACCACCTACCTCTATGAGTAAATTACACAGGTTGGCTATTGTTTTTTTTATATCCTGTAAATAAAAGCAGGAAGTATAAGGCCACAATGATGTCACATGTCCTGCTCAGTGATTGGTTGGTTTCTAGCATTACAAATCTTAAAATTCAGACCAGCTGCATACAACTCAAATAAAATGATTTAAGTAAAATGATGTAAGTGTTTGAAATTGACCCACACTAAATACATGATAAAAATACACACAGTTGTGTCTCTAAATAATTGTCAAACCTTCCATACATTGGTCAAATTAACTATCTGTATATATTAGCAGAGTTAGCATAGAGAAGTGAGATTATTTATGCATATTAAAAGACTACCATGTGTACTGCCAACTTCGTATTAAGAAGACAGTGAAGAGTTTATGCATGTATCAGACTTGAACTGAGTCTAGTTGTTATAGTTAATCCCTTATACTCGCTTTTGATAGTCCATTGCAGTAAAGGCCACTGCTGGATTGTGCAAAAGAACTATTACACCCATGCTAAAAAGTCCTTCCTATTAATATGTTGATCAAACAAAGACTTATTTCCTTTAGTGGTTTTCTGTTAAATGTGCACTATGTAACTTTTTCTGTAAAGAGGTCACAACCTGCTTGTCTCCATGGATTTGTAACTGCTATGCCAAGAATGTTCCACAATATGGTGTGGAAGATGGATAACGGAAACAAGCAGGTGATGCTACCAGGCCAAGTTACAGGCCATATCTGTGGAGAGGCAACCCCATTCACAGTTAGAATATATGTTTTTGAAGTTGTTTTTTAAAAAAAACACCCGTAATAAAATAAAAGCAAAATATTCAAGTTTAATGCCATGATGAGGAACATTTCAGGCAAAGCAAAAACAGTTCCATGGCGGCCAGAAAAGCTGCATAGTGCACCTTTAATAATCAGTAAAATTTCTCATAATCCAGTTGTAGATTTAGTTCATTGTGTTCTTTCATTGATTCTTGCTACACTGTCAGTTCCCGTGTTTCACACTCTGTCCAGGGAAGACTGACTATACTTTAAAACCATTATGTCTCCCTCTCTTTCCTCACAGAGCTTCGGGGCGCGCGTGGCAGTTATCGCAGACTCTGACGGGGTGGTCCCAGCCTCGAGACGGGACAGGTTTGAAGTGGGTAGAGCAGGGACCGCACACTCCCTGCCCGCATGCCCTGCAGTGGTGCTTGGACATGATCGGGGTGAACACTTTGGAGCATTGGTGACACTGTGTGATGTCAGCGTCCGGGACCCAGTAGTCAGGACGTGCTACCTCTTTCACAAAACCTAGATGAAAGAAATTATAATAAAAGTTAATGTAAGTTAAGGAAGTTAATATAGAAATTACAATTACAAAACAGAAATACATTTCAATTCCTCTGCTCTTGATTTGTTATAAATTGGCAAAATACCATAAGACACCACACGAGGGAGCTAAAAAGCAATTTATGAATTTCCTTAGACGTATGCTTGTTAATGAAAGTTCTATCAATAGATTCCTATGTAGTATATTTGACAAAAGAAGAGAATAGATATAAAAGAATAGTTATAAAAATGAGTGATACATGTTACTCACACAGAGGGTAATCCACAGCTGTAGAGACCATGTCGAGAGTGGACTGAGCCACTTCTGTGACTCTGCGTGCGATCAGACCCCGAGGCTCCACCTTACACACTGGACACAGACAGAGAGGAATAGCAATACTGTTTAGGGCTGGGCAATATGGTTGAACATTTTTATCACAAAATAAAAGAAAAAAATGTGATAATGAAAACTGACAACATACCTAAAGCTGCTTAAAGGTAGCATTTATATTATCTTGTTTCAATCCAGTTTATTTAGAGCTATGGTTATCTCTGCTTCCAGTCCTCACGTCTTGACTCATTCGTTATTAGAGTCTGCGTAGTCTCCACTGTCAATGTTTAAGACGCTCTAGGCTTTAGCAGTACTTAGCCACAATCTCTGTCTGCTGAATAGCTAATACTGGGGCGTTTACAGAAATGTTTATTAATGCATATTTTTCCCATTCAAATATACTAACAAAAAAATCCCTTCACAACTGCAGTTATATCAAATTTCATATCAACCCCAAATATCACAATATATCACCAGCGATATGATAAGACCCTAATACTATTTACTTTATATTTATTCATTTACAGAAGATGCATGAAAAATAATTGTGCTCTGACCCTGGCTGCTGGTGTCGGCGGGCCCTCCCTGTCTGTAGCAGGACTGGCAGACCCGCACTGGCCCGCTGCCCCACCCTCGCTCTGGGACGGGCATCCTGTGGCTGGAGCAAGGGTGACAGAAACCCTCTCCACACGAGCGACAGTGGTGCTTCCTCTCCAGCTCCTCAAACACTTTCTGGCAGCCGTGACAAGCCTGAGGATCAACAAAACAGAGTGGATAGTAAACCAAAAGGTAAACATTTAAGACTTTATAATCACTATCACTAATATTACCATGAAATAAGTAGCAAATTTAAAAAATGTATGGGTTAAAGTAGAGTCAGAAAAGAACTAACAAAATTGTGTTATAAATTATGAACTGTATATGTATGGTTGGATGACAGTGCTCAGCAGAAACTTAAATATATGCCAATGTCTATAATACTACATTACTAGCAAATTGATTACTTTCATTGATAGAAGAGTATCTTACAGTGATGTCGTTGTTGGGTCTCCAGTAGGGCGGCGCCACCTGGTCTGTGAGCCAGGCGGTGACGGCTTTAGTGGGACCTGTGCTGTACTCAGACACAGACTGGATCACAAAGTTCATCCCGTCCAGAACCCTCTGAGCTGCATTCTGATGGTTTGTCAGAAATGTGTCGGTCTGAAGCAGAAACAATAAAATTTGTAAATGAATCACAGTAAATTGGCAAAGAGGGTAGACCACCTGTCCCTCTTTTGGTCATTTAGGCCCCTGTTTCTGTCCCACTTATTTATAGAATGCCCCATGTTTTCATTGATGCCACATGAACTGTCTAAAAAAGGAAATTTACAAAGAAAACATGATAAAAGAAAAATCTGCATTTTGGGGTGTTACCATCTTTCAGGCTTGTAATATGTTGGCAAATATACCAATAACTCTGTGTGACTTATTGCCAAAAAAGAAAGTCATATAGTGTTACTGCAGTTATTATCTGGATAAATTTCCTGAGTTTTAGCCGATTCAATTTAAAGAACAACTGACTAATCTCTAATTTAAAGATGAATGTAAATTGTGTAGTCTTGTTAACCTTAATAATCTTACCAGTACTTGGTTTTGCTCTGGCTGGTTCAGTGTTAAGAGATACAAGTCAAACACAGATCTTTGACTCACCCCCTCCCACACGTGTTTGACCTCTGACCGGACTACTCCACTCTCTGGGTCCTGATTTCCCATCCAGTACTGTCTGCTCCGATAGATCACTCCACAGCTCGCACACTCCAGCACATAACTGAAAATATAGAGAAAGGGTTGACAAGTTTTCTTGGGTAGGTTTAGAATGATCTTGAGCTTTATCAGAACTAGTACAAAGTATAGGTACATGATATAATACATTATTTAATTATTTATTATAATGCTATTATTTTAATCAGAGGCTTTAAAAGTATCTAGCTGAATCCTTAGTATCAAAATCAAGTTTGATATATTGAAATATTACATTGTGACAGTAGTACTATGAAAACTTTGATGATAACATAAGATTAATATACATAAGATATTAATATTACATACCCTGACCAGGCATACTTGGCCAGTCCAAACCATGGATTGTCACTCGATGCTGAGGTTTTCGGCACTACAATTACCTCTCTGCCTGCTTCATAGCATCTCTAAAAGAGGACAAATAATAAAAAGATAACAACATCAACACATTATACCACGTTTAGTTTTGAGAGAGAGAATAAATACATTTCAAATATCTCCGTGCTCTGGCTCACCTTACAGATGAGGACCTTGTTGTTGAACTGGTGGGCGTACTGACACAGTCCATCTGCCATGTGAGGGACCCGGTCTCGCAAATGGTTCATCCCGTTTTTACACCGAATACTAAAGGATAGGAGTGACAAATATGATAACATTAATAATTATGCCTTTAACTGCATAATTATGGGATTATATAGACTACGTATATATAAAACCTACTTGCAGCTAAGGCAAACAGCAGAGCAAGTGAAGTACTCATCAGGAAAGAACGAATACAAGGTCATTTTTTCATCAGAGAGCTCTCCACAGAAACGCTCGCTCAAGGCCTGCACATATTCAGAAAAACAACATTATAAAAACTGATTTCAAAATGGTAATAATTTCCGTCTTAGCATAAAGCACTTACTTGCAGAGCCCGAAACACGATCCCAGGCTGCCGAGGGGAGCGAGTGTGCGTGTTTTTCACTTGTTGAGTCACAGCTTCCAGTAGTCTGCTGTAGTCTGTAGGGGGCGCTATCGTCTGAGTGCCCACATACTGCACTGAACTAAAGGCCTCAGTGCCCAAACCCAAGTCATGAAAACGCTTCTGGAGCAGTGTGTCGGCGTGACCAGGCACTGTGGAGTCTAAAACCAAAGACAATGGAGAGAAGTCTACATGATGTATTGAGCACACATACTTTAGATGGAGGCTTTGCCAAAACTTCAGCTAAAGACTAAACATGGGCTAAATTTATGACTATTATGACTACTAACCGTACTGTAATATTTTTTAATTTGATTGAATGGGTTCAGACATTTTTTTCATTGAGGTTAAACAGATTTCAGCTTTTGACAAATAGATATAGTGTAAGGCTACATTTAAAAATATTGGGCTAATTGGATTTTAAGAATTGTTTAAGAAGCACTAACTTTTCTAGTGAGTGGTCCACCACTTACTCTCCCCCTTTAAGATGTTATTAGTTTATCTGGAATAAGCCAAAGTATAGCATTAAATGTATGTGTTGCATGAATTATTATTTATTTATTTTACTCTCCACAGAGTAACTTGGTCCGATGGCATCACCTGCATGTCTCCATGACAAGCAACCAAGACAACTTTACCAAGCAAAGCAATATCACCTTCTGGCAGACCCAAAATTTACAAAGTATTAAAGTATGCTGTGAATTACGACTTTCAGTTTTATACTGTGTGTTACAATATGCAGCTACACACTCCTGGAGACTAATAAACTTTCTCTCATTCCAGAGTCTTTCCTACCATGTCCGAGTAGTTGTGTGTGCGTGGTCTCCTGAAACACGATGGCGGCCGGTCCCAGACAGGACAGGGGCACATCAAGTCCACAACGGCTGGACAGGGCTCTCAGTTCTGGTGTGAAGTGTTTGAGGTAGGCCCCTGACGCACTGCTCAGGAACTGGAACATGTCATTGTGAAGACGCTCAGCCCGAGTTCGGTAAACCACAATATCTGATACTGCCAGTACCTGGGGAAAAAAAACATTGCATCTATACAGAGGAACACACAAAAAAGCATTTCTGAGTATTTCCAATGCCACAGTTTTTTGGTTGCCCCTAGGCCAAATAAGTACACCATTTAAAATAAGTTCTCTCTTAAGGCATTAAGTAAATTGTCATTGGCAGGAATCTCCCACAAAACTAACTAGTATGCATGCTTACCACTGAACACCACATATATAAACTAACTCCATCTTTTGTTTACCTTTAGCAGAAGCCTCATCCTTTGGTTCTGGTTGACAGCTGCTCCCAGCAGCCCCTCTGTGTCCAGAGCTACCAGATTGAGGGCTGGGTCGAAGGCAGCCCACACACCCACAGTGCAGGAGCTGGGAGACTTGGAGGTGAGAAACACACTTCTGCCTCCAAACAGGATGTGGTTCAGTGTGTGGGATTTGCCATCTCCAGTGTTCCCAAAGATTGACAGTACTTTAACTCCTGGCACATCTCCACAGCCCAGTCTGTCCAAAAACTGAGACTCATCTCGGACCTACAGAAGAAAAAAAGAGGTAGTATAAAGACATGTTAGTTCATTTGCAATAATGTGTACACCAATGCATGTCTACTAAATTTGTGACAAAATCTCTCTATAATTCTACTGCAGTCAGTGACATATTTACTTAGTGTTACTTTTGGGTTAGGACCTGTAGCCACCAATCAAGGGACATGTTGTGTTCTTATTATTATTAATATTCTTCCTTATTCTTTATGTGACTACTTCCTTTTTTATTTATGGGATGACTTGTTATTATAAGTATCCTATGCTATATGTGAGAAATTAATTTGATTAATGAAAAAAAAAACATTAAAAACAGACTAAACCCATATCTACAACGTATGGTATAATTTTAATGTTTACCCAAAGCATCAGTACTACTCAGATGCAATGCTTGGTCTATCTTAATCGAAAATCTAAATTTACTTGAAACAAACTTGACAACAGCTGTAAAGTTCTGTGATCATTTTACATGAACAGTAACAATGAGACTCGATTCCCAGCCGCTAGAACAGGTTGCGTTCAGGGAGCTAACCTTACAGTGCATAATACATGGGTAGATCCTTATGTGCGTTATTGTCGTGTGGACTTTGCGCCATGACAAAACAACTCAATTAAGTACTGTAGCGTTCTGGGTCAGCTGGGGATGACTCATGAGGGACTTTCCCAATAAGAAACCTGCTATAATCTCTCAACCAATAGATTTAGACATTGTTGGAGGCCACGTTCCTTAATGTTCGTGTGTTGTTAGAACATTTTGCACCAAAAACATATAACAAAGACAGATATGAATTAAAACTTTACAAAGCAAGTAAATGCGGCGTCCATTTCCACACAGTCTAACATTTTATGCAAGTGACGAAACTCAAAGGTAGAGCTTAAGATACTAGCATAGCGTGGTGCATCATAACATTAGAGGGATGCTAGAGTTTCTTTGCTAGACTGCCTTATAATTGTTCTATTTACAAGAAATTTGCACATGGGTTTAAATGTGGCTTGCACATGTGTTGATAAATCGTCTTTGTTCGAAAACACTGGTATTGTTGTCTTAGCTGTCAACGCCTGAGAGCTAATGCAAATTGTTAGCATCCTTAGCTTAGCATCGGTAGCTAGCTCACTGTACCTGGAGGTTTTCTTGATCGTCCACCAAAAGAAAGCTTCCGTCGCCGCCTAATCTCTCCTCGGGCTTCAGTGGGATGACAGACAGGCTCTCCATCTCCTTCATAAGAATATCGGACATCCTGATTAGGTGATTATGGCATATTTGTGAAGGAGGACGGGAAATCGAAAGTTTAACATGACTCCTGTCTGTCAATCACAACAACAGCGCGTGGAGCGGCGCGTGGGAGGAGCGAGGGCACGTATAGAATGACGCAGCACGTTTTTGCCTCCTAGTGGTGAAACAGCGCTACTCCCTGGTCAAAAGAGGTAACACGATTTTTTTTTTTTTTTTAGGTAGGATTTATTACTTTGAGCTTCACAAGACATAGTTAGCAGTAGCATGTAGTTGTGGTGGAGGGTTTGTCACCTTCTATCCATGGCTTGGATGTTTCACACAGTATGGCAACTATTTGTTATCACCATGGACATAAGCAGGAGATGCCTCTAGGCCAGGGGTGAGCAATTATTTTTTCTATGGGGCCACATGAGAAACAGAAAATATTGTGGTGGGCCGGGCCAAAATGTTTAACTAAATTCTGCATATTATTTGTATTTCTTTATAAAAAGCAGTAAATAGCATTATTTTGACAAGCTCATAAGACTGGTAAGAGTATATGTTATGAGTAAGCAATGAAAAAGTTACATTGTCTGAAATGTCATTTTAAAAAGACACCTCTAAAATAAAAGCAATGCAGTTTTAGTGCATGCATGAGGTAAAATTTTAAAAAATGTTTATTTTGTAATTCCAAATAAGCTTATATAGGCCAGTCAGAGTCAACCAAAGGGCTGTATGTGGCTTGGGAACTGTACAGACTTGTATGCCCAGGTCTGCTCTAGGCCTAGTTAAAATCTGTGGAGAGGCGACCTCACCAGGCATGTTTTCACAGTATATATCTGCTAATATGAGTTGGTATATCAGCTAAAATTGAATTAATGCAAATAACCAAGTTGAATACATACTGTGAAACTTTCCAAGCAAAGCAATCACATCTCCAGGGAGACATGTAGGTGGGGAATCTTCCACCTGAAATATTACAACACAGATATTACAACACAGTGCAGCTTTAATCAGCTGTAGACAATAAAGTGTTAAGTGCCAAATCTTATAAATTACTTCTCTTTTATTTTTCTTACATTACCATAGAGTTGATGCATCCCATATGTTACATCATCAGCAATTAGAGGCAGGAAAAAAGGGACTAGAGACATATAGGGCTATTAAGCTCAAATCACAGTAACATTTCAAAACCAGAAAACTGTCATGTATACACTGAGTTTTTTATTGTTGTAGGAAGACTGACATGTTAGAGCTCTTTGCTAATGTTCATTAAATATTTGTTAGTGTAGATCTATAAATATCACATGTCACTGAATGGCTTTGGAGTGGCGCCACGGCTGCTGCATGTCAAAGAGAGGACTCACTATAGGGATACTTTGATTCATCTTACACAGAGCAAGCCTCATATTGTGCTGCCTTACTCAGCTGTCTGTCAAAAGCTATAGGTAGAAATTTCCTTCCTATGAAGCTGTGTAGACCAAAATATACATACACACATTTATAGTGCATAGTTAGTGAATGCTTTAAGAAAAATATCTTTGAGCTTGAGCTTTATGTGCCAAAATTGTTGAAAGGGTTATCCGCTTGGCAGTAGATCAGTGGTTTCCAAATTGTTTGATTGCTTGACTAAATTTTATTCTAAGAAACCAACCATATTTAAGCTATACTGGTAAAATCACACATCCACTACTCAAAGGTTTTCATTGCAGTGCTCTATACATACATGTTTGCTATATATTTAAATGCACACCCAAAATCTGATTATTATCTGATTTCTGGAACTATCAAATTAATGAAATGTAAACATCTGCTGTGTAATCTGATTCTTTTTGTTCACACCTGTAGTGGTTTTGACAAAATAATATAATAAAGCCAACTAATGCAACAAAGACAAGAATGAAAGAAAAAATGATTCAAATTTTAAATAAGAAAAATGTTATCGAATTAATGAGTTATCTACTGACTCTTTGACTTTTACTGGCCATGTAACCTATAGTTGTCTTCTTTGCCAAAACACTACACAGACTTTGCCTTTGTGTTTTTTGTTGGCAGAAGTAATTTACTACTGAGAGTACAATACAGTAGAGATAAAATGGAAACTGGATTAAAAAAAAAAAAAAGATTGAAAGTACATTTTTGCTGCTGATGAGTACTCCACATAGTCGCCTTTTTTTTTTCCTCCTGTCTCAAATCAGAGGCACAACAGATGGGGCGGACTTAGGAAAGATAAAGTGAAGTCTGGAGGGTTTGGAGAGGGTCCCACACACACCGAGAGACAAATGTCTGAAAGAATCAATTATATCTCCAGCCCTTCATTCGATTAATGAATAATTAACATTGCTCTGAACAGAACCACGTAACATAGATCAGAGGAACATGCCACTGCTGCTAATGTAAAGGGTGCTATATGTGACCTCACCTTCTGATGCACTGTGAGGTTCAAGGACAGAGATATGCAAGTCATTTAAGAGGCTCAGGAAACTTCTGAAGATTTAATTTGCAGTTATGATTGAATTTCAACATTGATATAAGGTTTGATCATTATATTTCAGGTGCAAGCAGTTTGGAGACTAGATGGGAGCACTTCTGGATATAACGCATGAAAATTATTTGACTTTTACTCTGGTGTGGTCCAGTAAAGCTCCTGCAGATGTCATCATGTAATTCTCCAATATTTTTTCTTCACAAAATTTTTTCTTCACAAAATATGATGGTATGATGAAATATGAAGGTAAATTAAATCATAACTCTGTACCAACAGTTTGGCTTTGGTTAGAAGATTTGTTTTAATGTCAGTAGGCATATTTACAAGAGACTTCAGTGTGGTTCTCCAGTCCAGGACTAGACCATGTGTTGATATTGATTTAAGGAAAATACTTTGACCGCTATAGCTCAACATACAATTAGCTCAACAAAATTTTCTCCATACACAAAATTATGTTATAGTTTACCTATAGTTACTAAATCTAAATAATATATATATAAAAATAAATATATATCCTAAAATAAAATAAAATGAAATAATAATAATAATAATAATAATAATAATAATAATAATAATAATAATAATAATAATAATAGATTTGTGAATGGAAATCTTCAGCTACTTCTAACCAGTGTGAAATTATTTGGAATGTTCCCATATTAGTCAACAGGCAACGTTTCCAGTGTTGGATGTTTGTATTTGTATTTGTATTTGTATTTGTATTTTTTATTTTTTTATTTTTTTCCCATTGTCATTTGGTCCAAAAATAAATTCAAACTCATTTGGCCCACGGACCTTGGCAATTGCATGAAGCACTGTGCCCAGACTGACTCTCAGACATTCACAACCCAACCTTGGCATAACTGTAGTCGCTTCTTCTTTTATATTTGGATAGAGGAGGAGGAATTTGGCTTTGCCCTCTTGCACGAGTCCGAGGCGGGACTGTTGCTCCACGCTCACCGCTATCTGCCCTGGTATTTGTAGTACGTCCCGCAGCCGGCTGGTCTCGTGTTGACGTGTGTAAAAACTACACTTCCCCAAAGCTGTCACGGAGCGCTCCCGCCTCCCATTGGCCGCTCGCCTCCGCCGCAGCCCCAGAGAATGAATGAAATTAGAAATAGCAGCTACATTACATGTACAATACCGGGCTCTGCAGTGTTGCATTCTATCATTCTATATCAAAATGGCTACAGCGGTACAGAACCCTCTCAAATCGTAAGTAGGCTGTTTCTATTTTTACGCCATAAATATTTTCTTATCCGTACAAGCTTGTCACTGTTACTATTACGAGATTACAGATTCTCAAATATATCATGCATGTCTATAGCCTACCTTTGCATAGAATTTACAGCAGACATGCAGAAAACGCACTCTTGTGTTCAGTGAAGAGAAAAGTTGCGCTGATTTCAAGGCATGGAACAGACCGAGTGATGTTTTTGCACATGATTTGCCGGTCTCCAGCGTGTGAATGTGGGGGATGTATGGAGGAATGCCGGAGGTAGAGCTGGGTGACCCGGTATGTCCCTAGCGAGAGTAGGTAGCCAAGATTACGGCCAAAGCCAAGCCGGGAGAGGGGGCATCGCTGGCCGGTGAACCAGGGCTTGGAAACGGCGTTACAATAGAGACTGGCACACGTTTGGATAGGCTTGGATAGCGTGCATGTGTGTTTATGTACGGTTATCTGTCTGCTTCAACTCTAACTTGATCCATCCTTTGCGCGTATTATGGCCATATAATGAATTGATATGGCTGTCTAGCGTTATCCAAAACTAACGCGCATAACCTGTATATAAGAAGACGTCTATTTCCAATTTGGAAGGACGTGAGGGGATGTATTGACACTGAAGTTTCTCGCATTCTGACCCCCTTTGTGCGTTTTTGGGGTGGATTTTGTGGTCAATATTATAGTGGGCTCGTATCACAGGAATTCATCGCAGACGCATGTTGCCCAGTATGTCTGGGAACCGGGCCAAAAGGTGCTGTTTGATGTGCGTCTGTCAGCGGGCGTGTAAGCGTAAAACTGGTCAAAATTACAAAGAAAACAATCGTGTAGTTAGGAAATATGAAGTGGGGATGCATTTTGGTGCTTTTTACAACAAAGAAACTCGTACATCAGCTGAGGGGATCCGACACGCGAGGAGGATGCTGTGGTGTTATTACCTGGAGTGGCTATGGGCAGGTTGCGCGTGTCTGCGAGTGCCAACCAGCCCGCGCTGTCTGCCTGTCTCTGTGTGTGTCTGATTGTCAGTCATTGGGAGATGCAGAGGAAGGCGACATTTCGTGCAATTCATGAAGTGCTCTTGACAGAAAGGAGCGGAATGAATTGGGATGCTGATTTGTCAACTGTGCTCTGCTGCTCCCATTGGCTGTGATGGTATTTGGGATATTTAAGCCACAACAACGCACACCTAGTATGAGTTATTTTCAGCGAATAATACGGGTTTCATGTTAAAGTATGAGAATAACTGAATGAATTGGGGGTGTTTTGGTATATGCAGTCCAACATATTATGACAATTACAGCCAATGTTATGAGAGCCCAGTTGATATGAAGAAAAACAACGTAAAACATGCACAATAGGCAATATCTTCAAAGGCAGTCCTCACTCCTGACTCTTGACCAAGTCTATATTAGACCTTAAGTTAGGTCCCATGTTCTCTGGCAGGTTGTCCCAGTGTCACTGAAGAATGGGTCAAATGCAGGGGACAAATTTCCCAACTGGGATCAATAATGTATACAGCCTAACCATAACACTTAATTGCACTAATTAAACTGAATCACATATGAAAATGAAATACAGCGTCCAATGAAACTTTGGTAAATAGAAACGCCCAGCCCATAACAACTTACACAGACCACCTGTTTTGTAATATTGACAACAATGATGCTGTATGAATGTTGCTAATTTGGCATCTCTGTATTTATGAGAAAATTGTTGTTTTTGGACAAATTTTTGGTTGATTGCTAAGTTGAGTTGGTTGTTTTGGTCAGATGTGTACAGACATGAGCAAAGGAAGAGGTAGCATAGGTGCAGAGGAAATGCAGGGTATGAAGTTTGGTGCGAGCAGGAGGATGAAGATAGATATAGGACAGAGGAAGTGAGTGATTTGGTGACCACTTTTAAAGAAAACAGCAGAAAAAGAACAAAGATTTCTAATGCCAACTTGCCTTATCTTTTTGTAGTTATGTAGGGAAAAGTGTTTCAAGATTGCAAAGTTTTTCTACAAGGCTATAAATACTGAAAACTTAAGGACCTAATGTTGCATAATGCCCTTTTAATTAGTTGCCTTTTCCCTGAGACACCAATAAGGTCTGAATTTAACTCATGAACCTCACGTTGGACATGTGAGCAATGCTTTACCCAAATATGTGGTCCCCTGTTCTGCTCCCCAGGCGCTCAGCTGCACCATGGGAGTTTAAATTGACTGATTTGCATTGAATATTCTGTACCAGAGATACACTATTAGAGAAACAGTGTGAAATCTCCTCAAAAAGTAGCTAATTAGTGAGACTGTACTTTCTGAAGGTCTTGTTCACTCATTTTCCTTCTGCTATTTTTGCAGAGAGTTCGAATATCTGAATTATAAGGTTAAGCTTCTAATTTGTTTTAACTTTACTGGTGAAATCCAGTTTTAAAAGTGCATTGCGTATCGTTTCTGGTGGACGATGCGTCAAATGCATGGAGATGTTATTGCTTGGTCTGGAATGTTTCACAGTATGGCATTAAACCTTTCTTTCTCCAAGGAGACCAAACCAGACCAAATCACAGGTCAGCTTTGTGGAGAGGCAACCCCACTCACAGTCAGAAAGTGTTTTTTTCTAAGCATTTTTGAGCTATAAAATCACAAAAACTGTTTAATGTCATACTGTCGAACATTCCAGACAGAGGAGTTGCATATCCACAGAAACAAGCAGCTTATGGACCCCCAACCAAAAAGTTACATAGTGCATTTTTAAATTATAAATGTCTCATTCTTAAGTTCAATTTACATTTTCAATTTAATTTTCACTTAGCTCAAGGGTGAACTCAAATATAATTTTATGGGAGATGGTGGTTTGGTCAATTTAACTTGCAGGTGCTAGGATACACCAAGTAACCCAAAGAATACAAAACTGTTAACCACTCTGCCAGTGTCAATTTGAAAGAAGATATTGCATATGCCTTCAATGTCTCAAGGGCTATTGTTAAGACTATGTGCTTGTAAGTGTATGTTTCCATGCTGTGCTTCAACTAGGCTTGATAATTAGCACAAAAACACCATTACAGCCTTATACAAATGAGATGCCGACTCAGTGAAACGAGCGAATAACAAGAAACTATGGCCTCACTGTTGGCTCTAATAAGGCCCTGGCTGTGAGCTGGACTGCTGCGTTTAAATAAACCTAACGTGGCTCAATAATTAGTAACAGTAATTACTATCTCTTATTTACATTAAATCTGCAGCATCATGTGTAGAGACAGGGGTGGGGTGTGGGAGGGTTTTATTAATTGTTTAATTTTTGCTCTTGTTTTTGTATAATGTTAAAATCAATTAAAAAATCATCATCATCATAAATCATCATAAAGGTTACACAACACTAACATGAAATGGCCTTATCAGTTTTTTGTTGTCAGTTTCAAACTAATTGAGCATTGGAGGTATGGCTGCATAGCTTAAACTATTAGAAATACATTTTAAATACATAAATGAATAAAATAAATATAAAATAAAAATAAATAATGTAAACATTTTTATTATAAACTGCCCTTTTTCAGCATTTTTGCAGAAGCAGAAGCCTTTGTCAGTGTCTGTACAGGATTAGACTCTTGTTTAATCTCTGCATCTGCCTTGTATTCCTCCCCTGTCCTGCCTTCACCCTCTCTCTTTTCTCCCTCTGCTCCTTTCTCTCTCTTTTTCCTCTCTCTCTCCCTCTGTCTCTCCCTCTCTCCCCTCTCTCCTCTCTCTCTCCATCTCTTCCTTCATCCATCACTTGAGTCTCTCTTCTCCGTTTCCTGCATTTTTAGTCCCAAAAACCATTAGTAGCCCCCAACCCCCATTCCCCTAACACTAGCCATTTCTTCTTCTTTACATTGAGAATCAAGGCAGGCCACTGGTTTAATATTCAGCAGGAAGCACTCACAGATATCCATGGTGCATTTGGTCCGATCCCTGTGTAAACCTAATCGGATATCGTTTTCCTAAAAGTTCTTTTCGTGGGATTTACAGTAGATTTGAAAGAACTTGAAACTGAAGGCATTATCATGACCAACTTATGCATTCTCAGACAATATAACAGGGTCTTCTAGTGCAGGGCCTCTCAAAGTTTTTGAAGCCAAGGAGCCTTTATTTGTATGAAAATGTTCCAAAGACCCAAAGACCCCCTATGAGTCTCCATGATGGCATCATAAGAAAACAGAAGTTTAAACCATGTATAACATAGAGCACATAATGAGTTCCTCTTCATCCAGTGTAAAATGTAGCATGATGGCATTGTCTGACAGTACAAATATGAATTTAATTTAATCTATAAACAACACTAAGAAATAAATGCAATACATGAACAAAATAATTAATTGTTATTATTCACATCATTAGTGGTAACAAAGTGATTGGATTATCTTAATAAACATACACATACTTTCAAATATAGGTTGGCGTGTACTTTATTGATTGCCATGGAGAAATGCCTCTTCTACATTTGACCCATCCCTTGTGCCACTGGGGCAGCTTGTCAGGAGCAGCACCCTGGGACCCATCTTTATCTTGGCTTGGTCAGGACCAATGCTATCGTGCGTGTATTATTGGAAATCGGAGTGCCAATGGAAAATCACACAGTCATGCACAGAGAGAAGCATCTAACCCCTGCACACAACAGCCCAGCACCACCCGGGACTTGAACCTGGGACCTTCTTGTAATGAGGAGAGAAGAGCAGCCACTGTGTAACCATGAAACATCAAATAAACCAAATAAAAGATACTCTAGAATCCTATAAATTAAACCTGCATAATCATTTTCATTAGACTGTGCAAGAGATAAAAATATCTTGAGGACATTTGATTCTCCTCAAACTTGAAAATAATGGAAAGAAAGAAAAGGCAGAACAAGTGACCTATATATACTTTGCAGTGATTGCCATGAGCATAATTACAACAATGAGCTTTTCTGAGTAACATTTTTCTGTGAGTGCCCATTTCTGTAACAAAGACGTAATTGCCGAAAGTCCTATTTGACTT